CAATTGCTGATAACCATCTATTTCATCAAGCAAAGAAGGCAAGAGCGACCAGTTCTCAACAACAAAGGTTAAACGATGAGTGAATTCCAATCGTTAGAAATGTTTACATTTACTACCAATAACAATTTGAGCTTAAATTGTTGACTATTATAAAATCTCAGGCTCAATATATCATCGGCTTAATAAACTTCCATATCTAAATTCGCAACCTTAATATGTTTAAATTCAAGTAATTTGCCAGTGTTTATTGACTTCAACTATTCAAGGCTTGAAGAAAATCAGAAATATTGTTGTTCTTAAGATTTTAGCCATATATTTAGAAAACAAGACATTGAACACTGAGATTTAGCCTGCTTAATAATTAAATTCCACACAACTTAACAACTGTTGCATAAAAAATGATTAATAATTTTTTTTTTGTTCTTAGGAGATGATATATATATATATATATATATATAAAGATAAACCATACCTAAAAATTAATATTGGAGGAGCAAGTCCCTGAAATCAATAGTATTTTTCAAATTAATGCAATTATAAAAATGTAAGAATGTTATGGAATAATTAATTAATTAATTAAATTCTTGATGGATTGGGGACTTAATAATTGTCAGGTGAACATTGAATCATTAGAGCTTTAATATTTGAAGAGACTTCTTTAAATGAAATTTCTTAGATGGGTGGATGATTAATTACAAAATTTTATTCTGGTTCTTTCAATTTCGTTGATGAGAGGCAGACAAGAGTATTTTTATGTTCAGCAAATAACGATTGAGGTTTTAATGAAGAAAACCATTATTCTTGCATCTTTCTTTCACATTAAATGTTTTAAGTTTATAAAATGGCTTGGCGGTTCTTCTTCTTTAAATATGCATTTTAATGCTTTCTCTGCAAAAGGACAACAAGCTTTTTTCTTTTGTTAATGAAATTGGAAATGAGAACAAATTGAGGATACAAACTTTCCAAGATTGATATTGTTTTCTATTTGCCCAAGCGCCAAAGCCAATCCACATTTTCTCTTTTTTTATTTCCTTTTTTTTTTCTCATGGTATATTTTCTTATTTTAATGTTAGGATTTTCATAAAAAAATGTTAAGCATTTTTCTCTTTTGGTAAATAACTTTAGGCCTTTTTGGCTTTGTCATTTTGATGATAGAAGCAAATTATCAGCTCTAACATGAACATTTATAAATGTATGCTTCGTACAGCTGAAAAATGAAAAGCTGGAAAGGAGTGGATGAAAAAAAAAAAAAAAAGAATTTTGGGTGTGTTTGGTAGGAAAGAAAAAAATAAAAAAAAGGAAATATTATTATTTTCTGCACTTATTAACAAAAACAAATCATTCCAAATTAAAAAGAAAAAAAAAAAGGAAATGAGATAAATATGAGCATGTATTGCATATTTTCTTTCTAATTTTTTTATCTTTCCAACTTTATTGATATTTGGTCTTAGTGAAATGGAATTAAAGCCCAAATCTTCAGCCCAACCTGGTTTGTTTTAGTGAATCCAACATCGGCCGACATTACTTGTCCCTACCAAACTTACAGGCTGTAGCATTGAACTGATCATCTTGGGCCCAATTCAGATGTGAAGCTTGGTGGAATAAATTATGTGTGACTGTCCTAATGATGCAGCAGCCCAATATTATGAGGCTATATGTAAATATTTTTCTTTTTAATTTAATTAATTAATTAATTTTAAGTAAATTAAATATTCATAAAAGTTAGAGATGTTAATCTTACTATATCCAACGGAGAATTCGATTTTTTATCATAATATAGATGGGGATGTGTATTATATTGTGGGGATATAGATATGTATGATTTTAAATTTTGATTAGGTATAAAGATAGAGACAAGTAATATCGTACCTACCTTATACTCGTACCCTATATATATTTATATATATTCAGTAAATAAAATTTCTATTGAATAATATAAATTATTATTTTAGATTAATTAGTATTAATATATTTTTATTGACAAATATATATTAATATATATTTATAAAAAATTATCTAAATATATAAGATAAAAATAAAAAAAAAATTAAAAATTATTTTTTTATCTTTTTTAAAAATTAAGAGTACGAGGATTATCTATACCCATCAAATACTGACATAGATGAGAATAAATTTGAAATATTCATTGGGTATGGATATAAAGATGGGTAAAATATAAAAATTCAGGGATAGGGATAGACAATGCTCCACTCTACCTGTATCCTATCCATTAACATTCCTAATGAAAGCATTAAAGGATCTCTATGTCAATTGTCAATAGCATTGTGATTTATAAAAGTGTTAGATTATGTTTTAGTGACCAAATTTCAATCTAACACCCTTAAGAAAAAAGAACACAAGGTCTTTAAAGTATTTCTTTTTGTTTGAAAATGGAATAGGAGAGAAACAAGACAATAGTAAAAGAAAATTGGGTATAAAAAAGGAAGTGAAACTGTATTTTTATCATGCATGCTTGACAAAAAGCAAGAACGAAATAATATAATGTTATTTCTGAAAAGATAAGAGAGAATTTACATTTGATTTATTATATAAATGATGAGAATAAAATACATATATTATATAAAAATTAGTTAAGAATTATTATGTTTAAGCATTTGAAAAGTATAAGAAAATTAATTAAAAATTTTCAAATACTTATAAGTATTTTAAATTCTGAAATTTAAAACCAACATTTACAACCTCTTTTTCTTCTTAAATTACGTTTCCTTTAAAAAAAAAAAACACTTAATTCACCATAATTAAAGTAGATGATCTATCACATGTCTATTCTAAAGTATACAAATGAAGTTAGCACTTAGTACTGAGTACTGCACTTGCGCTTTGGAGGATAATGCTAAGAGATCATTGGGACCAAAATATTTAATCTTTCAGTTTCATCAATGTTCTTCAATCTTCCTTAAAGAGCTTTTGTCTCCTTCGTCGATACACTGATAAAAAAAAGATCTAAAGATCGAATAAACTGCATTATTAATTTCAACACTTTTTCATGGTGGACGGTGAGTATAATATCCTTTGTTCTTTGAATGCATTGTCCACTGGGTTAAGTAGAAGAACTTGTACTCTTTACGAAGATACTGCAGTTGCATGGACGATTTTCCTGAAAATGTAGTGCTTATTTGGACGGCAATGGCAGAAGTTATTAATTAGATGAATATCAAAACAGGAAAAAGAACAGGTTAAAGATGAGACAGTACTAGAACTTCGAAATTATTTTACAGCTTGAAAGTTTCCAATTAATTAGTCCAAGTAATTACAGCTTAACCGATTAATAATATTTTTATAATTAAAATTATCGAAAATTGAATCTAATTATTAAAATTAAAAATTTAATATTTTATCAATAAACATTATGTGGGTTACTTATCAAATAATATAGAACAAATTTGGAGATACATGAGCTATTGAGTGGTCATTGATAAAAAGTGCACTCTTTCTATGCTTCCCATTTTTATTGCATCTAAACCAATTATGGGTGATGAAGAAAGGTGTGTTTGTGATGGGGATGACAAAGAAACTTCTGAACTTATGAATGCTTATTGTTTTAATCGGTTTTATTTTTTAACTAATCCAAAAAAAAAAAGGAATAACTCTGCTGGGGCCTCCAATTTGATTAAAACTCTTAGTTATTGGTAACATTATACAAAAAAATGTTAAATTGTACATTGGAGGTTTTTATATAGTTTAGCGGTAAATTTGACCTTCTATTGTTCTTAATTTTTGTCGAAATTCAAATTGAATCCAGCCAAATAAACTCAATAAAATAACCCTATAAAAAGAAAATAATGAAAAAAAATAAAATTCAATAAATTATTTGTACCAGTAACATTGTGAATATCGTACTTAATTTTTTTATTTGAATTTAAAGGTTTTACAAATTTATTTTATAAAAAATATTTCATAAATATAAATTTAAATCTTTTTTATAATAAATCTTTATAAAATTTAGACATGAGATTGAGATATATCAAACACTTGATAAAATATTACAAATTCAACAATTATATATTCCAATAGCAACAGCAACCTTAGTTGCTTTACCTTGGGAATGACAGACTTCAGTTAGATCAAAGGGAAAAAACCAACGAAAGGGACAAAATATAAATGATTTATTGTTGTACATCCAAATTGAAGCCTAAAAGGGAAACTCTATTCTCACTACATTTTAGACGATGGAATGATCTATGAAGAGAAGTAAAAAAATATAGATGATATATCTTTACTAAATTTACTTCCAATCGCTGTACTTGCAACTTAAGCAGCTAGGCTCACATGCATCTAGGCTTTTGTAGATTACTTCACCATATTTGCAAAGAAATTGTCTTCTCCGATTTCAATAAATTTTTATAGTATTTTGTCATTTGATTAAAAAAAAGGATGAGCCCTCAATTAATTATAAGCTATAGTTCAATTTTTCTGCTATTATTTATTGTTGGATTGCATTTGCTACAACATATCATTTGCAATTTAAGGCTTGTTGATCTGTTCTTACATATTTATCCTTTAAAACCAGATCAGTTGGAGAAGAGTGAGCTGTTGCTCATAAGCCATAAGTCAATTTTTGTCTATTAACGTCTTAACGATAAGGGATCTTTTCTCCCTCAATACTTCTCAAAATTTTTTGTTAATGGATTTGATCTTTTGGTCAAAATATACAATTAATTGTTAATTGTATAGGTGTTGGTGGAATCCATGATTTTTTCCATTTATTTTAGACGAAGAACTTTGAATGGTTCCACAAAATAAGTTAGAAAAGCTGGCTGCAGGAACATTCTGCACTAATAGAATGACTAGCGGGGATTATGCAGCTTATTATGGGGTAGAGCAAGCTAATAATCTAATGAAATTAAGGGCAGATAAAAGCAAGAAAGGACACCCACTAAACCCAACGTAGGGCTGGCTGGCTTCAAATTTTTTTGATCTTAAAACCCAACTTGAAGTATTATTAGGCCTTATAACCTAACATTGAATTTGTTCATGTTTGATCGGTCTGTTCTTTTTGGATCAATTCAATTGACTTATTAATTGCTATTGGTTGAAAGGTAAGACGTAACAAAGAAAATGGCTGCCATCGTTGAGTTCTAATATGAACCACAAAGGTCAACCCATCTTTATCTTTTTTCTTTTTCAAATTTTCCTTTGCACGTCCTCTCTCTTTTTCTGTTGCAACTGCTGCTTTTAACTTCCTCAACTTCCCTTGGCCCACAAATGGCCACACCAAGATTCTAAATTATGGGTTCCCTTTCCTGTATTATTTTATACTAATAATATTCTTCTTTTGTTATAAATCCCCCATTATTGAGAGCTTCTCGACTTTCCTTTTCTGCCAAGAGAAATCTAGGATCTCTCTTCTTCTCTCAGGTTGATATAACTCTTTTGTTTTTCTTGATGTTAGATTGATGGAGGATTACTCCATCAATTCATCTATACACAAATCTGTTGCTTCCAAAGGAACAGCAAGAACCAAGGACTCAGTACCTGAGGAAAGTGGCTGGACAGCTTACTTTGAAGATTTCTCAAATAATGATCATTCTAGTTTTAGTTGTAGCTCTTCCTTGATCTCAGACGCTGCAACAAACGGGGCTGCGTGGAAAATATCCCACAATAACGATCATGGTTTTGCCTTTTCTTCACCCTGTGCCCCTTCATCAAAACTTCCCAAAAAATTAAGGTTCAAGAAAACAAGAACCAAAGAAATTTGTGAAGATGATTCTTTGGAGGATACTGCTAGTTCTCCAGTCAATAGTCCCAAGGTAAATGATTGAAGAACACACATATTTTTGCATTTCTTTAGCTTTGATCTTTCTTTGCTTCTTCTTCTTCTTCTTAAATTAGTACTTGTTAAAATTCTTTTCATTTTTCATTTTTTAATAGGTTAGTGACTTGAAATCAGATGATATGAATCCCAAAAAGAGAGAAGATCAGGTCCACAGTTCTCTGGTAAACTCAATTATTCTGAGATCATGGTGATAATCAATATATACTTATTTATAAAGAGTAGTAATGAGACTGGTTCTTTTCTTAAAAGGTTGACCTAAAGAGTTAAATTAATATGGCTATACTTGGTGATTTTATATAGGGGAAAGAAACTGCTTCAGAGAATTATTCAGAGATACAGATGGAAGAAGGAAACAAAATGAATTTTGATCATGGGAAGAATGATTGCACAGAGCTAAACAAAAAAGGGCTGTGTTTAGTTCCTTTGTCAATGTTAGTTCACTATCTTGGTTGATACTCAACATTTTATTATTAATCTCTTTCTCTTAATGGAAGAAGGAAACAAAATGAATTTTGATCATGGGAAGAATGATTGCACAGAGCTAAACAAAAAAGGGCTGTGTTTAGTTCCTTTGTCAATGTTAGTTCACTATCTTGGTTGATACTCAACATTTTATTATTAATCTCTTTCTCTTCCCTCTTCTTCCTACCTTTCTCTCATGTCTTCCATGTAGCCATGCCAGCTAGCTGTACTGAATCAAATCATTGTATAAAGAAAATATCTATGTTCATATTTGTTGATTATAGCGTGAGCGGCACCCTATCTTGATTTTCTCTCCATCATCAATAATTCAATATATCATTAAGTCCTTTATTCATATTTGTGTATTATCACATGATAGAAAGTAAGAAAAATTACTTGGTCAAGAATGTGAAACCTCATTTCATTATCAGGTATTGATCCCTTCAATGAATATAGATTATAACAAGTGTGTGAAATCTTCAAAAAAGCAACATATAAAAGAAACAAGTGGAGAAGTTAATTAGATGATCAATGAGAATCTCTTCAATGTGAAGATGCTGTGTCCAACAGCTAGAATCTGGATAGTTTAGAGAGCACGATTGCAGCTTGAACTGAAGTTTGCTGTGATTTGTGATATGAAAGTTTAGTAGCAAGACATTCTATACTCATTTTTGTATTTTCTCCAATATCATGCACAATTTTCCAATAATTGTTGGTAAAAGCAATGTGATAACATATGGTAATATTATTATTTATTTAATTATCAAAGATTGATTTTTTATTATTGAAATTAAAAATTCAATACTATATCAACATATCATGTGACTATTGACATATATTACTAATATTACTATATACAAAGGGGAAAAAGAAAAATTGGAAGCATGGTAAAAGCTTTTGGACTTCAATTTTTCAAAAGCAAAAGGAAAAGACTTTGAAAAAAGAAGCTAATTACATAATCAAGCTAGTGACTTATTACTTGTTTATCACCGTAAAGAGCTGGTGGTTCTGCTTGTGACGCAATTAATAGTTCTTAAGCAATTGATGTGGCATCTACTCATGGTGATGGAGAGGCAAGTCAGTCCAAATTAAACAAAAATTCTGTTTAAAGTTATTGACATCGCATAAATTAAGGACACAAAAATTAAATAAATTTATACTTAGAAGCAAAGAAATAATATTGTAGGGTTATGAAATAGATGTTCAAACTTTTTAATTATGATAGTAAAAAGAAAGAAAGGAAAAAATTGGTTCAATTTTCACATTAATAACTATTACTACAACAAATTAAAGATAAAAATTTGAATCTTCAGTTAATTAGTTGATTCATGTAATCACAAGTGATATCCAAAAAATATAAAACATAAATTTTAATATTTATAATCACTTCCTTTATCTTCGAGTTACAGCTTTTTTATAAAAATTAAGAAAAGTTACATGTTTTAATCCAAGTAAAGAGTTAAACCGGCTGACCAAAAAAGTAGAATTCTTTGGACACCATGAAAATTGCAAGTAGCTTAGTCTTACAACATATATATGTATTTTTTATTTGACATTGATTCGGTACATTATTCTCGTGAGAATGAAAATCAGAACCCAAAACCTTGCTAGCTAAAGGATGTAAGTTCCTTGTAGTACCCTGAAAGCAAAAAATAGAAAATAAACAGAGACAGAGGTTTAAATATAATTTAATATCCAACCTCTTGCAGGCCATTCATTTAAATTATTCAGAAAGAGCTGCAATGGAAGACCCCTCCATGTGCACAAGCATTAAAGGCAGGTGAAGCACAGAAGAGAAGCCAGAGTTGTTAAAGACATTCAGCTAAACACACCACCATTTATTCCTCAGGTTGACTATTTAATCTTTCACATTCTTCTAGATGGATATTATCTAAAGTCTCCTTTTCTCATAATTCTTATTTTTATTATCATAGAATCAATAAATTATGTAATTCAAAGATGATTATTAAGATGTTCCCATATTCCTGTAGTACAGAAAATTCTTTGAATTTATTTTGTTGCAATTAGTCAGTTTTAACTGCTATTAATTTGTTTTTTTTTTTCCTGTTTATATTCTAAAAAACTTTTGATTTATAGAAATATTGTAAAAATTCCAAAAGCTAGTTAGGTTGTTACACAAAGAAAGACCTATTTTACGTTTAAAGCTTTATTTGTCGGTTTATTGTAAGGCATAATTATGGAGTATGTCAACTTGGATAATACCTTTATAAATCACGTTTGTTTGATTAAAATGAAAAAAAAAAAAAAAGTAAAAGAAGGGAATCCCACATAAAAATACTGTTCTCTTTCTTGCAGGCTGATGGCTCAACCCTGACAAAGGGTGTCTGATTTTTGAGTTTGAGATACTGAAGTTTAATTACCTTTGGACATTAACTAGTAATTATAATCACATGTTTTCAACTCCTTACAAGGTAGGGAGATAACAGTTAAAATTGGATATTTTGAGATATTTTCTCAAACCAAAGTTTAACCTAATGGTTATTATCATTCAATGGGACTAAAATTCAAAATTCGATTGCCAAACATGTAGAAAAAAAAGTTAGGTTATAAATTAAATTTATTTTGCTTCCATGAAGTGTAAATACTAAAGAACATGCATGAAGATTCCTGAAGAGAAATTAAGAGACACATCTTTCCTCCAGGTAAATTTTGTTTAATTCAAATGTAGAAAGAATATTCATCATGTAAATATAATGCAAATTAAGCAAAGATTTATAATATTCCAGAAAAAAAAAAGTGAATGAAAGTTTTTGTTTTGAACTTTAAAAAATAAAGATTGAGCTGTAATCTACGGAAACATTAAGGAAATTATTAATTTCTTTTCCGCACATGGCCGACAACTCTATGATTAGATTAATATCTTCATAATATTTAATCTAATAAAAAAGACTTTCAATGAATAATGAAATCAAAGTATCAAATTCAAGTGCAGAAACAGTTTTGATTCTGTGGATGTATATGCCATGCATGAATATATAAGTCTGCATTATATGATAGCTATGGATGATCATCATGATCTTGTTATTCTGTGCCACAATCTGATAAAAATATTGCTGCTAACATCGCTTGGATATTGTTGGATTAATAATACTAGTCAGTGTTCAAACAAAAAGACAATTTCTTATGAACCATTGGCTTTAAATGGATTAGGTCATCAATCAAATTGGTTAACAACCACTAATGATGTGATTTGGATTGTGAAGTGGTAGATCAAAAGTCTAATTCAACACTTTGTCCTAACTTTTAAGTAGTAACGTAGTCCGCAATAAATTAAAAGATCTTTTATGTTATACCGTATTTATAAGAGAAAAAATAAAAAATATTAATTAAAACAAATTATCTTTTTAAATAGGGAATGAAATTATCTTTTCTATTTAATACACAAATTTATATATATTATAATTTAAATAAAATTGCATATAAAAATAAAAAAATAGAATTATAATCACATTATATAAACAAGGGAAGAAAAAAAAAAAAAAACACATTCGTTCAATCCATGTAAACCGTTTATTCAGTTTCTCCTATCGTTTCTCTCCTCTTTTTTTTTTTTTGTTTCTTTTCATTTCACACCAAAAAAATTTGAAGTAAATAATAAATTTCTTCCTTTGTCTCCTCTTCATTTTCTTTCCCTATCAACAAACATATATAGTACTGTAACGTAGGCCCTTATTATTTCTTGTCTACGAGGATGAAACTATCGTTAACCTATATAATTCAGGATAAATCATTTGATGAAAAACATGTCCACCTATTAGTACTATCGGGTCATTATGATTTATTGCCGTATCGTTATCCTTTATGTGATCACGCCCATTGCAAAAAAGCAGCCTAATCTAAAACTAAACTGTTTGATTAAACAACATATATATAAACTTTGTTTTGTCATTAATTAATTAGCAGGTGTAGTCCTTTTTTTTGGCACTTAAAAATTTAAATAAGAAGAGATCATTCCATTTCAAGACCGTAAATTTTTACATGTGACATTTTTCATACTCAACCCATTAAACAAAATTTGAATGGGATCATGTCACACTAAAAAAAAATTAAATTCCTCAAAAAATTTTGAATAAATTGGGGAGTATTCATTTGGATTGATCCTATGGCTGTGAGAGACTAGAAAAAAAAGCGAAACCCTCGTTTGAAGAATAATTGTGCAGCAGTGCACCTGCTTTTCAAATCGACATGAGTTACGGAGAGTTGGAATTATTCTGATAGAAGAATATACATCCAATTATTAGTTTTGGCATTCACAATATATATGGCTAAAATAGGGAATGAATGAACAAAGTTGAAGACTTTCTTCACACAAGTTCAAGTACATGGACCAGCTGCCATATGCATTTAAGACTCTGGTTAAATTATTGGATCGATGGGAGGTGTCATTGCCTCTTCAAAGGCAGACGACCTTGGGAAACAACCTGATTGCAAACAAGTTCTTGGAAATTGATTTTTTTATTTTTCATTCATTCCATTATATTACTTAATTATAATGCATAGTTTTAGGCAGAGACGAAGCTAGGAAAATTGAACATGTAGGGCAAATAATAAATTTTAAAAAGAAGAGGGGTCAAGTATAATATCTAGTGGGATTAATTATAATTCTATAAAAAAATAAAAAAAATTTTGGAGGACCGTGACTCCTATCTACCCCTTGGTTACGCCCCTAGTTTTAGGATTAATTTCACCTTAAATTTTAAGCAGAGATTGGAAGTAGTTAACCCCAATCCCTTTCAATCCATTTGAAACGAGGGTCAGGTTAAAGGGTGCCTATATATATGGGCATTGTTCAAAGATAGTTAAAATTCTATTTTATAAAGATTTTTACAATTAATATATTATTTTCACTAAATTAAAAAATAATGTGTTAATTACATTTTTTCTTTAAAAATCATCTTAGGCAATTTCGAGTCGGCACTAACTAATATTTTCATTGAAACAAATATGAAAGACCAGCTTGAAGCAATTGAAAGCAATTGCAATGGCTGGTCCTTATTTGCTTTCGTGATTGAGAACAAATTTTTTGTAATTGAAATTTTGGTATCTTGTTTCACAATTCAGAAAAAATTCTCCGAAATCCATATTTGTATCTTGCTTGATTAATATTGGGTTAATGGCATAAATGTGGCAAATGTCTTCGGTAAATCTTAAAAAATCCACTCATTTCCTAACTTGATCCAATATGAAACTATATATTGAAAAAGTCAACAATTCACACTCAATATAATTCGACCCTAATGAAATTATAACTCAAACCAATTAAAAAAAAGTCAAATCGAGAATGACTTAACTAGAACCCAATTGACTCGTACAATTACAACTATATTTAAATAACTTTCACTAACAATGTTTTTGATTGTTAGGAGAGTGAGAGAAAGGGAAGAAAATAGTTGAATGAAAGTAACACTAAAGGAGTTTTTTTTTTTTTTTTTAAAGGAAAGGCATGTTTTAAAAATAAAAATTTATATTTGATACATTATCAGCATATAAATTTTATACACTATCAATAAATTAAATGATAACATATTATTAATGCATAATGACATATCATTAATTAGTAAATTTTTATAAAATTATTAATTTTTATATATTTATTTTAAGAACCGATATTTAATAATTAATTAAGTGTTATCATATAATTTATTGATAATATATAAGATTTATACATTAATAGTGTATTAAATATAAACTCTTTGAAAAATATTTTTGGTAATATATAATTTATTTGTTATGAGGATTGAAATCATTACTCTAATATTCATCCGCCATATATATCAGAAAAAAAAAAAAAAAGGAAACTCATACTGATTTTTTGTGTCTTAATTGAGGAATATTTTAAAAAAAAAAAAAAAACAGAAGTTAACCATTTTTATGTGCTCTTATTTGAATGATTAGAAATTAGTAGGATTTTTTTTTCTTTATCCATTAGTTTGTCTCATTTTTGTTCAAAATATTCTTTCCTTCAAATCAATATCTTAATGAAATAAATCCTTGACCTAATAGCTTCTAAAAAACAAAAAATCGAATCAATTATTGCTCATGGGATCGAAAATTAGGGTGCGACTCTCCTCAATTATGTTTCATTACACTTTTTATCAACATTCATTTATAGGTGCATAATTCGCCATTGGAATATCCTATCTATGTGAACTTATAGAATCATTTTTCATGGCATGTGCTTGAAAAAGAATGATTCACAATTTCAGGTAAATATGGAACAATTTGAAGCTCCTTTTCGGCTCAAAAGATTAATTGATTGTCTATTTTATGCTAACGACAATTTACCAAAGTGGAGAAATGACTCCAACAGGCTGGCATTATAACAATGTTCGGATTTAAATGAAGTCTACAATTATTTTGCACCAAAATCGTTGAACAAAAAGGCCACAGTCTAGAAATAGCCACGAAATAAAAGGAAAAAAAAGGGAAGAATTAAGACAACCCTAAAATCTTTGATGACCTCTTTGCGTGATTGCCGGGCTTAGAATGGTCGTGATTGCATTTCTTAAAAAAAATGGCCCACAAAAGAAAAGTAATTGATCAATTGAAGTGATGAGCATGTGCAGCCTGTTTGATCTGCAAAGAAACTTAGTCCATTTCATCATATTTCCATAGTTATTCCTTGACGTTATGCTGTCTTGACTTTCTCTTTAAGTTTCTGAATATCGATCCCGTGAACAAGAAAATAAAATGGGTGACTCAGTTTTTTTTTTTTTTTTTGTCTCGTGACTATAATTGGATTTGAAGTGAACAAGCTGCTAATGATTGATCGTTTGATGGGAAAAAAAATGTTGAATTTAAGAAGTTAAATTAGATTCTCTACTTCAGCATTTGGACTTAAGCTTACTTAAAATGACCGGTAATTCATAGTTGTTTATGACTATTAAACGACATTTTTTCTTTAGGAATGATTGTATAGATATATGGTTATTTAAACAACTCAAATTTCGCTTTTTTTTTTTCTTACTACTACTTAAATTTTGTCTTAAAGAATATCTAATCCAATGGTTGGAATTTAAGATTTTAATTCAAAGACATGAAATTCAAATCTCATCATAATAAGGAGAAATGAGATTCATGAAATAATGAAAGATTAGCTGTTAATGAGTTTATTTTTTATATATTGTCAGTGTAATTTTTTAACTTTACAAATGAATTTGAAAAATTGTTACGTTTTATTTTTTTAATTATTTTTTATTTTTTAATATACTCTAATACTATGTTTGAATTGAAGGGAGGGAAAAGAAAGGATAAGAAAATAAAGGAAAGTAATGGAAATAGAAAAATCTTTCCTTTATTTGGATAAACTTTTTATTTAAAGGAAAGGAAAGAAGTGAAAACTCAATAATATTTTATTTCTCTTGTAATTCTCATTTTTTTAATACTCCAATTTAGAAAAAAAAAATAAGGAAAGAAAAGTTAAAAAAATTATTTTTATTAAAAGACTATTATATCTATCTTTTTATTAATACTAAAAACCTAGTAAAAAAAACCTAATAACATCACAATCATATTGTAATTTTTTCAAAGTCATCTCTTTTTTCAAATAAGTTTCATATGTATCTTCTAATATAAAATTTTTTTATAAGTTTTTGGTGATTTGATTTTGATAAATGATTGAATATGAATAGACATATTTTTTGAATTTATGAGATGTTGAACTAACTTACAATCATCCATCAATGCATGTTTGTAAAATATTTTTTCATTTCACTTGATTAAAAACCATTGATATAGTAATAATTGTGAGACTAGACAAGATAGCAAACATATCATAGTTTAAAAATGCTTTAAAATCACAAGCAATGAAAGATTATAATTGAAAAAAATTATTATAATGAATAATTTTATTATTTTTTATTTAAAAAATGATTGTTAGAATTCATTTCCTTTATTTTCCTTTCTTAATTTTGATTATCTAAACAAGGGGCACATATATCATTTCTTTTCCGTTAAAAAACTTTCTTTTCCTTTTCATTTTCTTTCATTTTCTTTCCTTTATTAATCTTTATCCAAACATAGTGTGAAAGATATGTCATTTTTTTTAACTCTATTTATAAAGTCTAAAAACTTCATTGATAGTCTATGAGATAATTATGAGCATTTCTAAGGGGTTGAAATTTTCAGGTTCAAATTTGCCTCCCATCCTCATAATCTTCCTCATATCATATATACCACCTTAAATAATTTTAAACATTTTCTACATAATTGTCAATGGGAACAATCTAGGGTAAAATAATTCAACACTATACTTTCTTATAGGCTGCCTAACAGGAAATTATTTTTAACATTAAAGTTAAGAAAACTTAATCCACGAATCTAGTTTCTTTTTGGCTACAAACTTTGTATATGGATGGGTTTTTCTGCTTATTTGCCGCCCAACAACGACCTTTATATTTAAACAAATTAATTAAAGTAGTTGGTTTAAAATAAGAGAGAATAAAATCTTAAAGCCGAATTCCATATCTTGAAAATTTTTTTATACAAAGAGAGTTAGGAATAGTTGAGAGGGAAAGCACAAGGAATCAGAGAAGATATGGTCGACTTCAATCATTTAAAAGACTCTTAAAACAATATAATATTTATAAGGCCAAATTCATTATTTTTATGGCCTTTTATCACCTACTAGTCTACTACTTCTATAATGAAGGCAAAATTATCAAAACCTAAAAATATAACCCTTTATAGTTAAAGGGGGAGGATGAGAAAAAGAAATTTAGATTTACTTATCTAATTGTTTCAAAAAAAAAAAGAGATTGATTTATTTAATTAAATAGATTTTCTTAATTTTGGCATTGCAAAGTTTATAAAATTAATGAAATTAATTTTAAATTAAACAAAAAAAATAAAAATTGAAACTAAAGTATTTATAAATCAAATCGAGTCTAGTTAATATCTTTAAAATTTTGTCCAGGACGAAGCTAGGAGAGAGCAAGCAGGGCCACGGCCTCACAGAAAGATTTAACCTCTCTTATATTATAGTATTTGGATCTATTAAAATATTATTTTGGTCTCATTTTTTCTTTAAAATTACTATTTAACAACCTTTTTACCCAATTCTTATTTTCGCCCTTGACTTTTGCCAAGGTTTGATCTTAAATCCAGTTTTTTAATATTTTGAAACAAATTTTAAAATTAAAATAAAAAATAATTGTTTAATATAGTTTTATATCCAAATATATGTGTGTATGTGATTTATTGGTAAATTAAATTATGTTCAAAGTTAATAGTCTAACATAATATAGCTCGTCTTATATCCAAATAGAGTGTGTATATGTGATATATAGTAAATTAACTTCTATTCAAAGTTTAATATCCTAACATAATATAACATGCTTTATTTCCGAAGATAATATATGTATAGGAAACACAAGTTAACCGTTGTTAATTTTTTTAGATAAATCTTAATATGATAATAAAATAATATTACAATGATCATTTAGAAATATAATGAATAATTATATCCAATTTTGCTAATTTAAAAAATTCTCCATACCCATACTTATATATATATATATATTATAGATTATAGATACAATACAAATATATATTATAGATTATAGGTATGATCACACTCATATAATCAAAACATCCAATTGAAATTTACAGAAAGAAAAGCAGAATCAAAGCTGGCAATCATATTAAAAAAAAATAGGCAATTACAGCTTGAGTCTACAAGAATATTACATGCATGATGATTAAATAATTGCAACTCAATTAGGCAATTACAGCTTAAGTTTGGTCCTGCATGTCGACTCAAAACTTTGAGATAGGATGAAAATTGAGATGTCACATCTGTTAGGAACCGATGCATGAAACTTCAAAACCTTGAACACCGTCACCTTCCCATGCACCGTAGTATCCATCGTAAAATTGACGGAACCAGCTAAAACATCAGCCAAAAACGTAGTGTTTGTAATCAATCGATCCACCATTATATCAGCGGAGGCGCTGATGTTAACCTTCCCATGTGCCGGAACCAGCGATTGCTCGATTGTAACTTCCGCTACGACATCCCCACGATAGTCTACAAAGGCAGTCGTGTTCTTGAACTTGAAACTGCCGTAGTTACGATTGTTAATGGAGAGGATCAATCCTACCGTGGCGTTTACTGATGTTGCATTGAAGAAGCCTCCTAAACCAAAAGCAATATTTTCCAGGCCTTGAGGGTAAACTGTGATTTCTGGGTGCTTTGGTTTGAAAAGGGTAAAGGCCAAAGTAGTGACAACGATCGCAATAATAACTAGGAAAATTGCTGTCACGCCACAGCATATTTTGAGACCTCTTCGAGAAATTCTGGGAATGCCCATCTTTTGATATAATTATGGATATAATTTCTGGATAAAAAATTTGGTGCCAAATTGGAAATTAGAATTGATGAAAATATGGTGATAATTCGAATTAGTTTTGGCAAAGTAGAGTATTTAAAATCAACCATATTGTTATTGCGGAGGAAGAACTGGAAAAAAACAATGTGCTCCATTATGTTGGATCATGAAAGTTGAATGCTAACTATGTAGTTTACTTGCTGTTTATTTGGACTCAAGTAGAAACCTGTTTTGGTTGGAGTTCTTTTGTGGGCTTGGTTTGAATCCTAGTTTGATACGAACTGAAATTCCTGATAGTTTTCTTGACTTTAAATATGGATGAAAGCGGTGGAGAGGTCCAATGTTTGACATCCAATTTGTTTTTTGCAATTGTCTTGTACCATGAAAAAGCCCAAAAGCTATGCTCTTTGTGCAATGATAACTGCTAGATGGGTTTGGCATCCATAACATATATAAACTAAGAACTTAAAGTTCGAGAACCAAAAATGCCTAAAGAATCTCTAGAATCTAGATTGACCATTTACGTTATATTACCCTTTCATATAGCAGCTAGAAAGAAAAAAAAACCTTGTTATTGTAAATTAAAAAAAGATTTTCAACTTAATCAGATCATGATTTAATTTTAAAATTATAAAAGATAGAATTATAACCGGATGTGACAATAATAAGATTTAAGGGGTGATCCTAAAACGCATATTCTTTTCGCTTTAAAATGTTTGAATTGTATTATTTATACAGAATTTTAAAAAAAAATTATTTTAATTTATTTAAAATTAAAATTAAAATTTCATAACTTTTAAGATTAAAAAGTAAAAAAATCATAAAAGTAATTTTAAAATATAAAAAAGTAAGAATTTTAGATTTAAAAAAAAAAGACATAATTTTGAAAAAAAAAAAAAAAAGAAAAAAAATGAGATAGAAAAAGTATTTAAAAGCCGAGAACATATTTCAAATTTTGCAATCAATAGAAGATAAAGATTTGAAAATTTAGTAAAAATCCGCAAGAGGTGTAAAAGCTTTTTTAAATTTAACAAAAGAGGGTTGGAAAATTTCTCAATAAAAGATTTTTTGTTCATTATTTAATTATTTGGTGAAGTTTCTCTAATATTATGATAATGTGGTTTTTAATAGTTGAAGTTTCTTTAATATTTCAATAGTTGAAGTGATTTGCATAATATAAATACGATTATGAACCCAATTAAAATTAATAGACTAAATTAATCCCTGCATAGCAGCAGAATCCTCCAAATGTATGTACTTAACTTTTTTTTCAGTATTTAAGACAATCAAATATAAAATTTTAATACTTTACCAACCAAACACGTCATTTTCTACAGGTAAATACTTGCTTGCTTCATTGATAGGGATGGCAGCGCACCCCTTTTTTTACGGATTTCAATTTGATCAGACCTTTTAAGATCGTTTCTTTTTTAAATTAATTTTTAGGTTGGGTAATAATAAAAAAAATAAGATTAAATTTTAGATAAATTTATTTTGATTATATATATAATTATTATTTATTTATTTATCTATTTAAATTTAAATTTAAATATTTATTTAATTTTATATTTATATTAAAATTAAAATTTATATTTAAAAATAATATTTTATTAATTTCGAATTTAATCGATTTTATATAAATCATATTAAAATATTAAAAAAATAAAAAAATCATTAAATTAGATTCATATATTAGAAATATAAAAATCAGATCAACAAGCAAAAATCTATTTCCCTTAACCCATTGCTATTCTAAATAAGAAATTGATGGGTTCTGCAGTGGTGTGTTTGTTAGCATTTGGCTTTTTCGGTTTAAGCTGCAAATCGATAAAATCTGATGCAGAGTCAGTACTGCGGTCAGAAGAGATTATAAAATGTATTTTGGTAGTAAGAATCAGGGGAGGAAAAGCAGGTCGATCTGTTTTTTATGCTGCAATATTTTTATCACTTTGATTGATTAAATGGTGTCTTATATTGGATGTCTGTTTTCGAATTTGGCGTTTTCATAATTACTGCTCATGATGTTCGTGACCCAAGCTTAATCTTCCTCTACCTAACATTTCATATGGAGGAAAATGTTCCAGTTCATCTATCTGCTTGGTCAACAAGCAGGGGCCCCCCCCTCTAATCCCACCTGGTTTGGCCTCAATTAGGAGGCTTAATTAAAATATTAGCACATTTTGATTAATTTCTTATTCATCATATGATTTGGATTTGATTTTATAAAAAATACATTAATTATATATATTTTTAAAATATGAGATTGTTAGCTTCTTTAAATGTTACTTTAATTAATATTGTCACTATGTATTAGTTATTTTTTTAGAAATAAATAGAAAAAATATAAAATTGTAACCAAAAAAGAAAATTTTCAAAATTTTAAAAAATTTATTATTTTAAGGGTCTGATTATTTCACTCTTAATATTTTATTAGAACTGCATGTGTTCACAAATTTAAAATTTTTTAAAACTAGATTTTGCTCAAGGTTTTTGCTAATGCATAAAGAAAGACCCATCAAACAAATAGTAATTAGGTACTTAGACGAATCAAGCATTAATTTCACAATGTACTTTATAAACTTTAGCTATATGATAGGTAATAGACGATAAACATTGAAGTGCCAGCAATAAACACCCAAAGATTTTGCCAATCTAAAAAAAAATAAAAATCTGTACCAACCAGCGGTTAAGTAATTCAATTCAACTACCTATCAACGTTGGACCTTCAACGCCACCAGTGTCAACTACCATTCTTCTCCCATCCAAAAACCAAGAAACCAAAGATCACTCTCCTTGAGTCCTTTCAAAGGAATCTTTCTTTCTCCTATTAATACTAACATGGACATAGTTTTCTTCAGGCTTATGCGGACTGTCTCTCTCTCTCTCTATATATATATACCTCTAGTCTCAATAAACAAGTAAACTACTTTGTAGTTCTTCTCTTTATTTGTCTCAAATCCTTCATGGCTGACTTGGATCGTTCCTCTGATGATATTTCTGTGGATTCTAGAGGTTACCCATTTATATATTCAACTCCGGCTAAGACTTTGATAACTTTCCTATGATTACTTTTTAGACTTTTTGGAGGCCCTTTTGAATAGATGGTTTATCAAATTTTATGCCTGTTTTATGTCTGGGGTTAATTTTTTTTTACATAATATACATTTTTGGATGTTTATTGAGTTTTTGCTACTTTTCTATGACTTATGGGTAATGAATTAATGGTTTTTCCCTGTTTGCTGCAGAGGAATCCAGCCAAGGTTCCAAGCTTGAATTCTCAGAAGATGAGGAAACCCTTATCACTAGAATGTTCAATTTGGTTGGAGAAAGGTGGGCTTACTTAAAATTTTAACAGGATCTGCTCTGTACTTCAATTACTTCTTCTCTTTTGGATTCGTAGCTTTTTGTGCCATGTAAATTAAGTTATGTGGGACTGATGAAAAAAGGTTCAAGTTTTTACAGGTGGTCTTTGATAGCAGGGAGAATTCCTGGAAGAACAGCCGAGGAGATTGAGAAGTATTGGACTTCAAGATACTCTACAAGCGAATGAAAATTTGATGGGTGGTTGTTCCATAGTTTGGTTCCTGGTTGGAATTGATCAGTTTTGTTTTGCTTGAGGAACAGAAAATTGCAGTATGTAAATGTAGTTTTCCTTTAGTTTGGCAGTTAAGGAAATGCCTGTGTTTTGTACAATCTGGTTTCTATGCAATGGTACCGTAATTCGGAGTTCGGATTTTCAATTTTCGGGAAATTTGGTGTGATGATTTTCATGGGATCATTTGAATGTACAACTAAACTATGTAAAAATGAACTTAAAAAGTTAAAACCATGGGCTTGAAAATCCAATGTTTCCAGTCAGAAGCGGTGACCAAGTTACCATGAACCAAAGACAGCTATGGTGAGAAAATTATTTGATTGCTTTGGACATTTTAATTGATCTTTTCTGGACGGTATACATTAATGCAAATGTGGTATAGTCCAAAGTATACCCTTTAACTCGTGTCTTCTTGATTCTTTAATGAAAAAATCCAGTTCAATGCTCAAGCTAACAGGGTCTGTTGTAACTCACACATTCCTTAGCCGGTGAAAACACCCAAGTCCGATCACTTCAGTAACTGTAAACCATTGCCCATGGGCCTTGGTCCTGACTAGCTTTCCCAAGGAGGAGAGTTCCCTATTATTTAATGAGATAAGCAGCCCAAGTTTTAGAGTTTTTTGGGCTTTGTGCCAACCCTATAATTTTGTTTTCATTTTTATTATTTTTAAATTGACATCTATGCTTTTCCACGGCATATCATCAATAAATCTAAAAGTAAAATTTGTGAAATTTTATATTAAAAATAAATAAATAAAAAATTTAATAAAAAATTTAAATTAATAAATTAATAAAGTTTAATGTGAATATTAATAATATATTAAAAAATTATTTATAATTTAAATTTTGATCGATACTTATTTAATAGTAAAAAATTATATCAATATTTTATTAAAAATATATATTTAATAAATATATCAAATTTTACACATTTAATTTATGTGATAAAATCTTTTAATTTATTAATTTTAATTTACTCATTTCTAATAAAAAATTTCACAAATTTCTTTTATTCACTATAAGTCTTTTCCGCATTGGCCATCCTTACTAATATTCTTTTTCCCTTTTCTCCTTAGATGCCTACCAATCATAGCAATATCTTATAACCTTTGTAGAACTTGAACTTAAGGGGTGATAGATAGATGGAATTCTAGAGCCGATTCAAAGCCCATAGAATTAGAGATGAATTATTGTGCTAAATACATGCATTTTCTATTAAAAATGTCATCCGAATTCTATTTCTTTTTAGATAAAAAACAAACATCCGCGGAATTAAAAATATATTTTTATTGGAAAGAGATTGGAAGAGAAAGTTTTGGTTGTTATCTCAAGTTTTATTTGAACTTAATTCTCTTATTAAAGATTTTAAGAACACAATCTCCTCATCAGTGTAGTGTATTTAAGAATAAAAGATTCTTTCTTTTTTAACGAAAGCTATTCATAGGTCAAGTTGGTTTTAAAATAGGGTAGTTTAATATATTTTTTAATGTTTATAATATATAAATATAAAAAATATAAATTATAATACTATCTAATTCGAAACTTGAATTTATATCTAAAATCCAGCCCCTTTTTTAAACAAACATAATGTTTTTCTTAAACTTGATTTAAAAACTTAATATTTATATTCAAAAAATTTTAAAATAACCCAACCTTTAGACATGTCTATTTTCAACTAGACTCTTCTCTTGTGGTTGCTGTCATTGTTGATGATATACAGGGGAATGAAATCTCCGAAGTTATGTGAGAAGCATGAAGGTCGTTGCTACTGCTAAACACCTTACCCATCACCCTTATCTCAACCAGCAGCAATTTAGGACCACAGTCAACAGCTAGAGCTGGTTGAGTTTCAACTTCAACTATCCAAAACCCAAAGACCACGTTCTCAATGTCACAAAATCCAAAGTAGAAGGAACTCCTCTTACACAACGTGAAGTATTTGGTTACAACTCAGCTACAGGCCAAAAGAGCCAATATCTCATCTTAATTTCATGCAGAAAAAAAAAAAGGTGTAATAAAACAGCACCTCTTTGCTTTTGTTCATGACCTGTTATATCAATCCTTCAACAAATCTTGCACAATTAAAAAGCTCTTTGTCTATGTAATAATACGACACTCTTTTTTCTTTTGGGTTCAAAATTCATGCAGGTAGACGTCTATACATAAACAATCAAACATGGAAACGTACGTGCGCTGAGTTTTTCTTTTCTCTAAGGAAAAGAGTCTATGGAATATGACAAACTTTATTTTAACAGCATGTTAGTATAACATTTGAGATTTCTGGAATTCTTTTGTCAATTATAACAGTAAGAATTTTTATTAAATTGATTGATAGTTGGGAATATTTATAGGATTATGTAGTGATGAAATAAATAACCTTTGACAATATATATAAGCATTGCAGCAAATAGTTGAATCGAAAACTTCGAAATTTTTTTTTAAGTTGATTCATTTATTAGATGAGAATATACATAAAGAGAGAAATCATTTAGAGCTTATATCGACATAATTTGTACAGTGATAAAATTTATTTATAAGTGTATAAGATAATTTTAGAAAAAAAATCCAATAGGATAAAACTTGGTGACATAACAAATGTAGAAGCTTTAAATTTCTTCAATGAAGTTGTTGAATCTCGGCATCTGTGAATCAGAAACTGGATTTTAATAAGAAAGAGGAAAATTCAAAAACAAAAAAACTTGTCAAAATCTGAACAGGAGAATTGCTACCCCTGAAACCGAAAACCATAATCATTATAACCCCAAGCCAAGCGCCTTTTTCTAACGATTCAATTGCTGGCCCAGACAACCATAAAAGAAAGGATGGGCTATCTTCTTGTTACGTGATTGTTTTAGACTCATTTGACTTGGATTTGTTAATCATTTGTAAGTTATGCCTATGGAGTACAAGAATTGGAGTTCTTGCAATTTGCAAATATGAGGCCTGAACTCATTTATGCTTAATTCTTATCTTCGTTCTTCTTCTGCAATTGTCCTTCCACTGCAAAGTACAGCCTTTCACTTTTCAGTTTTCGCAGGTGGTAATAAGAAAAATCGCATATCAACGGACTCCTTAGTCATTTGTCAATTGATTTTAGGTTGTATGCCTTGGTTGTGTCTAATTGGTGATACAACCATACTTCACGGTAATGCATAAACTTCCAAAAAAATCTTAACTGATAGAGGAAACTCTGATCCAATGATCAAATTGTGCAATCCAAATGGGTGTGTTCCCTCTTTTTGACTGATGTTAAGTACCATAAAAAGGAAAAGTAAAAAGATGGGAAGTGAAAAACAGGGAAATAAGTAAAAGGAATGGAAACAGAAAACCAGAAATCAATTATATATGAAAAAGAAAAAAAATAGTGACATAACTTGAAATGAAAATAGACAATGGCATTATACTACGTGCCTGTATATGCAGCTTCCATGGGACACTTCTCACTCATTTTCTGAAGATAAATATTAATGAGAGAGCTCCGCGGAGAAATTTGATGGTTTTTGTTTTTTTTCTCTTTATCCTCAAATGCATCAGTTTGTACCATTTTTCTTAGGGGAGGTGATAACTGATCCCTACTTTTGTCTTATAAATTGAAAGACTTGGAGGAGGAGAAGGAGCATTACATGAACTTCTCTTAGTTGTTTTAGTTTTTACAAAGTTTCTTACACAAAAACCAAAGTTCTATCCATGGCTGCATCTTTCTCTGTGCCTTCAATGGTAAGCTTCATTTCCAAGCAGCCTTAGTCTCTTCTTTTCTTCTTCTTCTTCTCTTAACAGGAATGCTAAGCTTAGTATTGCAAATGAGACTTGTGCCATTTTTCTTAAGAGGTTCAGTTTTGGTTTTGCATGATGCCCCTAATTCAACTTTTTAAGGGAAGACAGAGCACCTCGTTAAGGTTCAGGGGGTTATACTGTCATTTTTCATACATAAATATTAACCATTTTGAATTACTAAGGTGCCCCTGTCTTATATGGCATATGACAATGCTGTTGTTTGTTCTGATCTTTTCTTTGTTTGGGGGGTGGGAGGTCTATGGTGGCTGGTTCCATTGCTTGATGTGTAAAATCTTGGTTTCAAATGTTTGCGCAACAAATATTTGGTCCATGATTTCAAGAAAAGCAGTATTTTGTTTTGGAAGAAGTTGGTTTTCATTCATTGCTTTTGTGCTTATGCATTTATCTTTATGCTATTGGATTGTGATTTCGAAAACCAACCAACAGGTCTTCAGCTTTCTCCAGAAAGCAAACTAGAAAACCAAGACAAGTTTTTCACTTTTCCTTACTTGCATTACATCAAGAATGAATTATAAAGTTTGAAGAACCAAGAAACCATTGGAATATAGTTGCAGTGGTTAGGATGATTTGTAGAACCAAGAAGGCATCCAAACAAAAGTGTTTCGCTTTGGTTTTTGCCGAAGGATTCATTTGTTTCTTTCTAACTGTGAAAGAAACCATATTGGACTATCCTTTTCCCTTTCGTCTCTTTCACTACTCTCTAATTCCTCTTTGTTTTATGTATTCATGGCATTATTTTTGAGTAAATTAGTTCAGATTTTCTTCAGTATAACAAATGCTGTAAAACAGATGTTTTTGTAGTGGTTAAAGCTCATCCTGCAATAGGTTGAAGCTTGTACTTATCATTTTAGTAATATCAAGATTTATAATGAGTGAAACTCCTTGGACAGATAATGGAAGAAGAAGGGAGGTTTGAAGCTGAAGTAGCAGAGGTGCAAGCTTGGTGGAACTCAGAGAGGTTCAAGCTAGCCCGACGACCCTACTCAGCTAGAGATGTTGTGGCTTTACGAGGCAACCTCAAACAGAGCTATGGCTCAAACGAAATGGCAAAGAAGTTATGGAGAACTCTCAAGACACACCAAGCAAATGGCACTGCCTCAAGGACTTTTGGTGCACTTGATCCTGTCCAAGTAACCATGATGGCGAAGCATTTAGACTCCATTTATGTCTCTGGTTGGCAATGCTCCTCTACTCACACCACCACCAACGAGCCAGGTCCAGATCTTGCTGACTATCCTTATGACACCGTCCCAAACAAAGTGGAACACCTTTTCTTTGCACAACAATACCATGACCGAAAACAAAGAGAGGCACGAATGAGCATGAGCCGGGAGGAGAGGGGTCGAACCCCCTATGTTGATTACTTGAAGCCAATCATAGCAGATGGTGATACTGGCTTTGGTGGCACCACAGCAACTGTCAAGCTTTGCAAGCTTTTCGTGGAGCGTGGTGCTGCTGGTGTCCACATTGAGGACCAGTCCTCTGTAACAAAAAATGTGGTCACATGGCTGGTAAAGTGCTTGTGGCTGTTAGTGAACACGTTAACAGGCTTGTTGCTGCAAGGTTGCAGTTCGATGTTATGGGAGTGGAGACAGTGTTGGTGGCCAGGACTGATGCTGTTGCAGCTAATTTGATCCAAACCAATGTCGACACCAGGGATCATCAATTTATTCTTGGTGTGACTAACCCAAATTTTCGGGGAAAAGGTCTGGCCACTATGTTGGCAGAAGCAATGGCTGCTAGTAAAACCGGCCCTGAACTTCAGGCCATTGAAGACAACTGGCTGGCCATGGCCCAACTTAAGACATTCTCCGAATGTGTTATGGATGCAATTAAGAAGAGGAACGTCGGGGAGGATGAGAAGAGAAGGAGAATGAATGAATGGATGAACCATACAAGTTATTACAAGTGCCTCCCAAACGAACAAGCCAGAGAGATTGCTGAGAGATTGGGGCTCAAAAATCTTTTCTGGGACTGGGATTTGCCTAGAACCAGAGAAGGGTTCTATAGGTTTAAGGGGTCTGTAATGGCAGCGGTTGTTCGCGGTTGGGCTTTTGCTCCTCATGCTGACCTTATTTGGATGGAGACTTCGAGCCCAGACATGGTTGAGTGCACCAAGTTCGCTGAAGGGGTGAAATCAAAGCACCCTGAAATCATGTTGGCTTACAATCTCTCACCATCTTTCAATTGGGATGCATCAGGAATGACTGATGAACAGATGCAAGACTTCATCCCAAGAATAGCCAAGCTGGGTTTCTGTTGGCAGTTCATAACACTAGCTGGTTTCCATGCTGATGCGCTGGTGACCGATACGTTTGCAAGAGATTTTGCAAGGAGGGGAATGCTAGCATATGTGGAGAAGATCCAGAGGGAAGAGAGGAGCAATGGAGTGGACACTCTAGCTCACCAAAAATGGTCAGGTGCAAACTTTTATGATAGGTATCTCAAGACAGTCCAGGGAGGCATCTCATCCACTGCTGCTATGGGCAAAGGCAAGTCAAAGAAATTAACCTCATTCTTTTCCTAATGGTTAATTTAGTTGTGGAAAAGAACAAGAGTTTGATGTCTAAAATTTGTGCAGGAGTGACTGAGGAGCAATTCAAGGAAACATGGACAAGGCCAGAAGCCATGGGCATTGGAAATGAAAGCAATTTGCTGGTTGCTAAGGCTAGAATGTAAGACACAGCAACATGAGCTATGGTGAAGGAACAAAGGGTGGCATGTTTGGAGCGTTACCCCAATTCTTGTATTTTGGACTTGGGTGGAAATAATAATACTAATAAAAAAAAAAAGTGGTAACAACATCATTGGAGAATGGATCATTCTGGGCAAAATTTTTTTCGACCACATTGTGCTTCATTTTAGCGCTCTAATGCTTTTGTTAAAGATGAAACTCGTTTCTGTTATTGTTTTAAAATGGTTATGAGAAAATGCTTTGGCTCTTTTTTTTTTTTTTTAATCTCTAAGCTAGATTACTGTTGTTCTGAAGAGTATAGCACTACTCTACTGTCACCAGTGGCCTATTGCCTTTGCAACCATCCCCAACCAAATCAGTAAGTGGCTAGAAAAATTTAAAATCTAGAACAATATTTTTATTGTAAAGAATTGCTTAATTATATATAACAAGAAATTTTGTAGTTAGTAGAGTTTTTAAATTTCATAAATTTAATTAATATGGTGATATATATATGTATATTAAAACAATAAAAAATTAATTAAAAAAATAAAAAATATATCAGTCTATCAACCTCATTTACAAATTAAAAAATTTCACTAACAATATATAAAAACTAATCTCTTATAGAAAATATATTTTTAAAAAAATATATCAAAATTCTTATAAAACAAAAAAAAAAAAATGGAACCCCAGAAACTTTGGTTGGGTTTTGAACCAAAAAATCTTGAGTTGGGCTGGTTTCAGATCAGACAAGGTCCAGAAACTTTCTGAAAGGCCCAAAACAACGGGTTGGAGACGTTGCCTGGTTTGGATTTTTGGCCTTTTTGAATGAAATATAAAGAGCTGCTTTTCATATGTGTAGTGTCTGTTGTTTCGAGTAAAGATGAGGAATCAGAAAATTGTGGAATCAAATATCTTCGATATAGAAAGGTTCGTTGTTCTTTTTTAAAAAATTTTTGTTTTAATTTGGAATAAAATTGAAACTTTTCATCTTCTTAACCTTTACTTTCGTTTAAGTAATAATGACTTCCTCAAACCCTAATTGCCCATCGGAACCTTAACGATTAATTTTAGTTGCTTCAATTTTATTTTTTTTTTGGCAATTTCGTATTCTTTTAGAGGATTAATAATATGGACCATTATGTTGGACAATGTAATTAAGATTCACATTATTATCTCTTCTTTAGTAGAAATTTGGGTTTTTTTTTTTTTTTTATAAGAAAAAGGGTTACTTTAATTGGCAGCATCTCAATCAGTTCTAATTGGTGATTTTAATTTTTTTTATGGAGATTGTGGCATGATGACACAGATTTTGCAGGGTCGAGTTCGATGCATAGATATTTGGTTTTGAAATAGTGTAGAAGAAAGTTAGGAGAGTTAGAAGATATGGATGAGATGAATTATCTCTTACTAAATATATATGTCAAAGTATATTTATAGTTGAACTGGAGATGTTGAACTCAAAAGTTATAGCTAGCTGCGTTGTCGGCTGAGGATGATTAAACCATCTGGATGGGTGATATGTTGGTTTGATGGTGTAAGATGATGTGGATTGTGGAGGAGAGTAATTTCTAGTTTTGGGCCAAAAAACAATGAAAATTCCACCATTATTTGTATAATTTATAAACCCTAGGTTAGACATATCACTAAAAGGACTCGAGTCGACAATGAAATTCATCATAGGATGTTAATGGAAGAAATAGGTGTGAAGATGAACCCTTAATACAGGAGAAATTAATAACAGAAAAAAGGAGGCTTCTTCAAATGGATGGAATTATTCTATGGGAAAAGGTAGACAATTCATATGTGGAGACTGTTTATTGCACTCTGCTAGTATATCCTAGTAAAATGGAAATGGTCAACGACTAAGTTTTAGATGTTCACATCAACAATGAGCATAGCCTTATTGTAACTGACACAATCGGTAGCTTGAGGAATGAGATTTTCTGATAGAGACTATTATTCAAGCTCAAAACATTTTTGAACTCTGTATCTCAATCCAAACTTTTGCGTTATAGTATGCAAAAGTGTATGCAATACTACCATGCAGCTGTTATTTCAATCTTTTTCTTTGTTAATTATAAGTAATACTTGGAAATAAAACAAAGGCAGTTACATAGTTCTGATAGGCAGAAGGTTATATGAAATCAATGGATGCTGCCATTAAAGATTCTATATACTGGTTTGTTCTGCCATTACTTTTCCCTTTTGATTTTCCTATTCCTTGAAAGCAGGCAGCAATTTATCATAGAACTCACCAGGAAACCAAGCACAAAAGCAAATAGTATTCATAATATGTAGTGCCAAAAGGCAAAGACATTCTAAAAGCTTGGTATTTAGTGATAACTCCTATTTGTAACTATGTTGATGCTGCAAAATGACATTCCTTCCTTAGATGAATCTTACCTGGTTGATAGAAATTATTTGTTATCATTCAAATTCTAGCATTTCATTATTTATTACCTCATTGTCTTCTTCAGTTTCTTTTGATTATCATTTCAGTACTTACCTCAACGGCATGCTGCTGTGTGAGAATCCCAGATTCAGCTTTTGCTAGTGTTTCCTGAAATCAGTGAATAATTTTTTTTTCCTTAAATTGTTTGAAACAAGAAATAATGATTGTAGTTAGGACACCATTGGAAGGTGCAATCTGCTTTGACTAGTAAAGTTATGCTACCTTAGACCAGAAAATAATAACAAAATTGGAGGTAAATCACTTGTAATTTTGTAACAGTACATTATTTCTAAGTGGTTTTCAAAACACAGAATACAAAAAGGTATAAGAAGAGAAGAGAAGAAAAAAAAATCATCAGAACCTGTTAAGAGTATTTTCTATCTGAATCACATATGCAAAACGAAGGAGAAAAGATTGGGAGTGATGGAATCTAATATGCTCTGGTCATTTCTTCCATGGTTTCAAAATAGAGAGCACAATGATGATTGCAATAATGAGGAGCAAGATTATGGAGATAATCATGCATTTTCTTGACTTTTTTTGCAAGCTCTTGGCAGTTTGGAGAGCACTTGTACCTGATTGCACATGGATTACGGCATTTGTGACCTATCAGCAAAAAGAAAAAAAGAAAAAAAGGGTTATGGGAGTGTCAAATGTGCGAATGGTCCATATCCCTTTGATCGAGAGGCAAAAAGGCCATATACAACTACCCATTGACAAACTGAAAGATGCCATATCTAAGCCCAAAAGGCAAGGATGATATGATAATCAATGACTCAAAAATAACACAATAATAATAAGAACAACATCAATTATCCAAAAATAACAATAAGAACAATATAGCCAAGGTCCAAGGTCGCATTCTAAAAATAGTAAGAAGGATATCAATATTATGATTTAAATTCAATATTAAAATGTTACTTTTTAAGGTGGTCGCATAAATCAGTCTTGGGGTTCAAAATTATCTCCTTTGTATACCCTTAAAACATAGAAAATAAGTATTTTAATATATATATATATATATAATAAGAATAGCAATGGTAAATTTTGCGTATATACTAGAGAAAAAAGGAATATAATTCAAGATATTGGCTAAAACACAAAAAATTAGTAAGACTCGCGAATGAATTTGTTAATTCCATTGATCTATTTGAAATAAACAAGAACTTGAGGGGTGATGCCTAACCGTGTAAGTCCAAACAAAAGGCTTAGTTCAAATTTCCTCAAACTTCAGGAAAACGTCTCTATGGGTGGTTTGGGGGGGTGGGGTTGGGGTTTGTTATCCCTCTTGTCATAATGGGTCGGTGGCCTAATGCTGAGCCCCCCCAACCAAACCCACCCATCAATAACGAATGACTTCAAAACATGGTTGATCAGAAGACTGTAAGACCAACATTGCTCAATTGAGTTTAATCCAGTCGACTTAACAAAAACTCAATCAACTTTACAAACAACTAGTGCTTTGAATTTTATTTCGATTATATACATACTCAAAGCTCATCTAAAGGGTATTGTGGGGTTCGAATAGAAAATCTATTGGTAGAGTGTTGATATTTTAGTTTTAGTATCAAAATTCAATTTTTGATAAAATCGAAAAAAAAAAAAAAAAAAGGAATCCCATTATCAGTAATATGTGTGGCCAGAATAGGTGACAAAAACAAGATAATTTCCACAAATAGAGGTAGCAAAAGATGTTCTTCGAATCACCTCAATATTTAACAAAACCAAACTTCACAAATTAATTTTAAAATTAAAAAAAAAAAGAAATAAAGAATGAAAGAAAGCAATGAAAAGAAGCAAGTATTCAAAACAAATGGTGAAAAGAATCATGCAAAGGGAACCAACTCAAGCAGCCTAACCAATCTTCCAAACAAAATAACTACATGCACGCCTTGACAAGTAAAACTAGTGCTTCCAAAATAACTACATGATCAAGCAACAAATGGGAAACAACTCAAGCAGCCTAACTATTCTTCCAAGGTTTTAGTACTCCAACAACTATAACAGCAACTATGATTAGGAGAATTATAATGGCAATGCACATCCACTTTCGTGTACTCTTCTGTCGTTTCTTTGCATTTTGAAGTGCAGTTGTCCCTGACTGGACGTTACTGACTGCAGTTGAAACCTGGACAACATTCCATTAACACACAACTCCAAACAAAACACATCCTTCGGCCTAATATGCACACAAAAATACCCACTCTAAGAGATGTAAGAACAGGAACTAACCTGACTTTCAATGTTATCTAAAATTTCTCCTTGAGCTTCAACAAGAACTGCCATATCAAGGTAAATCTGACAAATAACATTTCCATTAGAAAAGACAAGTTAGCTTGGTTAGACCATAATGCATGCTAAGGGCTCAGTACAGATTTACCTGTTGCAAATCAAGAAGCTTTTTCTCAATCTCCATCACAGCATCATGCCTTTCTTGGATTTCCTCCACTGTATTTAGTATCTACAACCATAATCCAATATCAAAATTGAAGTAAAAAAGTGTATTACATAAGCAAATAATTATCTTCCCATGTGAACATTTGCATGTCCACTTTTGAATTTTCACGTCATAGTATAACAAAGTTGTGTACAACCAAAAAAGTGGTAAAACAAATTCCGCTCTGAACAGGTGTTAATGCAGTTCTAGTTCCATTGGCTCAGTGACTAGCATGGTCAACCTTTTATTTTGAGACTTGTTGATCTTCTTGGCACTAGTTCCTCAAATGCAAAATAGCAATCAAAACTTTCTTCTTGCAACAAAAGTCTTTACAATGCACCCAAAGACTGTCATTGACTATGACTAGGGAGATGTTCCATTTAAAAAGAAGACTCGAATTCTTTGTTGGGACATAATAGAGAACCAGATTGGTCCAAAAAACAAAGTAACTGAGTTATATGGATATGGAAATGGATATGGATATTCACTAAAAACAGAAAATACTTCTCTGTTGCTTGGAACAGAAAATGGGTCAACCTCTTTTAGGATCTATCCATTTTAGAAACTTCTGTAATCAATTCAAAAAATGCAACTTACAACAAATATGATAATGGCATAAACATGATAACCCTTGTTTCATCAAAGTGAATTAGTGTTAAATGTACGAGGGCCCTACCTGTCCTCGTCCCTGTTCTTGAATTGCCTTCTGGAAAATTTGCTCACTGTTTCCAGTTTCAATGAGGCGGTCAATTGTCTGACAAGAAAATTTTGGCGGATTAAACTAACATCCATATATAGAGCCAAGTTCCAACATCAAGCTTAAGCCTACCTGTTCATCTGGTCTGGTCCCAGTAACTGATCAAACAGCAATAAAAAACCAAAAAGTGTGATGAATAATAATAAGATGACTGATTCAGGAAAAAATATCAAACTAATTTTGTAGTTCTGGCAATTGGTAATCCCCATATTCTAACCTGTAATGACCCTTCTTTCCACAACCTCACGATACTCATCCTGTATCTTTTGTCTGAGAGTCTGAAATAGAATATTAAGATGAGAAAACAGATAGTATCTAAAAATATGCCAACCATGATGTGTAGATATACCTGAAACTCTATCATCAAATCCTTGAATTTTGTTGCCACAGCACTGCAAAAAATAATCACAATGACAAATATCAACTTTTTTTTTTCCAGATAAATGAAAAGGACCTAAAACTAAGCATTTGGTTGGCCAAAAATACTAAACATTTGCAACACACTTTGTAACATTCATCCTGGATCTGTCAATGCTTGTTCCCTTCTCACATCCAGGTTTCTGCCGATTGGCTAAGTTCTGAAGATAAAGGGAGAAAAACAGCAAAAAGGCTTCAATCGCATAGTTTTAAAGCCTGAAAATTAAGACATTTGAAGATAAAAATGAATAAAGAGTTACATCTTTATTGATTGCTTCTAATCGTGCTTTGACATTACGTGCTATCTTTCCAACATCGTCAATATCTTTCTCCATTCGCTTCTTGATAGCTTCAATAAATTACATTACATTTAGACAATATGGAACTTAAACAAACATGAAAAGTGAGGAGCATCTTAAGGAATTGATAATGAATATCCGCACAAAAAGATTCCCCATATTAAACTTCATCCCAAATTTGTTGCTACTTTATATCCTTTTTTATCAAGTAACTCAGACACTAACAGTGTAACACTAAGTTGGATGATAAATTGATAATTAATAATCAGATATGCAACTGAGTTACAGCTGAGTTACAGCCTATGCATCATTAGCATGCAATGCTCATATTGAATCTGCAAGGATTAGTATCGGAAGGATAAAGCTTTCTACCTTTCATAGCGGATGCCTTTGTAACAGACTTTGACTCCTCATTAGCATCCTGTAGAAAGTTCACATTAGACATATGTAAATTGAGATAATAAACAGCAAATTAATCGAATAAATCAAAAGAGATTCACACAGTACAGTAGACCTAAGAAGCAGGAAAGGATGTTATGAATTAGCATAAGAATTCCCAATAATGAAATTCAGCACATTGCAAGACAGGTCAGGTTAAACAATATAACACAGACAATGTCTAAATAAAAGTTGATACATTTGAAACCGGACCTAACCTATAACATTCAAACACTTTGACTACAGGACCTTGCCAATCAGACAGTGATTGGGACAAACTATGTCTGCATTAAGGAAGAAAATGATCAAGCTAAAGTTGATACATGAAGCTGGACCAAATTGGTAAGTTCTAATATTTCAACCAGCCAGCCGGATGGATGGTCATTTATTAGGACCGACCACATTGTATTAATCTGTAATGTAGGAAACAACAATAAAGGATTTTCCTTTTTTTCCTTTAGAATCACTAGGGAGGTACTAAGCGAATTCCTGTACTATGAGATATTAATGTAGGAAAATCAAGAAATGAGATAACACAATTTTTCAAAGAGACATTGATAAGATAGCAAGAGTACATGCAAGCCAGCAATTTTAACATACAAAAACAAAGCACAAAAATATCTCAGCGCAACCTTCAACATTAAAAAAATCTCAGGTGAACATCCTACATACCTTAAGTTTCCTAAGTAACCCAGAGAGCTTCTCCACCTGTTTCTCAACCTCTTGTATCTATATTGCAAATAATAAGAGCATGAAGCTATTAGATGGATTTCACGTTAAAAAATAAAGGTAAAAATGTTCCAACAATAAGCAAAGACAATCTGAGTAAAGGAGTTTCTAAAGTCTTTCTATATTGGCAGATTTGTATTCTTCAATTAGACTTGTTGAAAAAAGATCCGAAACTTCAATAAGTTTATCGATAATAACTTTCAAGGTTTACACAAAAGGTTGCAAATAGCCATCACAATCAACTACGATACAGCTAATTCATTTTGCTTTCGTAAGCACATGGCAGACCTGCTTGTTGAAAGTTTCCATTCCCATGTCGGAGTTACTTCCTGGAACCTGTCTTCCCATTTCGATATCACCATGGCCTTGGGCATCAGCAACAAATGAATCCTGATTGAGAACATGATAAAATCATTAAGTTATAAAACAAAGGCTAATGAAGCTATCACAATTAAATTGTCAAAGCGAAAAAAGAACTGACAGAAGTCAGAACAAAGCAAACTAAACTAAGATATCAACCCCAATCCAATTAAGTCCATGTAAAATTTAAAACTTTTTTTCTATGGTGGAAAGATCATTCAAAACCTAAGCATGAGACCAATAGTGATTCCAACTATTAAACTTAGAATCAACCAAAAACAAAAACATTTCCAAAGAGAAAGAGGAAAAACTACTATAAAAGAATAAACTTGGTGTGGTGCTAGATCAAAAAATTGAAATAAAATGAACATAACTTCTAAAAAAAAATTGAAACTTTCATACTCAAAATAGAAATAACAGCGTCAGATGGTCTTTAAAACAAGGAAACACTAACCTAGCTACAAAAAACCCAGAAACCCAAAAATAAACATCAAATTAAGTATTAAATTCCAAAAAGATAAGAGAAAAAAACTTGATTGATCATGCAAAATAAACAAAACCCAAGAATTTCATGATCTTAAATTAATTAAAAAAGTAAACTACAACTGATGAGACTAAACAAAGTGGTCGATAATTACCGTGAGTAAGTCGTTCATGTTGACGAAAAATAAAGAGATGATTTGATCAGTTGAAACCTCAAAGTTAAGAGGAAGAAAACGGCAAAACAAAGGAAATTTGTGGGCTTTTTTTTCCAGCCGGCTCTTATAGATGATATATGACTCTGTTTAAGTACTTCAACGTTAAATACGACAATTTGATTGTCTTATGATTTTCTTTGTACGACCAAACAACATTGTGTAATAACGATTTATTTTTTGGCCAATTGTTGTAACGATGTTCAGTTCGGTTTTTATTGGGCTTTCCGGTTGGCCCATTTTGGAAATTTCCATCGGGTTTTTCCTCTTCACTGGGAAAAAACAACTCAAATTGTCGATGGCACATTGGCTTAATTGATAATGTTGTCCGATTGAAACTAATTCCAGTTCTATTGGTTGTTTGTTTTAATACTAATGCTATTAGTAAAGAAAGAAATCCAAATTTAAAATAATTTAATTAATTTATACAATCATTTTTAAAAAATATATAAATTTAAAATTCTTTTATTTGTTCGAAAAAGAATAATGAGATTATATATATTTATATCATAGTTTTTGAATAAATTTGTGTTCTTAATAAAAAACTTCCAGCCTCCTGAATTAAAAGTTGAAATTAAATTTACTATAGAGTAATTAGTGATAATATATGACTCAATATCCAGTACGACTAACAGTGCCTTTAAACACATAGAAGCAATCCCCATTTTCAACACCATGCCACTTAAGGCTACAATTCTCACGCATGATCCTCTGCTTGTGTATGAACAAATAATCATCTTGGGGGAGTATTTTTCTGCTCAGCAGCAACTCTCGCAAATCATTAACAGTATTTGAGTCGTTCATTTCCATGGGAATGGAAGCTGCATTTAGCAGGCTTGAAGACATTTGCAGCACTATGTTCAGCTTCCTTGTTGGAGGCTCTTCCCTTAAACGATTCACAGTTTTGAGGAAAACAATGATTTCTGAGAATTCGGATATACCATACTCACTCAGGTTTAGAAAATCGTCTGCCAATTCTATTCCTGAAAAGAAGAGTGACATCCTTTTAATTGGTGTGCCATCAACAATGTGAATTTTTTCTTTCAGGCTTCGCACGGTTTCTGTTCTGTCAACTTCCATGGCAATCTGTTTAGCTGAAAATTTTACAGTGATTTGTATTTTTGAGCAATGGTTAAATGGAGGTGAAAGGGGTTTTGGGGTGAGGTCGATTTTTGTATCATGAGTAACAATTGGGTAATCTTCCATGTCTAGTCCATCAACTAGCTCCCAACCAGATACAGAAAGAGTTTGTGCTCCAACTGGAATTCCTAGGAGCTGCTCTAACTTCCTTTTGATTGCTAACACAGGTTCCTGGAAACCAACTTCCATGGCAAATTCACGTCCCCAGGCAACAATGATTACCCTCATTCTGCTACTCCCGAGTTAAAGCAGCAGTTGCAATAAACTTTTGCGCCAGACCAAATATCAGTACTTTTAATCAAGGCAACAATTTTGCCAGTGTTTTCCCTTGTCTGAGATTGGAAATTTGAAATGAAAAAGCATGCAAATTAAATCCAAAACTCATGAGTGTTGAGTCACGTACTCACGTTAATTAGATGAATGAGAAATCATGCCAATTAACAATCATAACTGTTTTGCAAGTTTTATCTGTTAAAATAAATTCACTCCAATTGCATTTTGTATGTGAGTTGAAGCATGAATGACACTTGGCCAAAAAACAAAAGCACGAGTGAATAGAAGAAAATTATACTATACACCGGCAATAAGTTCTACAAACAAATCTAGATAATTGACATGGGTGATACAAATCATTAATTGAGGTAATTACTGTAGACCAATAAGCCACAAATCAGTTTTTTTTCTCCATTACATACATGCACATGGCCTATCAGTTGTTAACCTCATTAAATTAAGGTTTAATGTTCAAATTTCTCGCTCAATTGTGTCAATAGTCATGTTGTATGATAGGGTATTGGAATCTTAATTCAACGAGTAGGATTCGATCATGTCTCAAAAAATTAAACATTGTAAGAAGGGCCATATCGTCAAAATTATAGAGGTAATGGTTGAAGAAGAAATTTGTTTGAAAACAGATTCTCTGGAAAAGGGATCCTTAGTTGCAATTGCATGCACATCTCCCATTCTCATTAGATTTTCATTCCACCTTTCTCAAGTTCAGGCATTTATTTTGCATGAAATAAGTTATTAATCTTTAATTTATATTCAAATAAGTATTATTTTTTAATATATATTTAAATAAACTCTTAATATAAATTAATTTTGGCTAAAATACTAAAAAAATCCTTGAACTATTGTAGACACCATTTAATTAATTGATTTATTTATTCTCTCTTTTCTTTCTTGGCAACTTTTCTGTCAGCCGCTTGTAGCTGTTAACAGCTCTAATAGCTGGCGGCCACCCTAATCCTAAGCTACTTTTATAAATAAAGTAATGAAATTGGTAACAAAAGGAAGAAAAAACCCTACAAAAAGAAAAATACACTCATTGCAGGATTCCAAAAAAAAAAAATTCTGTGAAAAAAGATGAATTAAACACTAAAATATAAACAAAACAAATAATCCTTGGAACATGAACCACAATGTTGGTAAAAAAAAAATCACAAAACAAGAAAAAATCAATTTGACCAAACCTTCTAGGCCAAATCCCCTCTGTTTAAAGTATTTTTTCATAAAATTAGGCTCGGATCTAACTCAAGAGGTTGAGATCATTCATTTGGTAGGTTTTGAGATTTTTCAACAACCAACGAACGATGGCCGACAACCACCGATGGCAACCGACACGGCACAATAATCTCATATTTTTGGATTTCTAGAGAGAAAGGGAAAGCGTCTGAGAGAAAAAGAGAGAAAGAGGAAAAAGAAAACAAAAAAAAATAGCTAATTTGGCTGTTAAATAAACCTTCAAAACGATGTTATTTGGGTAACAAGCAAAATGACACCGTTTTAACCTTAGAGGATCTGTACATCAACTTGCAACTTGACTTGGGGTTTGCGCACCCGACTCAATAACTCGTTCTCCTTTTAACTCATGATCTATCTAGTTGAACTAGTCTAGACCAGATCAAATCGATGTCAAACCGCTAAACCGCCCAGATCGGACCAGACCGACATCAACAGTCTAATTTAGGTAAAAAATTTTTATTTTTTTATTTTAAATTTTATTATTAGTATTTATGCATATTAAAAAATTTAAATTTGTTAGAATGAATTTTTGTTGAAATCATATAAATGAGTAATGAAATACATAATTAAAATTTTTGATAATTTTTATTTTTTTAAATAAAATAATAAAAAATGTAAGAAGAAAAGAAAATTTTTATCTGACGATGAGATTTAAAGGTATTCTGAGTAGTAATACCTACGAAATCTCTATGTGAGAAATTTTTTTAAAAATATTATCAGTGTATTAGAGTATTTATAAAAAGTTTTCAATACAATAAAAAAAATTTTAATAAAAAAGTAAAATTAACTAATTTGTTAAAAATAAGGTGATAAAAAATAAAAAAAAATTTATCTGATGATGGGATTCTAAAAGTATTCTGAGTAGAAATGCTTTAAGAAATCTTTAGATAAAAAGATTTTTTAAAATATTACCAGTGTATTAAAATATTTATAAAAAATCTTTAATATAATAAAAATTCATATTTTCTTCAAAAACTTAAATAATAATTCAATAAATAAGATTAATAAAATTTCTAAAAAAGATAATAAAAGGTGTGCATTAACATATTATCATTTTTTGCATTACATGCACAACATGATTTTTACGAAAAATAAATTCAAATATCCGAGAATGAGATTTTAAAGTATTCCAAAAAGCAATGCCTAAAAAACCTTTAAGTGAGAAAAAGTTCTTCTAATGTTACCAACATACTGGAACATTTTAAGAATTATTTCAATAAAAAGATTTTAATTTATTTTTCTTGAATAAAAATAAAATAATAAACAATGAAAGATATAAAAAAACTAATAAATGAAAAATTAAGAAAATTATTTTTCAAACACCGAAAATAAAATTATTTTTATCAAAATCAATGGATAACATGTAATTAATTGGTACCGTTTTAAATAGACGTTATGGGGGTGCTAATTCTTCCTTACTCGTAATCAACTCCTAAACTCAGATTATTTCGTATACCACAAAATTATTTTTTTAGTAAATTTTAATTAATTTTAAAATTTTTATTAAAAGAATATATTTTTAATAGGTGGCCAATCGCAACTAACCAAAAAAGATTGGTGGCGATTCCGTTTTTTATTTTTTTTTCTTTTCACTTTCAAATTCATCGGACAGACATAAAATTGTTACGATAACTATTTTTTTTTCTTAAATAAGTCCTTATACTTTTATTATATTTAATTAAAATTTTATTTTTTGATTTGTATCTAAATAAACTTTTATATAAAATTAAAAATTGATTTATATTAAAGGTTTATTTAGATGCAAATGAAAGGTTAAGGCTTTATTTGTTTCCATAGAAAATGACAATCAAAAATAATTTCTGAAAAATGTTTACACTTTTTGAATTGAAAGAGATTTTTTGTTGTTTAAATGCATTAATGAAAAATATTTTCGTTGTTTGGTTATTTTTTGGAAAATCTATTTTTAAAAAAAATAAAATTAATATAACTATTAAAATATATTGAAATTATTTATTTATTAAAATTATTAATATTAAAAAATAATTATATTTTAATAATATTTAATATTAAAATATTATGTTAATATAAAAAATACTTAAAATAAAACTATTTATTATTCTTTATATTATTTATTAATATATTATAATATTATTTATTAATATATTATATTAATAGTATGTTATTTATTAATATAATATTGTTTACTCATATATTGTAATATAATATTATTTATTAATATAATATTACTTATAAGTAAAATTATGTTCAAAAGTATTAATAAATAGTTATACTTAGATATAGCTATTTTCCAAAAAATGTTTTCTCTTTTTGAAATACGTAAGATAATTTTTAAAAATATGATTTCATTTTTTATTGATTAGTAAGTCATTTTTCATTGATCAGTCAATTTTTTTATCAAATAAACACTTGAAAATAAAAAAATCATTTTTCAAAAGTCATTTTCTGCGAAATAAATGGAGCTTAAGGGTTTGTTTCGATGTAATAAAAGTATAGGGGTATATCTTAATAAAGTAGTAAAATTCAAAGGCTTTTTTGTTATTTTAAACATCAATATCTTGTTTAAAATAAGGACTTATTTAGATAGAAATTAAAAAAAAAAAGAAGCTTGTTTGACTGCAAGAAAAGTACAAGGGTATATTTAAAAATGAAATAGTTTAAGTTATTTTACCCTAATTTCTCTATACAAAGGAGTCTAGAGATTGAAAAAAAAAATGTAAGCATTGAGATTTAAACTTTAAATTTGTTGATAACACCTCTTAAATTAAACTAAAAATATCAATTAAATAACGTAGGAAGCATGGACTTGTGCAAATAACATACGCATTGAGAATATTGGAAATTAATTAGAAAATTTTAGGATTGATTCCCTATAACTACCATATATATCCCCATTGGCAATGAGAAGAGCCTCGATTCTTCAAAATCCTAATTTTAAAAACATTTTAGATATAGGGAAAACGGATAATTCGACCGACGTGCGTTAACATTTGAGCAAAACTTCAATATGACGCTGATAAAAAAAGTTGGTATCTCAAAATTCATAATTGAAAATTAATATGTCAACCATTACCTTAAACAGGCATCAAAATGAAAATTGGAATCCTAGCCGATTGATCCAATGCTGCAATTAATCCTCAGCTATATATATAAGAGGATCGATTTCTATCAACACAAATCCGATTCTTGTCTCTCATTCTCGTTCTGTCAAGGGAAGATATGGCATGCAGAAAATTCAAAGGCATGTTTTTTTATGCTTCTCTACGCTCTTTAGGACCAACATCAGTCTTGGTTTATTAGCACTTATTAGGAATGTTATTATTAGGTTAAATCTATATTATTGTTTCATTTTATTATTATTATTTAGTTACGGTGCATTGTCTGCATGTACATTATATACTAAAGAATGAGCTTAATGAAAAATTAGGAGCCAATGCACCACTTTGAGAGCATATGCATTCACAATTCCAGATGTTCATACATACATTCATGCATGCATAAAGAGGTAGAAATCATTATTTTTTTTTTTCAGTATATACAAGATATGTATACTGTTTTTAGTATCTCAATATATATATATTTTGAAAACTCGATTTATGTATTTGTTGCATGTATAGATTGATGTTAAATAAACTGCAACACCAATCATCTGTATCAATGATATATATCTATATACATCAATATATTTATATATCTACATGGAATAATACGAGTTAAATCACTTGTGATATTATTAACATATTTGTATTTTGAGTATCTGAGTTTTAATTGTTCATTATAAATCAATACGGTAATTAATTTATACCATTTGTTAGTATGTCTGAAGGTCTGTTTCTGTCTTAAGCTACCATCACTACTAGGAAAAAGCTCAATAGCGAGGAAAGTTTCGTCTCTAAAGATACTAAGTCTGTCATTAGTAATTATTAGTGACGAAAAATTCATCTTGGAAGTCCATCAAAAGGAATCCAAGAACTTTTTGGTCCGCAATAAAGATTCCGTTGTTAATAGATGCAACATTAGCAGGCACATAATCTGTCACAAATATGTTTTTATTTATTTTGGAAAAATATTTTAACTTATAAACCATCGGCCTTTTAGCAATGAAAATATCCGTTTTTAATGAAGTCTAATTCTTTTTCATTTTTTGGTTCAGTTGACACTAAGCTTTTGCAATGGAATAAATTTTTAGGATTGTTAAGAGCGGAAAAGAAGTGTGTATCTTTTAGTGATGAAATTTAGTTGCTAAATATTAAAGATTTTGTAATATTTTAGAGATCGGTCCTCTTTGATTAAGGATTGATCCTATCCATAAAGGACTGACCCTTCCCTCAAAAAGGATTGATCCTTTTCACTTTTAATCAAATTTATCAATTACAAATAATATAAAAAGAATCCATATAAATCTTCATACAACTATATATATAATATCAGAATTCAACATTCAACTCAATTTTATAAATATTCATAAATATAAGCAACCATATGTCCATCAACAACATTCATAAATATCCATAAATTTCCATAAAAAAAAAAAAGAGATCCATCATCTATCATCATACCAATTCAATAAAAAAACAAAGAAAAAAAGAAAGGTTATTATCTCACTAACACTTCGGCTTGATAAAATCATTGATTTTGATATTTGGAGCAAAAACACTTAATTCTATTTCCATTGACAAAATTTGTTTGAGAAAATATAAAATTTATGAACTCCTCAACTTGTGAAAGGAACTCATCGGTAATAAACCTATTTAAGTCTAACTGATGATACATCCAAAATCTATCCCTATCTATTTTGCAAGCCTAATTGATTCAAGAAAATTATAAGCATACCTATTTCATACCTATTTTACAAATTCGACACCAATTTCACAACGTCCACAATAATTTCATATAAATTTAAAAACAAAATATCACATTTTTCACAATAATTTCATATCAATTTCATAATTTCCATACCAATAATTTCACACCAATTTAAGTTCACCAATTAATTTAGCATCAATTTTACAATTTCAACAATAATTCCGCATCAATTTCACAAATTTCAAAAAATTCTCCACAAATTTCACAAATTCAGTATCAATTTCATAATTTTCAAATTTCACATTTGAGAATTACCCTATAAACCCTAACTTTCTACTACTTTTAAATTTTTAAAATTTAAGAGCAAAAGTTATTACCTAAGTGTTGTTAGACCAAAACCAATATCTTCTACAAACACTAACTTCCAAAATTTTTTTAAAAAAATCAGTATTTTAAAAATAGAAAAAATTAGCTAAAATTAAACAAATTAATTAACCCAAATCCCTAAATTTAAACAATTAACAGTAACATACACAACAACAAAATAAAGATAAACAAAAATAAAAAAAAACCAAAAAAATGAAAAAAAAAAACACATACATTCATAACAAAGATATATGCCAACCGAGGTAGGTTGAGTTAGTAAGAATTAAATACTTTATTTTACATGATAGTAACTAATTTTCACATTAATCATTTGATTCGTAGTAGAATCACCTAAGATAGGTACGGATCAATATTTTCCTAATTGTCATATATAACTCTCTAAAAAAAATTCAATAAAAGGAAATTAATGTTTTCTTGGTGAGTGAAAGCGATTGCTGCCTAATAATGCAGAATTCTGGGTTTGTATATTTTCTGATCAAATATTGAAATAGTCTCTTAATGCATATATATACTAATGAAGTTTCCTAGCCGTTAGACGCCATAGCTGGCAGCTTCCAGCAGGCCGTCCTCAATGGCAGTACATAGTGTCTGATCTTCCCATTGAAATGCATGGAACTTGCTTGAACACAACAAATAATAGTACAAAAGGAGCCTTAGATTCTTCTAATAATCGTACTGCCACAAGCTCTTAACAGCTGTTCAATTAATAGATTAATTAAATGCACCAGCCAAAAGTTTTCATGGTCTGGTTGTTGGGATGGAATCTGTGCAACCATGTGATCAGTGAGGAACAATTTTGGAGCTTGGCCTCAGCAAGGATCGAAAGGATTTACACATATAAATGCTTACTTCTTTGTCATTTAGTCATTTACTTTGGCAGCCTCTTTTGTTAAAAAAAAAAAAAGGTCAAAATTACTTTTTTGTATCTATCTTAACCATTTGAGTAGTGAAAATGATTAAACAATTTCTCCGGGGATAAAATACAAAGAATATTTTATTCTATAACAAGTGTACAATGCCAAGAAACACATGGTCTAGAGATGATCACCTCATTTTTTTTAAAATGTCGACAATGTGGTTAGTACATGATTCCTCAATTTTCAATTCAAACGTAAAGCTGGTATACCGAAGTTGAGTTTAAACAACAATTAATCTCGTAATTTGTGTGTACAAGTAGTTCCTGAGTATATATCAATCTTTTTAATTTGATGGTCCATCCTCAAGTTTCTTCATTTCCAGATTTCAGTTTCAACTTCAGTATGAAAGGTGGGTGAATTAAATGACAGGAGAGTTCAATGATTATTAAACAAATGATTAAGCTATGATCATGGTTAATTGTTGTCAATTATTTAATATCAGTTCTCATGATCCACTAAACATAATCAGGCAATAACAGGAAAACAGGCCACGAACGAGGGATGAATATTAAACTAAATAAACTAGATGTTTATTAACACTAATTAATTAGTGTTTTCCTAAATTAGTTACCAATTCACCACTAACATTTTATCATATTTTGGAGAGTAAATCTTGTCATTTCCTTTGAATATAGTGATGACCATATCTCTGTCGGTAGAGGAGCCAATCAAATATATTGGCTGCCAATTAGAGAATAAATTCAGGTTGGGACATTAGATATATTTCACCAACAACTGACTGATAATTGTATGATTCTTTCAGCTAACTGCTAACATAAGGTTAGGCATATAATAATATTTGCTCTTACAGCTTACAGTTTCAATTTTTTTTTATCACTCTTAGAGTTGCAATTTAAGAGTTGAGGCCGATAGACAAGCTGTTTAATGCCGGCGATTGTAATATATAGATGTAAAAGAAAAAAAAATTATATCATTTTCAGTATTTTTGTATATTGTGTTTCCTATTTTGTAGTACTAAATTTACACAAATTTGCACCTGTTTTCTGTATGTTCATACTTCTTCCTGTTTTTAATCAATTATTATTATTACTTGATCCATGAGAATGATTAGTATATTGGCATGTTTAATTATCTATTGTAATGGTCTGGAGCTTATATTATATAAAAAAGGTCTGAATTACTTATGAAATGATCACCTGTGTCCTAAATTTATGACTCTAATTAGTTACATGCACTAAATGATGTAAAATAAGCAACTTAAATAGTTTGCCCTAATGATTTTATCTTTTTTAGAGTATATTAAAAAATAAAAAATAATTAAAAAAGAAGTGAGATATATATCGATTTTTTTAACCCTATTTATAGAGTTAAAAAAATTTGCTGACAATGTATAGAAAACGAACTATTTTTTTACTATGATTGAGGTCAAATTCCCTTCTTCCAAGTAAAAACGTCTTCATTTGTATATGAAAATGTTGTAAATGCCATTTCGTTTTGTTATTTTCATTGATGAAATTAGTATATTTTGACTTACAAAACTTATTCCCGATTCTAACTTTTGCACATCTTACCATTCATCATTGGTTCCAAAAGTTTACATTTGTAAAGGATGTTATTAACTAAGAAAATGTATTTAGAAATTCTAACTTATTCTTGGAAAATTAATCAAATTAAAAAGGTAAGAAATTAAATAAAATGCAATTTCTCTATGACAAAATGATTATTTCCCATGAAAAATGGTCATATGCGAAATGTGCAAGAAAAACTAGCCTACTATTATTGTTTTTATCATAATGTTAATTTCATTGTTTAGGTTCTTAACTTAATGAAAGAGTAATGTATATTATCCTTTTATATGTTATATGTATGATAATCTATTTTTTTCGAAATTATATATATATATATATATATATATACACATATGATAATATTGATATATGCACAAAAATGCATGAATATAAGTGCATCCTCAAATTTCTATTTCTAACTTTTAAAATGAAATATTCCAAATCAATATCAATATCATTCTATATATAAGGAATAGATCTACTTGTACTAATGTAATTTTTATTTTATTTTTTTACCATCGGATTAAAATTTACTAAATTTAAAAATATTATTTAATTTAATTCAAATGAATTATGAATGTAATTTTGATATAAACATCCAAAAAGTATAAGAATTACATTATTGTAGGTGTGTGTGTATATATATACACACACACACACTAATCAAAAGCAGATAATTTTTTTTTCCTTCATTTTCTAGCCAACTTTTCTTTTGATTTTTTGGTGCATTTGTTTGTACATGGTATTTTGCATGTTGATTTAAAAAAAAAAAAAACAAAAACAAAAGAAAGGAGAGATAAAAAAATGGAACTTATATACAAGTTTATATATTCTTTTAAATTCTCTGATCTGTAATATTTTGGATGTCAGCTCATTGGTTTATTGCCCTTATCAAATCAATCATAAACTATAAACTAATAAACAGACAGCTTTGCGTACAGATGTTAAAAGAGAGTAAGGGACTAAGCTCAAGTACTATAAATATAAACCTTTTTTTTTTTTATATACCACATATTTCTCAGACACATCAAGTCCAATAATCTTCTCAAGACAAAATGGTTACAGGCCAAAAGCTTCCATCCTTTCTCTTTTTTCAGCTGATTCTTGTTCTTCAGGTCTTATACCACAGCAATGCACAGGGCTTGAAACTCGGGTATTACCACAAGACCTGCCCTAATGCAGAGTCTATTATCTGGAACACAACTCATCAAATCATTTCTCGAGCGCCTACTCTTGCCGCTCCTTTGCTCAGGATGCATTTCCATGACTGCTTCGTTAGAGTAAGTTGTTAAAGCTTTCACTAATTTTGACTAAAAAATATATACATTGAATCAAATGTACGACGTTTTCATTGGAGCATGACTACAAATGATTTAGGCCTTGAAACATTGTATATTATAACCAATGATTATAGATCAGTAATGAAATCAATTAAGAAATTAATTTTAATGGTGTACTGCAACTTCTAAACAAGTAGATATTTTTCAGGGATGTGATGGTTCAGTGCTTCTAAATTCCACAAAGACCAACCAATCTGAGAAAGATGCATTCCCCAACCTAAGTTTACGAGGCTTCCATGTGATTGATGCTGTAAAATCTGAAGTCGAAGAAGCATGTCCCGGTGTGGTTTCTTGTGCGGATATCCTTGCCTTAGTAGCTCGAGACTCAGTTTCCATGGTAAACTCCTCTCATTGTCTCTCTAAATTTTATCAAACCAAAATAATATGTCGTCTCATTTCCTTTAAATTCATTTTCAGATACAAGGACCCTTCTGGGAAGTTCCTCTTGGCCGAAGAGATGGAAGAGTTTCAATTTTGAATGAGGCCTTAACAAACTTGCCTTCTCCTTTTGCCAACATAACACAACTAAAACAACTGTTTGCTACTAAAGGTCTAAACGAGAAAGATCTGGCGGTTCTATCAGGTATTTCCGATTTTATTTCTTTGTTGAATTTTATCACTATGTATTCAATTTCGTTGAACATTTGACACTATAACATCAAATTTGTTGATTTTTCTCTAAAAAAAATTAACGAAATTGACAGAAATTATTTGTCACTTAGATTGAGAGAGCTATTTGTGAGATTGCATTGTAACTTGTGCTCTTTCTAATGATACAGGAGGACACACCGTTGGGACATCTCATTGCGTTGGATTCAGCAACCGCCTCTACAATTTCACTGGCAAAGGTGACACTGACCCATCTATGGATCCAAACTACATTGTTAAATTGAAGCAAAAATGCAAGCCTGGAGACAACACAACGCTGGTGGAGATGGACCCCGGAAGCTTCAAGACCTTCGACGATAATTACTACACTCTTGTAGCCAAGAGAAGAGGGCTCTTCCAATCTGATGCCGCCCTTCTCAATGATGCAGTAATTAAAGCTTATGTCTTCCTTCAGGCTTCTACCCATGGATCTACCTTTGCTAAAGATTTTGCTGCGTCAATGGTGAAGATGGGCAAATTTGGAGTCCTCACTGGCAAGCAAGGTGAAATCAGGAAACATTGTGCTTTGGTCAATTAATTGAAAACTTCCCCCTTTTTATTAGAAATTTTATTATTTTTATGACATCTTAATCAAAATGTGATTGAATTTGCAACAAATTAAAGTTGCGTTGCATTCTTTGTGTTATAACTTATGTGTATGGCTTTTCAAATTGCTGCCATACATTGTTGCTGAGTGTAATTTATGAAAATAGTTATTTTTTTCTGTATATCATGGTTCAGAACTCAGTAATATCCATGACTTTATTTCCTTAAATTTATTGTTATCAAATAATTAATACCTATTATTCCCTCCATGACTTGGACCTTGTTGTGGCAGAAAAATGTTACATAAAATATGATAAACAGACGTGATCCTTTCAAAGTTGACTTGAAATAATTGAAAGTGATTTCATCATATTAATTCTAACATATAACAATTAATTTTTTCCCTTTAAAAAATTTAATTTTATTTATTTTTTTCACTTCATTAATTATATATATATATATATAACACACACACACACACATTCTTTTATCTTTTTTTTTACTATTTTAAGATTAGTATCCTTTTCAAAAAAAGTTTAAAATTTATATTTAATACACTATATACCTATAAGAAGTTTTCACTTCATTAATTAATAAACTTAAAAATTTTAAAAATCTTGAAAATAAATATTCAAATTTAAAGATATCCAATATTAAAAATTTATATTACTCACTATTAAAATGATAATTTTTAATATAATTTTAAATTTATAACACGAACATGTGGTATTATAAAAATTTATGGTACCTTAACTAAGTTCATGGAGTTACAATCTATACGAAGAGATACAAATCAATACGATCAGTACAAAAAATTAAAAAAAATTAATAGTCTTAAAGGTATCGATTATTTTTTCGAAATCAAATACATTTCTCGAGTATCGGAGTATGTTACCAATAACGTTTGCAAAATTACATACAAAAAGCAATGAGAGTTGTTGGGGCCAGCTAGTTTTGGGCTCCAGAAACAAGTACAATGGAGTAAGCCTTGTAAAGTTCCTTGTTACAACATGGGGTTTGGACTTTGGAAGCATCAAGGGATCTACAAACTACAATATAGGCTGGTCACTCCAACTAACCCTAAAAGTTTATTAAGTTTTACTTTTGCCCCACTCTCACTGAAAAAAAAAAATTAATAAGTAAATATTGATAATTATAAATATAAAAAATAATATTGAAATGTAATAAGTAATGTTTTGAATGTATCCATCTTGATATTTTCTCTCCAGAATATATGGTCCTTTCATATAAGTAAGCTAAGAAAAGAAATAAATAAATAAAATAATAAATAATAATATTATTTATGAATCATATGACACAAAAACTGCACATGTGAATTTTTTTTTTTTTTTCCATCCAAACCCCACTTTTTTTGCCTGAAATTTCGAACCCCCTTAATGATAGATCTAAACGGATACATTGCCTGGGGAAGAGAAAATTGCAGCATCAGAAACCACATTGCCTAGTTCTTACATATTACATGTTGTCGGCTCTCATTTCGTGACTACAAATATGCAATTGACCTATAAATAAAAAATAATACTTGCTCGAACTTATCCAATTATAAGCTTATGGGTTCTGAAACAGAAACTTATTTAAAATAATTAAAAATATCAAAATCATAATAAATGTAACAGATAATTAATAAAAAGAATTAAAAATATGTCATCTTTAATGTCTTTCATGCATCTCAATGATTCATATTGAAGCAAGATTCAATGCATTTATTAATAGTACAAATAATTGAATGTTTAAGTTTTGTTTCTACCACCAATTATGAAGATGGAAAGAGATACCCATAAATATTAATACGATTAAAATGGAGATGAGTTTTTTTTTTTTCAAATTATATGTAATTTTTGTGGGAAAAATTGCAAAAATAAAATTTTAAATATATTAAATTAATAAAAAAATGTCTTCTTAAAATCATTTAAAAAAATTAGATCTAGACAAAACTTAATTAAAGATACCAAAATGGAAATAGATTGAATTAATGTACCTATTTTTTTTTTAAATGTTAACCAATCAAGCAGCACATGCAATTGTCCATACTGAATTAATTAATAATGTCACCAATGAGAAGGGGAAAATTCCGTCTTCCACGGCACTCAAACAAATTGAAGCCTCTCAAACTATGTAAAGCCTAATAAATTGCTTTTAAAAAAAAAAAAAAAAAGGAGCAAAGATGACAATGACTAGACTTTTCGGTTGTCATTGAAGGCAGCTGGTTAACCATGACTTTTCTTTTGTTTTCTTTTGAACATATTATTAATTAGAATAGTAGGCTACAGGAGCATACAACTATTTCTTTCTTTGTCGTGTTGTAATTAATTACTCTTTCTTTTTCCCGCTTAGGGAGGAAAAAAGGAATCAAGTTGATTCTTCTCGGGCTTAGGGAACACTAATTTAGTTTTGAGATAGATGTCTTTCGGTTAGTTTGTTCTTTTATAATTAATGAACAAAAATAATCCTCAAAATTTAATTTAATTAATTTATATAATTACATTTAAAACATAATATTCAATTAATAATCCTGAAATTATAATTTTTTTGTAAAAATATTAATACTCGTACCATCTATGTATAGTAATGATGGATAAGGGCAAGATTAGGTAAAGTTTTTTAATTAAAATTTATTAATTCAAAAAATATTTAATTTTTATAAATCTTGTTAAATAAATAAAATATACAAAATTTTAAATAATTCAAACAAATTATAAACATTTTTATTATAAAAAATTATGATAAAAATTTAATTGTTCAATAGTTGTTGATCAAACTATACACAATTATTATTTTTAATTATTGCATTTCACCTATTATCAAAGATAAAATCAGACAAAATTTGAGCATATATATGATTGTATTATAAAAAAAAATCAATTTCCTTATTAATGAACTCTAATAATTTAGGGGTTCTGATTTTCAGCTTTATTTTTATTGAACTTACATAGCTTTTGCCGACCAATAGGAGATATAAAAGAAATTTTTTAAAAAAGAAATGGACAAGATTTTCATTGGAAATTAGTATATATGATCATTTAGATGCTCCTATGATTTGATAAAATAAAGTGTCCTAATTTTATATTTAATTAGCCGATTTTTTTATAAAAAAATTATAATTTAAAAATAAAAAATTATAAATATTAATATTTAAATTCAAATTTATTGGGTATTACATCTAAAAAGTAAATTGTGTAATTCAACTGAATTAAACTTTTATTTCTTGCACTTAACTAGTCATTGCCCATGTGTATTTGATTCCAAAATTAAAGTTTTCGAGATTCTATCTTCGAAAAAAAGGAAAGGATAAAAAAAGGTTTAGGGGATTTGTTATATTTAAGAAACAAATAGCTTTCAGCTGCAAGTTATTAATTAAAAAAGAAATAAAGTAGCCACCTTTTTCTTTCCCAGATTGTAACATAGAGAAGGGACTTTCAAATTTTTTTTTTCCGAATTAGGATCGAAGTTCGAACTCAAAAATATATTATGTACAAAATAAATCAAAGCAACACAATCCATGAATAGCACATCGGTTAATTTTATTGTATAATTTATTATTATTATTTATCATTTTTTAGATTTATTTTTCTATGTCTTTAATCTTTTGCGGACATAAATGATATTTAATTAATAAAAAATAATTGAAATTAATTATAATTACCAACGTTAATTATATAATTCTTCTTCTAAGTAAAACTAATAATGCAATTTGCGTTATCATTCATCCAAAAAATACTTCAATTTTTGTTATTAATGAAAATTAAAATTCATCCAATGCTTATGAAATGTAATATATTTTAAACAAACTTTCATCTTTTTTTCACTTTAAAAAAAAATGTAAATACTAGCTAGTAGCTAGTAGTAGAATAAGGTAACAACTAAATCATCAAGATAAATTTATATGATTATGACAGCCAAAAGCCAATGCCAAAAAGGGGGAGAAACTCAAATAATGAAGAGAACATGAAGCTTCCTTTCCATGTGCGTCTCCTTGCTTAGGCCCCTTGATATGTTCTCCATGTCAAGTTTGCAATGATCATGCTCCACCATTGTCGATTGAACATGATAAATATTATTATTCCAAAATTTTAAAAAATAATAATTTAAACCCGATGGATATGGCTTGAATCATATGTTTATCATATTATTAATTAGTGGTAAACTCCAATCTACATAATTTCTTCAAGATTTTTACATCTTTTATATTAAGTTCTGCATTAAATGAAATAAAATATATATATATATATATATATCTAATGTAATACGTCGACAAAATATAATTTATTACGTATTTATAATTTTATTTTTAATATATTAAAAATAAAAAAGATTCGAATTCAATTCTTTGTATAAGAAAAACATGTATCAATCGATCAGTGAGTATAACTTCAGCCTAATCTTATTTCAACGGTTATAACTTCAACCCAATCTCATATATATTTATCTTTACTACTTTTTTTTTAAATACTATCTTTACTACTTTTTAATATATATGATATAGCTCAATATGATAAATGATGCACATAAAGTGTGGAAGAGGAATTATTTCTTACGTTTCTTGCCAGCTAAAACACAAAAGACATCCACAACTAAAGATTCTCTATTCTCATCTCTAGAAATGGTATAATGTAAAATTGTAGCTTTCTTTAATTCCTATTTTTGTTGAATTTTTGTTAGAATTGGCTCCCTTCCTCAACCTAACACTATATTGTTTGTATATGCAGCATATGCTCTAAGAAATGTTCCAAAATAAATTGCACTGCAATAAAAATTCATGAGATCATAATTGATGGTCCTTTTTTCCAATTGAAAACTTGTTTATTCGATTGTATATCTGTTTCTTTTTCCTTTTTATCGAGCAGTAAGATATCAACTTCAGCCGGTTAAAAAAAAAATTATCTATTTTGAATCTAATAAATTCATAAAAATTTATTTTTTCATTAACAATAAAAAAAAAGTACATTTTTTTGCCATTTAAACCAACATCTATCGGTTGTTTCTTTTCATGTTAAAAGGCATATGCATGAAGTAGATATTATTACCCACAGTTCCAACATGCTGACCAACTTTATTCTCGATGAATCCAAGTTGTACGTTTCTTAACCCCATCTACTGTCGGCTATAAAAAAGTGGCAGAAGGTGCCAAATTATTGAACAGAATAGTACACGACAGCTCAAAAGGCTAAACGTATATGACATCATAGACATCGAGCAGGTGAACCAGTGGATGTTTTTCTACTCTACCATCTTGTTCTTATCTCACATGGTTGGAGCAAAATCCACCAAATCTGCATCCGTAACTTGGTTAGCCGCCACGTATACTAATTACAACGGTAATTAAGATTAATTATAATCAAATTAAAACTTTGATTCACATGGACAAACATAAGCTTAATCTCCGTATAATTGTTTATTTGGATAAAATGCGACCACCCTTGATTTTACACTTTGAATCCTATGTCATTGTTCTTAGATTGGTGAGAGACAGGCATAACTAATCACGTTTTTTATTTCATGCTTTTGATTAAACTATGTATTAGTAGATCTTAAGATTTTTTTGTTTTTTTGCATTAGTTCAAATCAACGTCTATAAAACATCCCTTGATTCCCAATCTTGACAACATCAACTTTGCTTTCTTTCAAAGGAGTTTTGTCATAGAACCAGAACAGGAAGTGAGCCAACATTTTTACAAATTCTGTCAAAGATGGCAGGAAAAGGCTTTCTGGGGATTATTGTCGTTGGTCTTTTAGCATTTATAGGCTCAACTAATGCTCAATTACAGATGAATTTTTATGCTCAGAGCTGTCCTAAAGCTGAGAAGATTGTGCAAGACTATGTTAAAGAGCACATCCCTAATGCCCCATCGTTGGCGGCCTCCTTCATCCGAATGCACTTCCACGATTGCTTTGTCAGGGTATATTCTTCTGATAAAACTTCTAGCTATTTTTTTTCGGCTGTTTCTCTGAACTAGCTACCGTAGAATATTTTCAAGTAGAATCCAAGGACTAAGAATGAAAATTTGCTTTTTTCAGGGCTGTGATGCATCTCTGCTTCTAAACGTCACCTCCGGGGAAAAGAATGCTGTTCCAAATCAAACAATCAGGGGTTTTGATTTCATTGATAGAGTGAAGAGCCTCATTGAAGCTGAATGCCCTGGCATTGTCTCTTGTGCTGATATCCTTACTTTGATTGCAAGGGACTCTGTTGTAACCATAGTAAGTAAATCATTACCCGAAATTAACAATTACCTGGATTTCATCATTTTTTACCATAAGAGAAGTACTAAAAGGGTAACAACTGCTATTCAATTTGATTTCGAACAGGGAGGTCCATTTTGGAAAGTTCCAACAGGACGAAGAGATGGGGTGATCTCAAATGTCACTGAAGCAAATAACAACATTCCAGGACCATTCAACAACTTCACTACCCTCCTTAGACTCTTCAATAACCAAGGACTTGATGCAACGGACTTGGTTCTGCTATCTGGTATATTAAGTAATCAGTAATATGAACATCTTGTTCTGATTCCACAATATTCAACATTAATATCATCTGCTTTGTTGAATTGTTTCAGGTGCTCACACCATTGGCTTATCTCATTGCCCAGCGTTTTCACGCCGATTGTACAATTCCACCGGCCCCGGTGGCGTCGACCCAACGCTTGACGGTGAATACGCAGCCAATCTCAAGGCAAACAAGTGCAAAACACCCAATGACAACACCACAAAAGTTGAGATGGACCCTGGAAGTCGTAACACCTTTGATCTTAGCTACTACACTCTCTTAACCAAAAGAAGGGGCCTTTTCCAATCCGATGCTGCCCTAACTACAAACTCAACTAGCTTGGTTCTCATCAAACAACTCCTTTCCAGTCCCCAAAAATTTTTCTATGATGAGTTTGCCAAGTCTATGGAGAAAATGGGTCGGATTAATGTTAAGACAGGATCAGCAGGCCAGATTAGGAAGCAATGTGCATTTGTCAACAGTTAAAAAGAGTTTTGCTTTTGCTTTTTCTTTCTTTTTCTTTGTTTTAGTAACATTTTATTTATTCATGTAGGACTGTGGTGAAGGGAATAAAGCAGCTGAAGAGAACTTCTTTTGGTTCCTTCAAACCTATAGGAATTTCATTGGTGTGGGTTAATTTGGTACTCTTTTGTTCTGTATGTGGGCAGTCATCATTGTCATGTTGATAATAATTGAGCTCACATTATTTTTCTTTATTTTTCCTGTTCTTTTTTGTAATTGAGCTCAATACATTCACATCTTCATCTATTATATTGGATTGTTGAATAATTAATATTAATAATTAATTTGCTTTAACATAATAATTGAGATCAATACACAATAATTAATAATATTGGGTGTTTTTTAAGAAAAAGTTTACTCGCGTGATCTTCCTTCATGTCAAACATTGTTGGCTAGCTGCTAATTGAAGAACGGCAGCAATATAATGATAGTTAATCGTCGTCCCAGCGTTATAGCGTGTGCAATGCAAACGTGCAAGAGAAGCTTGGTCCCCTCTATCTATGGCGCTAGGTAACTTGCGTTAAAGCATCGATGGCTGTGTCCTGGTTCATTGTCGGCAGGCAGGTGTAATTTTTAATTTCTCATACAGATAGATACCTTCAACTGGATTTTTGTTTCTTTTTCTAACTTTGAATCAGCTGTAATCTTGAAGGCTGAGGTGCATGTATTCCATTTTGTTAGGCTTGCTTGGGAAAAAGTAGTTTTTGGATAAGTTTCGATGGAGTGTGGCTCACTTTTTAAAGAGTATGAATAAAATTTTTTTTTATAAAAGAGATCGTGTTTTAAAATTATAAAAAATAATTTATTATATATATTAAAATTTGAATCATTATTTGATATCAACTTTAATATATCGGTATGAACTAATTTAATTAAATTTTGAGTTTAAAGATAAATAAAATACTGGCGGCATAGGATTTAAAGAAAGAGACTTTGAAATAAATTGAATAAATAGACAAATGCATTTACCATGGAGACTAACATCCAAGTGCATTCTTGTCCAAATAAAACAAGGATGCTTCTGTATTTGCATAAAGGGAAAGAAAAGGATAGATACCTCATAGTATGTAATTTCTGACAAATACAACTCAAATATATTGAACAAGATAGTTATGCTACAAACTTTTATTGGTTTGTACAACAATTTGAAACTCTAATTGTTTTTGGACAATATATATACAACTTGCAATAATTTTCATTTTAATTTGAGAAAATTTTATGAATATATAAAATTTTAAGGTGTATATAAAATTGTAAAGCTAATCTGAACAAAAAAAACTCATCTAATTTATTTAAATATAAATTCGATTCAATTTAATTTAATAAAAAAAATTAACAAATAAAATCTATTACTCATATTCAATTTCCAATTATCTAAAAATTAGTTTAAACTTAAATTAATTTAATTTTAAAATTTAATAATTTAAACTTAAAATAATCCAACTCAAAATTATTTAAATTTCCTTTTTAATCGAAAATGATCCAATTAAATTCAATTCGCCTAATCTGATCAATCACTTTTTAAGTTTAGTAGGGCATCTTAATGTTATTTTTGTTTAGTGGTTATGGTGGTGTAAGATTCTGATTGATTCAATAAATGAAAAAACTTTTCTTGTGGAAAAAAATTAATCACTTCATATAAACATCAAAATTATAGCAAGTTGAACATTTGATTTAAAAAAAAAAAAATTTGCCCATTCTTAAAAGAAATAGTTGCCCAATACTTTCAATCCATCCCAATTGGGCCATTATAATTATGATCCAAAAACTTTAAACTAGGTTCAGGTCCATCTCCAAGTTTCAGTCTTTCAGCCGCCGACCGAACACTCAAACTCAAGTCACTCAAACATTAACCCTAGCCCAACACAAACTCTTTGAGAAACCCTAATTTCCGCTCTCTATAAATTTGTGTTTGAAACAAGAGGTTTCAATAATTTCAGTTCTTCATCTTCTCTTAGGCTCTATTTACTCTATAAAATATTCAAGATTTCTTGGGTTTTTCATTCTTTCTCTCGTTTCTTTTTTTCTTTCCTGAAAAATAGAAAGAAGAGTGCCGTGATGAAGCAATTATTTGTGGACTAGAGTTTCTGATCTGGGTTTCACTCCCAGAAGTTGAAGACTAACCCTTGGCTGTCTGAGTACCCTTCTTTATTCTTCTTTTTTTGTTCTTTTTATTTTCTGGGCCGGGATGGGATTTGTTGAATAATGAGGCTAATGATGATAATTCATTTATCTTAGCGGATTTCAGTGAGATTTTATAGTCAATGATCTGATTGTTACACACACTGAGGCCTTATCTCATAGCTCATCAAGTTTTGTTTTGAATTTTTATTTTTTTTAACTTAATTTTAACAAAACATGAAAAAAGGGATTTAATTTATGCTATGATGAGATGAAAACACTTAAAAGTGTTGATGGGCAGTGGATTTGGATCTTTCTTTCGAGAGATTTGCCGTGAGCCCTCTTTTCTAAACGACTTCTCCTTCCACTGAGCTCTAAATCCCTTTGCTTTAAAAAAAAAATTTAATTTTGGTTTGTGATTTCAGTTTTTGATTAATGGGTAATTAGGAAAAGCGTCTATTACCAATTCTGGGGGATGATTGGTTCCTCCTGGCATAATGGCTCAGACGCAATATTGATATTTGTGGTTATCCTGATTGTTGGCTCTTTCTTTCATGTCATTTGATCCTGGAAACGCCACAGACATTGTTTTTTTTCTTTTCTATATCTTTCTTGAATCATGAATGAAAATTGAAAGGACCTGGAATCTTAATTGGACAGCCCAAATCAAGCAAACAAGCTGATTGTGGGATTCGGGTTTTGGATCAAAATTGGAGTTGATTGATTAAGAAGATAAAGTTTGATGAAATGATGAAACCTGGAAAATACAGAACTTTCAAGTTGGTTACTTGCTTTTGGACGTATCAAGGGGCAATGCCAGCTCCGAAGATGCCCTTGCTCTTCAGAACATGAACTGATTACATACACGGTGTTAGTTACATCCTATGGTTTTCAGTTTAAGTTGCCATGATATAGTTTGGGACAGATAAGAAGTTTAACACTTAACAGGACTTAACGAAAGGTTCATGGTGGTTTTGGCATATTTTGTTTTTATGAAAGACGTCTTTTAAGATCAGAAGTTGATTTTCACAATGAACGTAACCAAACGACCTTAACCCCGAGGATGATCAATGGATAGGTCTCATTTCCATCAACGAAAATCAGGTTGGATTGTGTTATCCGTCCAAATTCAACTCAACCCAATATGTTTTCGAAACCGTCAATAGCATGAATATACCTGACCCAATCCGATCTGAAGCTTGAGCATGAATTTGGGCTGAGAATGAGATTGACAGTTTCCCAAATGGATATGGACCTCGAATCAAAATATTGACCCATCTCTGCAAGAGTGTGAATGAAACAATGAAACGATAGTTTCTGTAGCTAGCTACCTCCTCCATGTTACGACTGGGTTATGCATGAACATTGCACTGCAACCTTAATAATTCCTAAAGAAAGTGATAGTTTTGAACCTTCAAACCTGATGGGTTCCGAAGCTTGGCTCGATGACGGCGAGAGTGCAAGAGAAATGTTGGACAGGGTTCTAACGAAGCGCCCTTTCTTTCTTCTTCACCCTCTTCACTGTGTTCCTCTACTCGTCGGCAATATTGTTGAACTATTAGGTCCTTCTTCTTCTGCCAAAACCCAAAGCCCACATCTTAATCCTGGCTGCCGTCACTTGCATCCTTCCCAAGCAGTGGAAAGGGGTCAAGTACGGTGGATTGGGGCATTTTGCAATGTTCCTTGACTTGGATTGTCGCTTTGACATTTTGCGGTTTTCGGAATTGCTGAACCATCAAATCATGGAAGCAGCCAATCATAAGTTTAATTTTTTATGAAAGTTACCAGTTTCACTTCCAACTTTTCTTTTACTAAAGTTTGGTTCATATATGTCTAGGATCAAGCAGTAAAGTAGATTGTCAGAAAACGGAGTCTGAAGCTCAAAATGCAACAATGAAACTTTACACTGAGGAATTGTATGGATTATGAATGAGACGGATTTTGTACATCCGCTGTTATGATAGTTCTGAATTTCTTGCCACTCTCAAGGTGAGGACCGAAATTTTCCTTAATTGCCCAAGGCACAAGGTGCAAAAAAAGTGCTTGTCTGAGTGAAGTAATGCACTGTTTTCTTTTGATGAGGAGATGAATAAGGGTAAACTATAGAAACAATTCAACCTTTAACTTGCAAGGTAGAGAAGAGAGTAGATTGTCCAAGTGAGAAACCAACACTTTAAAATTTTCAGAGTGTCCGAGTTGGCGCAAAGACCTTGTCAGACATCTCTTTATACTGGTCTAGATTTGTACCTTGGTAAGGAAGATTTATTTATTTGGTGGTTTTTAATCTTTTTTTAATTAGAGTAATTTGCTGGATGACAGACATTACATTATTGAGTTCAAAAGGAAAGGGAAGCACATGGTGTTAATGTTCATTTCCTGTTGATTGACAGGTTTCTGATTGATCCCTTTAATTGCAACCTTTACCTTGGTTACCTTTTATTTTCTTTTGGTTGTAGATGTATATTGTTGATGTAACGGCTAGAAATTGTTGACTAGTACCGATAGTTTGATGAGTTTGGGAATATCTCTTTGATGAATATAGTTTGTGATGGTTTTAGGGGAGAGCATTAGTGGATTCAGTAATTCCAATAATTCAATGACAAAGATCTCCTTCCAATAACTGATCTAATTGATGAAATTATTTTGGCGAATAGTTTTCCAAAAAGAAAAGAACCTGCTTATAAAAGCTCAAGCGTATCCAGATTTTGATACTGTCAGCAGGTAGTGAAAAATTATATCTAAAAGTGTTTCCTGAGCAGAATAGCCAAGGTGATATTATCGAGGGTGCCTGAAATTCATTGAAGAAGTGGGTATAAATACCAAAATTTAACAAGGGAAATATAGTGGGTTAATGAATGGAAATCTGAGTTATTTTTGAGAAGGCGAGTGAAAGAATCTAATGTAAAATCCTTCGAAATTAAAATAGCAGATAGGATCACCTAACTCCATTGCCTCCGATGTGCATAAATTGTCATCAGCAGTGGAGCATTTCACTGGGTAGATCGTGGTTCGTCGTTTTTTTCAATTGAGGGGGATAATAGGTAACTATTTGAATATCTGTTCCTACAGTTTTCTAGCAATCTTTTGGATATGTCTCTCAATTTTTTTAATCATTTCCTCTCATAAGTTGGAGAAAGAAACTGTTTAACAGTTAGTTTTGTTTTTCCAAACTTATCTTTAGTTTGCCAATCTGGTATATAGTTCTGGATTGTCCTAGTCTTCTCTTTGTGGTACATGTTTATAGTTTATTCTTTATTTAGTTTTATTAATTTTTGTATTTATTTAGTTCTTCCCCAGGATCAGATCCTGTCATTTTTTCTCACTTTTTTTAACTAATTGTTTCTTTTTGTTTAATAGCTACACAACACACACACAAATAAACTCATATTTATAAAGGTGTAAATATGCAATAAAGAAAATTTTGGTTTCTAATTTCATTCTTGATTGACGTGTAGCAAAAGCTTGCATCTCCAAAGTGTGTCAGAAACTGTAGTGCAGGAGATTAGAAAGCTCCTATTGGTGCATCCCATGCTTGTCATGGCTACAACAGCAGCCATCTTAGGCAACAGATATTCAATGAATGACTTAAGATGGTAGGTTCCATGATACTTGTGCAAGGATTTTTATGCAGTTGGCAGCTTCATATGTCTACTGTCTAGCAGCTGGCAGAATACCATGCAATGATCTTATACTTTGGACGTGCATCTGTTACTGGAAGTTATTTTCAACAAATCTATGTTGTAATGTTTCAGATGTCATAATTTTCATCTCAACTAATTATGACTGCAGAAAATTAGCTGATTCAATCTGTAGTTTATAGTTCTCTTAACTAATGTGGATGTAAGTATGTAACACCAGGTAGTACTCCCCTTCATGTCTAAGCCTAACGGAACAATGGATAAGAATGGGCTAATCGTGCAGATTATGAAAGTGAGATGACAAATAACTAGGGATCTTTACCTTGTTTCCTTAGATACTTGTGTTCCTTGTATAGTTATAGGTTTGAATTGCTCCATAGGTTGGGCTAAAAAGATGGGATGCTTGAAAATTCCTGGTATTTGTGATGTGGCTAATTGGATTGTAGTTTCCACCTCAGTTCTTTACCTTTTATGGTTCCCTATGCTCTTTTTTTTTTTTCTTAATATCAAGAGCATGCGTCACTGTTTAAAATATCTAATGCTATTTAGTGATTAGATAAGTGCTTTTCAGAACCTTTAATGTTATCACAGATATACTTCTATTCTCTGATGGAAGCCTTTGTCCTAGTAGAGTTAAAAGGTATCGATTAATCTTTTTGACAGGAATTACCAAAAATGGTCTGCAACGGATATTCTGAGGTATGACATGCAGTGAAGTATTAAATTGATATCTATAAAGTATGTTTAAGACATACATGGAGCCACCATCTTTTGTTTGTTAAATCAAATTTAGTGTAGGCATATGAGGTATTCATGTAACAAAAGTATGTATTGTTCTTCAAATATGACTAGTGTAGAGTTTGTCCTAGCTGACTATTCTAATAATGTTTTGACAATGAACTTTATAACATATTAATTAATAATTCATTCTGGTTGTTGCAGCCTTTGTTACACACAGGATCTTCATTCGCTCTACAGGTCCAGATTTTTCTTTTTAATATTGAAGGTTGCTAATTTGTTTGGCATCTTTATGCTTGCAGTTACTTTATTTCTTAATGCTCAATATGCATCTAAGTTGTTCTTACTATGTTACAGAAGATGGTTTTGTCAGTGATGAGCGTCAAAATATCTCTCTATATCTATCAGAATGGTTGCTACCACCGTTGAATTCCTTGGACAAATTTATCGTGGGAGACGTAAAAAAATGCTCATGCTTCTCAGCTTTTAAGAAGAAAAAACAAATATAAGCATTTCACAGCAGTTATATTTGATATAAGTCATTTGCTACCTGCAGACTGGTGTGTTCTTTCTTTCTTGAACGTATTTGCTGAATTATAACTTATAATCTTCAGCAACTAGTTCCTTGTTCTCTCTCAGCTGGTTCCTAGCAACTGGAGTGTAACTGAGACTTTGTTGGATTGGGTCTTGAATTATATTCAAACAGAACAAGTATGATGTTTCTTTTCTAAGTTTTGCTTTCGTAAGTACGCATGGTGTCGATGGCTTTAGTTATTCTATTAGTTTTATACTTCACTCTGAATATAAGTAGTACATTAATTTTCTCCTTAACAAATGTACGTCTATGAGCTGACTTGTATCCTATTTTCAGTGTAATCTTTTATCCAGCATATGGGGATTGAATACTTGTTGAACACTTGAATTGAATTTGCATTTTCCCTTTTTATCTGTTGGAACTCTTAGACCGTATGCTTTCGTCTTATTTTCTTTCAACTGTCAAAGCAAAGCAGCCAAGAAGAGGCTGTTGGAGGAGCAAATGAGCTTATTATTGTTTTCTGGAGCTGCAGCAACCACCATGTGAGTTAGTCTTGCTTCCTCTCATTCTCTCCCTCCCTGCAAGGCCCCTTTCCATTTTATTGCTCCCATGCTTGCTGTGGCATTTGATGTTTGTTTTGAAAATTGCAGGTCTATTGATGGTTAACAAAAGAAGCAGTTCTCATTTCATAATTGGTTTCCCCATGAATGCTAGAGTTGATGTTGGTCAATTTGGGCTTTGAATTCATATATCAACGTTGTATATATGATCCAGGGATCTTATAATTGTTAATATGGGGTGCTCTCACTATGCCCAAACTACAAAGTGACATAAATAAGCGTTAAATTAAGTTTGAATCTTAAAATGGTTTAGACGGATTTCTAAGATTATAGAAACTATTTCTTATCATGTAATCCAATAAATAAATATATATATATATATATATGAGTTCATTTTAAGATATATTAACTAAAAGAACTTTTTAATTTCACAAACGAAATTAAAATGTTACATATTTTATTTTTAAAATTTTTTAATTATACTTTAGGGGTATATATCATCCTATTAATTAATCTGTTTAAAAATTGCTAGTTAAATATATATATATATATATATATATATATACACACACGCGTAAATTGATTACTTTTGGGCCTATTAAGAAAGCTAAAGAGCAATCTGGCCAATGGCCTGAACAAGGTTGGAAAGAAAGTGATCAGAAATTGGGTCCTAAAAATGGGCCAGGCCCATGAAACCGAAACTGAAGTTGAAAACAAATTCCACGAAATTGGTTTTTTTTTTTTTAATCGCCAAAATCCAAATGGAATAATTTTCAAATGTTTGTTTCCAGTTAACAATGAACAAGAACCAGGCCTGGCTGAAATAAAGAAAAAATTTTCATTCCAAAAGCCCGAAGAATATGGCTGAGTCGGGCATGGTCAGTTCCATTCTTCTTTTCTTATTATTATCTACTTTAATTTCTTCTTCTTCTTCCTTTCATCTTATCCTTGCCATAGCTGTAACATTTATCCTCCCATTTCTTATCGTTATTCATTTCTCTTTATCTATTTTTTATTCTGTTTACCTTTTGAAAATTTATTTATTTATTTTTGTATATATAACTATGCTGGATATATAGGATTCCTGTATTTTTTTTTTATTTACTTTGGATTGCCTGGCGAATGAAATTTACTTATGTTTAAATGTGTTGTTTGTTCATTTGTAGGGTTTAATTCAAACATAGTAAGTTCCATAAAAGTTTGGTGAAAATTAGTCAAAATTAATCTCGTCAAAAAAACTTTGCTACTGGAATTAAGTTTGACCACTTAAGATTCTGTATTCAATCGCACAATTCAAATTGTGTGTTACTTGCAATCTAGAAGATGTTATTGCCTAGAAATGCAATTTTCATGGAATAAGATAGCCAACTACCTTAGTAAGATATGTCTTGAAATCCTTCTTTTGAGCTTGTTTTCAGATAATGTTGTTCAAGTAAATATTAAAGTTATGACAAGGAGATTAAATCGTTTGAAGTTTTCCCTTACTGTTTTTGGATGTGCAATTTTGCTGTGAAAATTTGCAATGAAAAAGCAGATTTCCTTAATGGCTGACTGAAGAAAACTAAACGGTGTTTTTTACTTGAACTATTTGAAATGTAGGAACATTTTGTAACAACAGTCTCTGAGGATCATGAGACTACATGCTGGGGTTGTGGATTGCGCCTCCTTCTTCCAACTTACGCACCAGTTTTCAAGTGTGGTTGGTGTGGAGCCATAACAAATCAAAATGTTAATAAACCTGAAACCAAGTGTCTTTGGTGGAGGCGCTTGCGTGATCGGTGCTTTGTTTGTATTCTCTTCATATTTATGCTCTTTGTAATATGTATGCTCTCTCTCTCTCTCTCTCCTTGTGGTTTATGTAAAAGTTGAAACACTGCTTCACCTTGCTTTGCCCCCTTTTATTTTAACAATTAGCTAGACCAATAATTCACCTTTTGGAATTATTGCTTATACCCTTTAAAATATGTTTCACGAATTTGTTTGTACAAAACTGTAGATTTTCTTTTGCAACTCATCTCTACATTTTGAGTTGGCTCAATGTATCACCTTTTGCTATATGTATGAGTTATGTAAATGTAAGGTTAAATAAGCTTTAGCTAGAGAGGTTTTGGGAGCATTTTTCTTAATTATTGCGTTATATTCACTTAAAGGTACTAGTTTAGTGTAGACTTGTGCTAATCCATGGTTTGAGTAAGTCTAAGAAATTACAATTGATACCCTGAAGTTCTGCATTTAGTTTCTAAATCATCCCTTGTATTTGGTTATGTTTAATCTAAACCTCATAATTCTCAAACTTGAATATTATGTGAAAATAGTTATACCAAAGTGGAGTTTTTAAGGTTAACATTGGAAAATCATCTGCTTATAAGCTTTTGTTGGCAACAGTAGAGTGCAGAATGAATGTTTAAGATTTTTTACTGTGGTATTGTATTAGATTAGTCATTAACCAAAGAAGATTGTTGAAACTTTTGCATAAAGAAGATTCATGGTAGATCTCAGATGCCTGCATCAATATTTAGCCTCATATTTGCCTGTCACTCAAAAATGGAAACTTTATATTAGAAGAATTTTTATTAAAGATCTCCTCATAGTTGTTGCTTTTGCGATTTTGAATTTGTGTATTCATTTTGATTAATAGTCTTTAGCACCACATTTGTCTCTTTTAATCTAGTTACTAAGTTGCATTATCTAATGTTTCATGAAGCTTTATATTTCTCATCTTGATATGTTGATATGAAAATGCAGGTGGGGGGATCTGGGCGGTGTATCCTGTTGTTTTCTCTGTCAGCTATACCTGTGGGATTGTTCATTCCATCTTAACAATGATCTTGGCTTCAACTACTGTTTCTACCTTCAGTTTAGCAGCATTCCGATGTGCCGGCAGACCGCCAATCATATTGTGGGGTAGCTATCCAGTTGTAGGGAAAGGTGACCTTGAAAACTATACCTTCTGCCACTATTGTTCAAAGCCGAAATCACCGAGATCACATCACTGCCGTTCATGTGGAATATGTGTATTGGACATGGATCATCACTGTCCTTTTGTAAGTATTAAGCATAATTTCAGTCTTAAAATACTTTACACTGCCAGGGGTAAGTTATTTTCTAAAGTGTTGATGCAAGATGTCTGGTAAATGAGAAGGTTTTATGGAGTATTTGATATTATTATTACGGTATAATAGCATCATTGCCATGTTTTCTGTATTTATGAAGTTGTTTTTGTTCATTGATTACATCTAGGAGTAAGGCTTTCAAAACTCATGAAAATACTGTGCTTCATTTTGACATGGGAAGGGAAGATCATTAATCTTGTCTACAATTAATAATTAACAAGAAAATTGACTAGTAGGAGAAAAATCTCGATGAAATAAATAATCACTACTTTTCTATTGTTCTTTATGTTTATTGAATTGTAACTTTTTTAGAAACATAGAGATATGGATTATGCAATTAAAAGTTTTCCAAGGAAATAGATAAAAAAAAAAAAAAAAGAAGAGGACAGACAAATAAACTAATTCCATTAGCTTCATTCTAAAGTGATTTCAAGCAAGTAGCATGAAAATTTTGCTCCCACTGAAACTTTGATATACAAGGTTGACAAATTTGCAAAAGATAAATGAATGAATATAAAATACTAGTAATAACTTTCTTATCTTTTTAAAGTTTGTATATGTAAATGCAAAAACTCACAGAGCTTTTTCCCTCTGTGTAGCACTATTTCTCAGTTAAGATAAGTGAAAGCAAGGCCTTCTTTTATATCCTGTTTTCATGTCTTCCTTGATGTTTTCTTCATTCTGATATGTGTATCCTCCATTATGTCTTGTGTCCATAGGTCAGCTTTTATGGGTGATCACTGCTAATTTTTGAGAAGATAGAATCCTGCCCTTAACTTCCTGAAGTAATATTTAATTATTTATTGAATTGATAGTGTTTAATACCGAAATTGGTATTTAAGCTACACAATAAAATCCTTCATTTGTTTGGGCTTTATATTTCACCGATATCGTGAATGGTTAATGTTATGGTTTGTGGACTTGGATGCTGGCTTGCTTATTGTGAAGTGATAATGTTGTCCATCTTTTAATGTTTATATCCAGTCTATTTAATGCTCGTAAAAGAAGTAACTCTGGGCAATTTCCAGGATTAAATAGCTAAGATTTTGACATCAACTATTTGCTTTGTGATATGACACAGATAGGGAATTGTGTTGGTGCAGCAAATCACCGGCACTTCATCGCCTTCCTTTTTTCTGCTGTTTTCAGTACAATCTATGTTTCAATCATGTCTGCATATGCAGGGTGGCATATCTGGCCACCATTAAAGTATAGATCTCTTGGCCACTTGAACGGTTTCGGCAGCAGTGATTTGGCATTGAGTGCATTCAAGGAAGTTATTTTTGCTTTGCAGAGTTCTGCAGTGCAAATGTCTGCTAGGGGGCTTATTCTTTTCTATCTGTTTATTTCGAGCGTTTCTTTGGAGATCGGTTTAAGTGCTCTTCTATGGCAGCAGCTATGTTATATATACGAAGGTAAAACTTACCTGAGCCATTTAAGTTCACAGGGAGGTGATCAGATTGATGAAAAAGATTGCCAAAATATTTTTCGGTTTTTTGGTTGTCCATATTCCGTTTTAAGATGCTTGCCTAGCCTGCGAAATTCACCGAAAATACACAAGAAATGAAAAGAAAGATCGTTTTCAGTTTTTTTTTTTTTTTTTAACAATAGATTCAGGGTAGAAAAAAATTCTTACATTACCCTTTTTTATCATTTTCCACTCTTTGTTTTGTAAAACTTCAAATCAATGTATTGGATTTGGATAATTGTAATTGGGTTGAATGATTACAATTTTAATTGTTAAAAACCAAATGTGTGAATCCACACCAAGATGTTGGATGATAATATGTAGCTCCGATTTGAGTATACCAGTGGCTAAAACATAGCCTAAAAGCATCTCCCAACATATTGATTAAAGGATACAAATACAGATATTTGACAATTTGTTTATTTAACAAGTATTTTTATTAATAATTACGAATGTTAGGTAAATCAAATTGCCCATAGTGCAAGTAAAAAGGTCCAATGCTGTATTGAAGAAAAAAAGGATACAAAATAGCAAAAGCACCATTGTTAACCATAAATTCTATGAACCTCCATCTTGCAACCAGCCAGCCTATGCTGCAATGAGCAAAAATGGCAGCCTTAAAAAACCGCCACAAGAACTCTATAAACAAGAAAGAGCAAAATGCTTCAAAAGGATAGATAATGACAGGCCACTTCTACCTGTATCAGCGGTCCTAGAACACCTGTGACAGGTTGTACATACCAGGGTCCAAAAGTCCAAACAAATAGCTTTTCTGAAGTGAGAAAGTAACAGGGATCAGAAAATATTGTTGCATCATTACATACCAAATCTAGTAAGAGTAAACAGCAGATAATTAAAATCCAGTTCTTGGGGTATAAGCCCCTGCCCTCCTGGTGACACACCATGGATCGGTACTGCTCAGCAAAATCTATTGAAATTTCTATACTTTCAGCATCTAGGCAAGGAATTGTGCTACCTACAAAACAAACACTTCTTTCTGGGACAAGGCCAAAATGTCACTAAATTTACCGCGATATAAATTCAACACTTTCATGATCATAAACATGGGCACTCAATAAATATTTTAGATCATAATACAAGTAAGAAACGAAGTGCATATCCAAAGGAAAGCAATAATTAGTGACAGAAGAGGGTAACTTGTCTCCCTAAGTAAAAGGATTCCTCTACTTCCATTTGCCCTGAGGCTCGCCAAAATGCCAGATCTGTGGTAGATATCAGACATGCCATTAGTTTAAAAGAACAAAACATGTTCAACTATTGTAGTAACATTAAGATAGTACTCCTAATAGTACATGACCAACCAATTAATCTCCAAAATATAACAAACGAAATGAGTAAACAGTCCCACAATAATTTTAAGTTCCAACAGAAACCTTGGATAGCCTCGTTCAAAAACTCATCACCTCTTCCTACCACCACGCTCCCTCAATGAAAGAGCAAGCGTTTCTCCTGCTCCAACATTGTAATATGCAAGGGTCATATTGTCCTTCAGAAACCCAGCTTTTCCACTCAATTTCTGTTTGTTTGCAGGAAGCTGGATCTCCCCCGCAATTTTCTCCTTCAAACTGCCAACTGTTTCTGATAAGGCCTGCACTGTGATCTCAAGAAGTTGTCCTTTGAGATTTCCTTCATCAAGGTTGGGAACAGAGACAGTAATGCAAGCAGGTCCCTACAAGAGAATCCAATCAGCAATTAGAGCATAATAAATCAAGTATAGATACCAAATGTAGCAATTATAAATTTTATGTTAAAAGAAATATAAAGAAATAAAACAGCTCTCCATACTGGACGTTGAGCAAGGAACTGATCTTCTGGAACAAGCATGGAATCATCAAGCTTTTGTCTCTTTGGTTCTGGTTCATCAGGAAGTGGTGGAGGAGCATCTTCAGGTGGTGGTGGAGGCGGCATTCCTTGGGGCAAAGGTGGAGGTGGCTGTATCATAGGCATAGCAGGTGGAGGAACAGGAAAAGGGGCAAAGGGTCGAGGAACAGAGACGGGGGTAAACTGAGATCCTGGTGGAGGGGGCACGGAAATATTAGCTGGGTTCATGGACATTGATGGAAGCATTTGTGGTGGTCGATTCATCATCATGGGTGGTTGGCCAGGTGCCATCTGCATTGGAGGTGGTGGTGGACGAATTGACGGCATCATTGGAACACTCATTGGACGAGGTTGAGGTAATGGCATAGGAAGCCCACCACTAGATGCTGCAGAATATTGGGGAGCGTTTGGAGGAACACGAGGGAGATTCAAAGCTAGTCCAGGTGGTGGGGGCAGGGGACGAACTGATGGAATGCCAGGTCGAGGAGGAGGAGCAGCGGGACCAGGAAGGTTCTGTGCATCGTTGTTGGCAGCATCATTTTGATCCTCTCCCATGATAGTTTGAGACATAGCCTGATTTGCAGTACGTCCAATACTTCCAGTATGACCATCCCATATAATCTGTTTTGGTTGCTCATCTTTCTTTTTCTCAATCTCTGCCTTGACAGCATTAGAAACTTCTTCCTCAGTGGTACCAAAGATATCAGGACGTGTGCGTGCAAGTCCGACTATGTTTCTTGATATCTCATCATCCTGAGCAAGAGTTGTCTCCCTAATCTTTGCAAACATCCTTTCTTTCTGCTCCTTGTACTTGGGATCAATTAAGGAAATTCTCATGTGCTCCGACATCTCATTAATGGGAATTAGCTCACCAGTTATTGGTGAAACAACAAACTTGGTAGCATCTCTTTCAGCAGGGATTCTCTCCTCAGGCCTCTTCCAGTTTTTCACAATTCTCATTGGTGGTTCTGGTTCCTCATTTGCCCTTATATCTTTCTTTTCACCATCATTCTCTTCGATGCTAGCAGCTCTCATGCCTTCCTCAACAAGCTGTACCTCTTCTTCATCCATTTCCATTTCCACCTCCTTTCCAGGCTCAACAATTTCATCTTCTTCCATAGCAGATATCTTGCTCCTCCTTACAACCTCCTCAATCGTCATTGGAGGAGGTAAGTCCTCATCCTCATCATCAGCAAAGTCTATGGTCTCAACCACAACAAAATCATGCCAATCGATCATTGCCATTTGCATTCTCTCCTGCTCAATTTCATCCTCAGCTTTCTGCCTTGCTTGCTCCTGTGAGCGTTCCCATTCCAGCCGGTGCAAACACCTCTCAAGCACAGTTGTCATATCAAAAACACTCTTCCTCAACTTCTCCGTCAAACCCTTAGGAGGCATCAACACTTTGGAATATGCATCAGCAAGTTCAGTGAAAAAGGTAAACATACTATGAGTTGGCCTTAAAAAATTGAACTGAGGATTATTAATCTCCCTACTAGTCAATCCTGTCAAGAATGATTTCCCATTTCGAGCAACAAACTGCGCAGTCAGCTTAATAATATCCAGCTCTTCCCCTGTAATTCCTTCAGGTAGTCTAACAGTATATTGAGCAGCTTCCGGTGGTTCAAGATTCTTCCTCACAGGCAATCTAAACTGTGCAGCAGGATCAAGCTTAGCTACTGCTGCTGCAGCATCATTCCCATCGGCAGCTGCAGTTGGCGCAGACTCAGTTGGACCAGAATCAGCAGGCTGCGAAGGCGGTTGCTGCTGTTGAGAGTTGGACTGGTTCTGATTCTGAGCACGAAACTCAGACAACCTATGTTGATAATAAGCATGGTAGGGATCCGAACTAGTCAAGAAATTGAACTTAACATTGTTAGCGTTATTAGCAATGATTCTTTTTTCGAATTCCGGTCCGTTTTTGGCAACAAACTGAGCAGTTTTATCAACAATATTCCTTATATCAGGAGGAGGATGAATTATTCCAATAGTTCTAGTGTGGGTTGCAACTGAGTTGGCTTTGTTCTGTTCCTCATTTGTTGGAATCTCTTCATTTTGTGCTTCCGGAACTTGAGATGGAGGTAAGGGCCCTAAATCTCCATCAGAAGGCGGTGCCGGAAGGGGCAATATTGGCATTACCCCCGGCATTTTCACTAGATACTAAAAATTAACTTATTAAGAAATAATCAAATCAACCACCATGAACCTGCAATTAACAAATTTTAAACAAAATAAATCAATCGAATCCAAAATTAATCATGAAATGACTATTGAAATCCAATTAAAAAATTATGACAGAAAAGTAAAGTGTAAAAAAAAAAAAAAACCAAGATTTCGAGTTACTTTGTGTGAAATTTGTTACTACTATTTTTCTTCAAAAAAAATATTAAAATAAATTTACAGATCACAAATTTGGGAAACTGAAAATTCGAAACAAAAACATCGCCGCTGATCAAAGAGAAAAGAACAGAAAGGGGGAGAGGCATGCGGCTGACCTGACAATCCCTTCGCGTCTTTTTATTTAATCTGAGCGGTGAATCAGAGAAAAAGTGATAGTTGGTTATGGTGGATTTGAAAGAGAAACCAAAGTCGACGGGGTTTGCGAGAGAAGGAAAAAAGGGTGAACAGATTTTCTCTTTCGTTTTTTTTTCCTTTATGAGTCCAAGGCACGGGTGGGTAAAAGGCGTTGTTAGGCTTGTGAGATTGGCCCATTATAGAACTAAAGCCCAAATTTGAAGGATGTTTAGCCCAAACTATGTAAGATTTAGTGGCCTTAAGTTGCCACAAGTCTACATGGGCAGAGTCCATGATGATATGAACAAATTCAACCCATGGAAATTTAAAGTCCAAGACCAAGAGGAATTCTAAAACAACTAATCTTGTCTCACATTGTTAGTTGTGATTAGATAATTAAAAAATTATAATTGAAAAAATAAAAGTAACGCTAAAAGTAAAGGATTTAGGAAATTTTCATAGAAATTAAATTCTTAATATCTAGAGATTTCTTTTTTTTTCCTTTTCTTTCATGCTATAATTAATTATTAATCCTTTTTTTTTTTTAACGATAAGAGCTTATATATATTGGAATTTAAATTTATCTATTAAATATCATTTTTTAAGATTAATTACATATATCAAATGAATTAGTCCTAGATTCACCAATACTTAATTTTACTATATCACAAAACCATATTTTGTTCTTTGATTAACTATCATAAATACTTGGATAAAGAATTACTTCAAAAGTTTGCTCAACTTCTATGCCAAAATTATAACAAATTAAGCAGTAGTTATCAACTATGTTGGATTGCAGCATGCCAGCTTCGGTCTTTCAGTGAATGGAAGGATTGTTACAACTTTTACTAGAAAATGTAGCATTTGTTCTTCCCTATATTGCAGAGGGGTATTTCTCCACAAACAAACTAGTATTATATTTGTTCCTTCAAAAAAAACCTAGTAGCATTTGAAATTTCTAACTGCAAATTCTGATCAGATTGAGACCAACTTCAACGTTTGGGTTCTGGCCCAGAACTAAGACCATGGTACAACTCATCAATTGCAATTGCCTGAAATTGGTGGAGATGATCCATCATTAACCGGATTCACTGATAAAAGACAAAATCCAGTTAACAATCTCCACCAAGGTATGAATATTGAAAAGAACTAATGCTGTGGAAGATGGAGTCAGAGTAAGCATTTTAGTGTGTGTGTGTGTGTGTGTGTGTGTGTATATATATATCGCATGACTCTTGGTCGGAGTCATGCCAGAAATCTGAACCCACCGTGCGTTGTAAGTGCCTTTTACAAATAACAATTAACAAACATTTACGGTGTTATAAAACTACCAATAACTCACCAAAGAAATTTTGTTGAGGCAGATATTGGTAACAGAAATGCAGCTTCTATCGAAAATAGGTGGTGTAGATTGTTGGAACTGAGGAATGCAAATTTATAGGATGCAAGTTTTTAGATTATTTGTAGAATGGTTTACTGAAACTCTGTCTACGAGCCATAGAAAGAAAACCCAAAAAAAAAAAAATTTTCAACGGCTAAATTCCCAATTTCCGATATTGATCATGAGGTTACTTTGATTATGGAGCTTGAATCATGCAATGTATAATGGAATCGAAGCATTGGGATGCAAACTCATTTATCAAAATAGAAAACAAAAATAATGTATCTTCTGAATAATAATAAATCCTATATTTATAAACTTTAATTTCAAAACTAAGCATATAATTTGATTCTTTTTTTTTTTAAGTTCAGAACTCGTTTGCAGATGAAAATGACTCGCAAATTTCTTTGATTCCAAGAGAAAAGCATTAAACTGATGGCAATGTCGAGTCTATTGGGAGGTTTCGTACTGTTACTTAAAGGCAAGCTAAATAAGAGAGCTTCATGTTCCAACCAAACAATGATTGGGCTAGAAAGATAATAGAAAGGAGGAAAATAAAAAATCTCCGGTCAAGACTTCAAATTCCTGGAAGAAAGGCTACGGTCATGGCACCTTGTGCAGGAGCCAACATACCCAAAGACAACATAATAAGGTCAAAACTACAAAGAAGCTTCATTATCATACTCGATTCAAGAAGACTAACCCAAGTCATCATGCTTAAACATCCGGTAATGTCACTCACTGCAAACTACGTTTGATGAGAGAACTACAAAAGAAAGAAACAACAAGACAATGCAAAGATTCCACGCAGAAAATGAAGAAATTCTACCATGATCGTCACCTCAAAAGTTGGTCCATGGGCTAATCAATCAGCCTCTGCATATGCAGTTTCGAGGTGGGCTTGTTCAGCTTCTTGCACCTCCTTCTCGGTCTTCCTCCCTTTCTTGGATTTGTAGTAGACACTCATGAATGTTCCCACAGCTCCATACTTCCTCCTGACATGCTCATAGAGTCCAGCATCAAACATCCTCCAGAAATCCTTCTCATTCAGCTCAGACACTGCATACTGTGGCTGGAAACTGTGGTTTTCAATCAACCATTGCTCCATTTTACGAACTGCCTCTGCACCATCAAACACCTCACCCCTCAAGACAGGGCCTGGAGCATAATACACCCCCACATCTGTGTACATCTGAGCATAAGGTGTATCACCCTGTCTGCGATGATGCTCAAAGCCTGCTTCAGGATACACCATAGTCTTGACTGGAAGCTTGAACAGTCGGTGCGGACAGAGCCAAATGGGATAGACCTGGAGAATCAACAATTTATAGAATCACAATCTTAACACTTAATTCTGGTGATCCTAATTTACAAATTTAGAAGAGTTAAATAAGGAATTTATCCAAGAGGACATTTCCAAGCTCTTTTGTGCGTTTGCAAGGCTGTAAACAACAAATCAGTCACAATTATGCCTCTGTATGAAGGAGCTTCAAGGAGATCTAATATGACTGATTACTTTTCTTCTACGTGATAGGACCAGCCACAGTGACAAATGTCTTACAGGGAAGAACACCCATTACTTTTCATTAATGTAACCAACAAACTACAATCATTTCATCATAAGAAAAATATAACCTTTTAAGAGTGAAAGAGAGACAAAAGCCAAATAAAATGAGAAAAGAAGGAATGAGGAGGTAATGAAAGGAAAACAAGTGCAAGAACATAAAATTTACCTCCATCTCTCGGTGGACCCACTCTAGTGCATCCCCAACCTTGTAAAGAGGAACAAGCATGTCTTGAATGACATGCATCTCATGGTAATAATTTCTAATAGCTTCACCTTGAGTAGCCTTGAGCAAGGAAACCTTGGGTGGCATCATCCAGCCCAAGAGAAACCTAAACCACCATTGATCTCCAAATGGAAGGATGAGCTTCCCCTCCCAATACAAACATCTTGTGTGCCTGTGGTAATATTCCCTGGTTGGAATGTATTCTACAAACTCTCCCTTCTTTAATGCCGTCTGTGCATGCTGGTAGAACCACGGTTTAAACCACCAACCTACTCTGTTAATCTTATTCCCCTTCTTTTGGCCTCTTCTTTCGAAGCATATCTCCCCGTCATGAACACACCTTCAGTCGCTGAGTAAATCATGCCTTCTACAAAATCCGGAACTTTTGCTGGATTATCCTGATCACAATCTCTGGGTGTAAAAGAGTCCATATAACCCTGTGCAAGCTCTTGCAAATTCCCTATTACTGGCGTGTAGGTCAGTTTCATGTACTCTTTGATGGGTATAAGTTTGATTTCAGCAGCAACAAGAAGCCCAAGGGTTCCTTGAGACCATGGGATAGCATAGAAGAGATCGGAATATTCATTGTCCTTGGTAGCTCTAACAACACGGCCATCAGCCAAAACTACCTCATAAGCTACAACAGTATCAGAAAACAGGCCATAGATGTGGGAGCTTCCTTCAATCCCGTAGCCATTGATGAGACCACCAACTGTAAGATCATCAAGCTCTGCAACCACAGCAAGGGAAAGATTCATTGGGACTGTGACCTGTGTGATCTGCCCCATGTTTACAAGTGGCTCAACTCTTGCAATCATTCTCTCTTTATCGATTTCAAGTATATTACGGAAAGCAGACAAATCAACTTCAAAATGGCGAGCCCTCTTATAGTCTACATTCCGCATTCCAACAGCAATCCATGGTTTACGGGCTGTGCACACAAGACCATCCTTTTTTGGATCCCTCTGTTTGAGACGCTTCACTACTTTCTTAACATTTTCATCATGTTCCTTCTGACGCTGCTTGAAGGACTTCATCTCAGATCTGACATCTCCAAGATATATGAGAAAGTAATAGGCACAGGAAAAGGGAAGGACAACAAAAATAACAAAAATCCAGCGAAACTGGACCAAAAAGTCCACCAAGCCCTTCTTCCTCTTTGGGCGAAGAGGTACTTCAAGATTTGACATTATGGGGATTGAAAAACACCTTTTTCCTCTGCAACAATGATGACAGAAGTTTTAAGTCAATATAAAATGCTCCAATACAGAATTTACATTTCAGGGTTTTCAGACTTCTGAAAGAAACAATTTATCTTAGCATGCTAAAATGAGATAAACAACTAAACAAGACACTTCACTTGCTGATTTGGAGAGTAAAACCTTAACATGAATATTCAAGCCCCACTTAAATCGTCTTTATGGATTAAGAATTCCATAAACTCTTGCTCAAAAAAAAAAAAAAAAGAATGCCATAGACTCATTCATTGTCAACCTAGGAGATTAAAACTTACATCAAGAAATATCCTTAGGACAAACATTTAACATTAATAAGTCAGTTTGAAACTAACACAAAAGATCATATTGATGTTCACAAATTAAATAGTAAGACTAAAACGCCTAAAGGTGCATGTCAAACGGAGAAAATATGTTCTTTCCTTGGAGTGGTGGAGCAAAAAATGCAAAACAGAAAAAATCATAGTAAAAGTTGAATGAAAAATAGGTAAGTCAAGAAACAACTAGAAGAGACCAAACTAAAATAAAATTTTTATTCAACATGTCCTGCAAGTCTTGCAGAAATGAGAATCTTAAAGCCTCTTATGCTATATACTAATAGAAAAAATTAAATGAATTTTCACATTTACAACATATAATCATGAAAAGCAACCTCCTCAACACTAACAAAATCAAGAGCAACTCAAAGGTTTTTATAGAATGTAAGCCTACTGAATGGGTAGAATGGGCAACTTTAGTCAAACAACATATGATGTAAGTTTATTTGAAAATTAATTCAACAAACATATGTTTGATCTCTTTCACATAGGAAGCAAAGCAAAGATCAAATCTTCTGAAGAAAATGGAACCTTAAATCACATGCAGATCAATATATCATTCAAGTAAGCAGGAGAAAAGAGCAAACTTCAAATTTCAAAAGGCATTTTCAATAGCAGCAAATACATATCGACCAAGTAAGTATTCTAAAAGTGAGTTATTTCAAGCTGACAAGCCATCCCTGACCAAATTGCACATCAGCAGATTAGATGTTTGTCCTTTGCTATTCTTGTATAGAAGAAATAGACGGTATTATGAAAAGAGGAAATTAATACCCATCATCTCATAAACTAATTATATATCCAAGTGCTTTACAAATTCTAGTTTAATGCATAAACATGAGAGGCAGTAAAAGGGAAAAATTAAAGAATTTTGTGGCGTTAGTGAAGGGAACAGAGAATCCCCATTATAAAACTACCAGATACATGACTAAGGAACCACAAAATGAACAATTTTTGTCACGATGTTAAAATTGCTTAAGTTGCATAAACAATTTTCCTTTGTTTTCCAACCAACTTAGATGTCTGAAGAAACTATAGTGATCAAAATCAGAACATGACAGAGCAAACAAACCAAGATCTTCCTATGGTTCCTTTTTCTTCTTTCCAAATAAAATAACCAAACTGGTACATAGTACTTATTTGCAAAGACCAAACAGAATCCTAAGGGCCAAAATCTACCAAAAAGGTTATGAGAAAACAGACAGTCAAACAAAATCCTCTGATCTCTGCAAAGTCCAACAGAAAACCAAGATTTGGATAGCAACTTAAACTTGGAAAAAGAAAAGACAAACAACACATTTACCATAAAATTACAGTTTAAAGATCTAGATCCACCGTTATGAACTAAAAACAAGTGTGAAAAAATACTAGTACTAATAATTTAGCAATAACTGACTAGTGAGCGACATTTCAGCTTCAATAATCCAAAATCTTGTAAGTATTATTTTGGTTTTCAAGAAAACAGGAAATTTTACTAAAATTATATATAGAAAAATCTCAAATTTCAAGTGTAATAAAGCATTACATAGTAGTAATAACAATTTTTAGTTCATTTTCCTCATTTCCTCAGTCACTGACGAGATATCTAACAAAAAGAAAAGACAAGAAAATCAGAAAAAAAAAAAAAGACCGAAGAAAACCATCATTCAAACTTTAAATTGCAACGTACAGACACGAGAAAGTCAGTTTTAGTTCAGTTTTCCTTGGTTTTTTCGGCGTAACCAAACAGACAAAAGAAAATTTCACCACTAAGAGACTAGCAAAGAGAAAAAATGAGAGAGAAAGAGGACCTCAAGCTCCAAAGCTCGGAACCACAGAGAAATTGAAGAGTTTGGAGAGCTTTTAAGAAGAAAATGAAGAGAGGCACATACAGTATAAATATAGGGTAAGCAGAGCGCACCTGAGAGTGTTGTTGCTAGTGACCACTGACAGCGAATGAATATCTCAAAAATGAAATTATATCTGATTTTTTTTTATAATCTTAATTAATATTATTTTTAAGAGATTTTTTTTAAAAAATTGAGAAAAACAAAAACAAAAGAAATTGAAGAAATCGAAAACGGATCAGACATGCACAAGTGATGGGCCAATTGGATTCGCTGGCGCTCAGGTAAAGTTATGTGACAGCGTGACCGCACCAAAATGTAATTTACTTTTTTCTGTATTTGACGGAATTTCTTAGGTTATTGAATTGAAATATGTTAATTCAAATCTCATTCCAACTTATTTTATATAAAAAAAAAAGTTTCATTTGGTTAGATATTTTATTGAAAAATAAATTATTATATCCTATAAGTAAATGAATGAATTAAAAAAATCGGGTCTGGATTGATGCCACGTGCTTATTCATTTAATTTATATTTTAGTTTAAATTTTAAAAATATTAATAAGAAAAATATGGAAAAGGTTGTTCAGCCAATGTGACTAACCATAATTAAAGTGAAGTCTCTTTATATTGAAAATTATAAATGTACTGTATTCAAATTTTAATTTAATTATTTTTATGTTATCATAAAATAATATTTAGTAATTTTAAAATTAAAATTTTAATATTTATAATATTTATATCTTATAATTATGTTTTCTTTTAAACAAAAAAATTTAGATATATTTTTTACTTTTGACATAATTTTTTTCATGACTTTTTTGAAATAGTTACGGGGTTAATTTCAATCAAGAAGCATAATTTTTCATTAAAAATATGATAAAAAAATATAGAGAGTTGTTATATATATTTGAAAGATAATTTTTAATGATAAAAAATTTGAAAATAATTTAATATGGGACAAATTTATAAAAAAAGTTTCACAGGAAAGTTTCGCATCGACGTTGAATCATTGATGGCGAAAAGGAGGGGTTGCATTTAATTTTTTAATTTTAAATGCTTTTGCTTTTTTTTTTTTTAAACAAAAATTGAGAATTGATTGAAAATTAATGACTGATGGTACATGAAAATTGAATGCATAAGTGGGGGGGGAGTAAAGTGCAGACGAGCACAGAATGTGTTTGGTCGTGGTTGACAGTGACTGGTTAGCAGGCATTTTCCGCATCATAATTGTCGCCACTCGCCGTTCCCCCACACCCCACGTTCGGTTTTTTTTTTTTTTAATATTAAAAATCAAAATCTGTCACTTCAACAAAATATAATTAATATTAAATAAACAAACATAAGTAACCAAATTTATTTAACTGGAATATTCGTAAATTAAACAAATGAACTATATAATTTATGTTGTGGATTTTTTTTTTTTTTGTGCTTTTGAATTTGAGATAAGGAGCAAACTTTTTTTAATGTGTATTAAAAAAAAAGTTTGCTATTCACAATGAGTGTAATGTCAACTTGTAATACAACTTTGATTAGTATAATATATGATCAAATTGGAACATTTTTTTTATTGTTTAATTTACTTTTCCTATTACAAAATTACCTAATTTTGCTTGTAACTATTTATCCACCTAATAGCATAATTTATCTATTGAAAAGCAAACCTCACCAAGTAATAATAAATAAATAAATGAACTGCAATTTGAATTTCTCTTATTTCATTGTGGTATAAATTAAATCTTAATTATTAAAATTAAAAATTAAATACTTTACTGATAGGATAAATAAAAACTGAAATAATTAATGAATGTGGATCTTCTCTTTTGCATTATTTGGCAAAAAATTAAAGGGTGAACCCTCCGATACAGGATCATTTTGAGCCCATTTTGGCATGCCTATGATGGGACCATTTAACCTAACCAATTAGGCCATAGGGTTGGAGTCCGTGGGCCGGGTTACACCTTCGCTTCATTAAAAGGGCCAAAGGAGACATAGCTTAATGGGTTCGGCTCCTTTCGTTATTTCTTAATACATATTTAATTACCATTTAATGTATACATTATAATAAAATCTTACTCGTGTGAATGGCAATGATGATATTTAAAAAGTAATGAATAAAAAATATAAAAGGCCAAAATCGTAATATTTGCCTTTTTCTAATGTTTAATATATATATTATATATATAAAGATGATTTTACATATAGATTTTTCAAGTCAATAAATATGATTTCAGTGAAATTTTTACAAGTATAGCTTGTTTTCAGGAATTACTTGTGGAATTTATTTTTAATTTTTAATACATTAGTTCTAGATTCTTTTTTTTTTTAAATACTCCTTCTGTATTAGTTTTTTATTTTTTAGGATGTACTAAAATTATATCTTTTTTAACACTTAATTCTTTAATTTTTTTATGTATTTCAAAATTATTTTTCAAGATTTTTTTACTTTTTTTAATGAAAAACTTCATAAAAATCAAATGAGGACAATCAATATAGGATGATGTTGTACCGATTAATGATTCCACAAATGATGTATATAGTTAAACAGGCTGATATTTCTAAATAATCTAACATGATAATAATAATCGCTTCCACAAAATAATCGTTCCATAAGATCTGTTGTTTTTTTTTTTTTCATATAATACAAGGCATTATCTTATCATCGTAAATATTGCCTAATGTTACCATACACTTTATTTTCGTCACAACTGGAGAATTAAGTCTTAATTAGAATTATAGAAATAGTCTCATCTCATAAATCTTGATCATCTTTCTGATATTTCTCATAGAAATAGTCTTAAATAAAAATAAATAAGTACTGCCACCATATGTATACTGAAATTGCATCTAACGGCTGGAATTGCTAAACAGGAAGGAGATTAACCTAATTAAGTAACTCTAATCTAAAGGAAATGATTTGTGCATGTGGGCCTTTTTCTTTTAATGATTTAATCCCTTGGCTACTTGCGTAAACTCCTCTCCTACGGGAGTGGAGTACCAAACCACCAAGGCTAGAGACTAGAAGCTCGTGTGTTTTGCCATCTGCGTTACAATTAGAGGGTTCATATGAGTCGAGTTATTTGTATAGATTTTATGAGTCTGACTTTATCAGAGTTAAGTTTAGGTATAAATTTTGAATTAGATGGGAACCATGGCAAGGACACGGCCACGAGTTCTTCCATCCTGGGCTGCTGTCTCCTGCAATTCGAACTTTCAAGTGAAGTGTTTTTCTAGTTCTCCTTTTATTTGTTTTTTTTTTTTTTTTACGAAGAAACTTTCATGTAAGTTACTGGATGAGATGGCATGGAGATGAAACAGTGTATTTCCTCATGGTCAAAAAATAAATGAATTATGAAATGTGGAAGAGGCAGGCATTTAATGCAAATGACGAGGCAGACAAAAACAGAGTAACTGATCCATAAAAAATAAGTAAAGTAGTAGAAAAAAACAGAAGGATGAGGAGGGGCACAAACGAAAAGCAGACTGGTGGATTGAACGAAGATGAGACGTTTGGCGCCAGCAGGAAACGTGTTATGGATTTCGGTGCCCTTCTTTGCCGCGTGCGCTTCCTTCCTTTGCTTTGCTAATTCCATTGCCTTTTATCCCACTTATTTCCACACTCCAAATTGCATTATCCGAAGTCCAAACTCAGCCTTGAAATTATTGTCTTTTGGGCCGATCGTGACTCTCGTGCCCGCCCTGACCCCAAGTCCCTTTCAGCTCAAAAAACATGCATTTGTGGCGTAAGATAAGGAGGGTTTGGCTCTCTGTTTCTGGCAGGCTCAAACCCCATAAACCCACCGGTCAGTTTATGCCATGGTCATCCTATCAATCCCTTATTGGTCTTTATAATTCTAGTTGAATTAAATGCAGCGTTTACATTAATCTATGTTTGCTTCGAATTTGATTCTTGGTGTTTAATTTGAAGAAGCTGATAGCTTTGAGATTGGACTCCAATTATGAGCAGGTGGCCAAGGTGGTGCAAGCGGTTTATTAAAGCTTCAAGATGATGTAAAGACGTGTGGATATAAAGACGTGCAGGTGATGTGGAACTTATTGAATACATCACAAATAAAACAAATAGGAGCAGCAGCAGCCACAACAGCAGTGTCTCAATCTCGCAAATGCAGCAAGCAAAGGCCTTCTTGGATGGCTTTCTTTTGGCCCAACCAAAGAGCTACTCCCCCATCTTCATCTTCATCTTGTTGGGTTAAATCCAGTAAAACAGTATACTAGCTATAGATATACACTTAAAATACAGCAAATTGTATACAAATGTACGTTTGGTTTTGGTAGAATTAATTGTTCATACAGCCATAGAAATGCCAATATCTATCTTCCCTGTTAGTACTTTTTGTTCATATCACTTGAAACAGATGGAATTAACTCAAGCATTCCAAGCTTCTCAGTTTTACCTATCCCTGTCATTACGTTCCCGTTTTGATTTTCGAAACTCTGCAAATACTTAAATATAAACCATATAGTATATTATAAGTTTCTATAACGCACGTCAATGGAGGTTTAACAAGTACTCATCAAACTGCTTTGATGTAGAGAATTTTGCCATCTATCCTCATAATAGCTAGTCTTCTGACATACCTATTCTATTGGCAGTCAATTAATTTTTATCTGTAAATTCTCAAAAAAAAAAAAAATCATATGTAAATGTTGCAATAAGGAAGTAAAATTGAGAAATACAACACAACAAATCGTGAAAAAGAATGAAAAATGCATACGAGTTATGTGATTCGACTTTTGAAGCATACGTGACCGGGTTTAAATCAGTTCTACGTTACCAACCTAGCCCCCCTTGACATAATAAGAGGGCTTAAGCTGTTTTAGCAACATGTTGAGAAGGATTTTCGTAGCATTGTGTGACATTTTATAATTGAATTTTTAAAATTTCAGTCACAAAATGAAACTGTGACGACTATAAATATATATATATATATATATATATCTGTGACGCGGTGAAAATAACCGTTGCCAAAGGACCACACAGGCCCCGGTTTGATGGAGAATCGGGGCTTGAAACGGAAATAATTCCCGTTGCACACTTCCTATATGCCAAACGGCACCTTAGTCACTTACCATCTGTCCTTTTTCATGATTTCTTTAACGGTAACTAGCTTATGGACAAGTTTCCTGCGAAGAAACATGGAAAAGAAGAGTAAAGTTGAGAAAACTTCCAGATGACAGGCAGGAGAGGAAATAAGGAAGCTAGATGGTGTTGCCATGGAAGAAATGGAATTAATTTTATGGATTTCATCCACCAGCATATGCCTATTTTAGCAGGTGAGTATAAGAATTGATTCTTCACAAAAACCAAAGGGAATTGCAGTCTTAATGTTCACAATCGAGCTACCAAAACCTACCTCGGTCGATTCACGCTTCAATCAACCAAAATTATGAGATACATATTATGGAGGTATATGAACAATTAACAGATATACAAGGCAAATCTCATCTATCATGGTTCGATGAAATAAATTAATAGATATATATATTTTCTTGCCGCCATTGGAACACTAACACTCCTCTGCTAACAATCATGAATATACATATCGGTGTGGGTGTAGCACCGGAATGAAAAATGTTGATCTCCTTCGGAAGCCAATATGAGATTTGCAGAATAATGGCCTAAAACCTGCCAGCCGAAAAAATAATGACTTAGCAGCTAATACAAAAATGAGATAATAGAATGAAATAAAAACAAATAAACCACAAATTCCTGTTACCAGAAACAGTGATGAGATAACAGCAGGCAACTATAATCATATTCAAGAGAGAATTGAGAAATGAGAACCAAAGAGGCTCTAGAGAATTACTTGATCAAGCAGAAGCATTAGCCCATCATGTGATATCAAGGGTTGAAGAAACTTGAGCCACCGATATTGAGTGCAATTAGCACTAACATACTTGTAATCACAGCAAACCATAATAAGGTTGATCCTGCAGAAGACAAAATATTGAATGCAATCAAGACAACAACACATATGCACAACTGAAACAAACTATTAGATACAGATATTTAAATGCCACACCTCCAGATGCTTGAGAACCATTATCAGAATCTGATGGCACAGATTCCCCATTAAAACCACTTAATTTTGGTTTCGGAGGCCCTGTTCTTGAGATGTCATCAAAATATTTGCTCCCCGGTTCAGATGACACTATGCCTTGAAATTCCTCACTCACAATCAAAGCTGCTAGAACATCCATAAATGACTCTTTGTCTGTTTCATCTGTAAGTTGCTTTAAACCCTGCTGATATGTCACATTTGATTCATCAGAATCAGACAATTCATCATCTGAAGCATCAGTATCAACAGATCCAGCCACAGTTGTGTCATCTTCTTCATCCTCAACATAGGCTTTATATGTCAATCGAAGTAATATTTCTCCAGCAGATCTCTTTCTGAACACTCCCCAACCTCCTTGCAAGACCACAATCTTATCTGTAGGAACAGTGTCCTGGAGAGTCCCCAGATCAACCTGAAAAGTTTTATGCATCAGATAACCACATTCATAGAAAGAGGCAAAAAATTGACTGCAAAAACCTTGCAATCTATCATATCAATTAGCACTGTTAAGTATATTCAATCTCAACCTGACAAGCAGCAACATAATCACAAGATTCACATCTACTCTACAGACTATCCACCACTTTCTCAGACAGGAACCAAGTTTTCATTGCCATATTCATAAAATCTTAAGCTCTATCTAGAATGGTTTGTGTGTCATGCAGCATAGCAGCCTCAAACTGGAAACTTTGGCTTCTTACCACAACAAATAGGTAACAACCAATGTGTAAAAGATGGACCATCATGCCCATGGGTCAATAAATGCCTTGAACAACTCACTAGCCTTGCCTTACCACACATAGCTGCTCTCAACTCTCTCCTCTCCACCAATAACTGTTTTTTAATACATACATACATACGTACGTACGTACATAAATACATACACATATATATATGCACGTGTGTGCGTCTGAGTACTTTCTAATCCTTAAAAATTAGAATGGTAACTGCTGTAAGCATCAAATCTCAAAGTCACATAAGTATGCCCACACCCAAAGATGATCTAAGCATATATAAGGAATATTATACAATGATATACATTGTTTCACAAATAAAAAAAAAGTCTACCTCTCCTATACCAATTGTCAAAGAAGTGAACCCAAGGGAGTCTTTCACTTGGACTTGTAGTTTTTCTTTTCTAGGGTTTGCCACAAGTAAATGAAAATCCTGGCAAAATGACAAAAAAAATTATCAATTAAAGAAATTTTACAGCTTCAAGTATCAAAGTTCATCCAGTTTGGGAAGTTTCATTAAAGATGATAGAATTCTGTATGGAAAGAAAATAATGCTAAGAAGCTGCACCTGATTCCAAATTGGCTCACCAGGAGGCCCAATAACAGTAGTTTGACTGTTCTTTTTACTGCATATAACTTGATCCCCCAGGCTTAGAACAACATATGGATCAGTTTTTCCTGAAAAAAGAAGAGCGCTATTGATTATGGTGAATGAAAGTGAAGCTATACATGCATATGAAGGAGTCTCCTACAATATAACTATTAGAAGAGCAATGTATTCCATCCTCATTCCTTATCTCACATCCAAGTTCTTTTTACTGCATATAACTTGATCCCCCAGGCTTAGAACAACATATGGATCAGTTTTTCCTGAAAAAACAAGAGCGCTATTGAATATGGTGAATGAAAGTAAAGCTATACATGCATATGAAGGAGTCGCCTACGATATAACTATTAGAAGAGCAATGTATTCCATCCTCATTCCTTATCTCGCATCCAAGTTCCACAGATATAAACATTAGGCAACATTCATAAGGAATTTGCATCTCTGTTGCTCAAACTTGTCTCTTCACTCTGCCATACTTATGTTGATAGAGTAAACAACAGAAGGGTGAGTTATGTGTTGGACCTTGAGTGAAAGTTTTGAACATTGTTTTTTGTTGTAAGCATTTCATCTTAAAAATAAAAAAATATATCTTCTCAGAGGTCAAATGAAAACAACTCTTACCATAAAAAACATAAAAAAGTTTCCTGGCATCTACAAGAGTCACGGATAGTTCTCCAGCAAAATCCTTGTTTTTCTCTTCTTGAATTTCTTCTGATTTCAAATCATTTGCAACAGGGCCAACTGCTTTCCCTTTTTGGAAATCCAGAACAATCTTCTTTGGGCGTACAAATAGTCGAGGCAAATCCACAGTGAGAAGTTTTGTCAAAAACCTAAAAATAAATGTACTCAGATACCATATGAATAAAGCAGTAGACAAGGAGATGCACAGAAAACAGCCAAACGTAGAAGATAACAAACAACACCTATAAATAAAATGGAAATATTAAATAGCGAACCCAAAGAAAACTGATATGCCATATCACAGGTAAAACGTTTAAATTAGCTGAATGACACATGAAAAAGATGATAGTAATGGCAGCAGCAGCAGCAACAAATTAGAAGTACTAGTTACTATTGCCAAATTCAGTACCCATATTTAAATGTAGGAAGCTACCCTATCCCATGCATAAAAAAATAAATAAAAAAAGGAAGAAAGAAGAAGAGTAGTGACAAATGCCAAAATGTCCTGATACTCTTGAAACTCAAATGGAAAACTAGTGCTGTTTTAAGCCTCAAGAAATGTGAGATACATTCCCATTTATATGCATCTATTCCAACAGTTTTAGGGAAGTCCTCATAAGGGGGTAAGTGGTACCCTCCCCTTGCCAAGAACAAAATTACCAAGGTAATCATTCAGTATAACCAATATCAAGGAAGACAACTCACTATCATTCATTTACTTTCAATTAAAAAATGAAAAATGAAACTCATTACTCACAGCCCAAGACATCTAGACTGATAAACTCAAAGTAGAAGTGCAATAATGAATTTCAGGTAAAAAGTAAAAGATGAATTATGTTTAAGCTTTCAGCTAGAATATGATTTAGTATGAGGATACCTGTACTAAGTTGAAGGCTCATGTCAAAATGGGAGGGAAAGAACAAAGAGGAAGGGAAGATTTCTTCCATTTGCAGTTAAACTAAAAGAACAAGTACGCTTCAAATACAAAATAAATTTCTTCCATTTGCCTCTATATATCTAGTGGTGACGTGCTCTCAGAACTTGCATCACATCAAGAAGTTCTGTAATGTAATGTCTTCAATGCTGTGAAAGGGGGAAGGGAAGATTATGATAAAAGTTCATAACAGAAAGGTTCTCATAATATTTGTTTCAGACAACTATGTTATGTAAAATAAAACCTGTACTGAGAAAACCCTAGACCTTCAGACCAATATGGAAAAGATATAAAAAATGTTTACAAGCCAAATTAGTAAGCTTGCACAAATTACGGTAGCTGTAAAAAAAATTCGCTTACATCGACAGAACTGGAATTGCTGGTATTGCCCGGTGCATGCACAAAAGAAGAAAAAAAGAAACATGTATCAGCATCTTCAATGGCAGTTAGCACATAAAAGGACAATCCCTAATAATTTTTTATTTAAAACTTTCAAGACAAGGGAATTGACAGCAATCTCCAAAGAAAAGAAGACTTCAATGAACGAAATCATATAAATGGATATGTCTCTATGGATTTCATAGCTATATAATCAAAATTCAAAAATAAATACTTTCTACAGGAGACTAGTGTGAATTATTTTTTTCTGTTGCCATCCGCCACTTGTTTCTTCTAACCTTTTAAATCAACAATGAAATGGACAGCTTAATAGGTAATGAGCAAACTCGAGTCATTTAAGTACACAAAGTAACTTAAGCTATGCTCAAATTATCAATTACTTTACAACAGAAATAGAAGAATATTTAGACAAGAATTATTTTAAAATACAGAGAAAGGGAGGAAGAAATTCTATACTCCTTTTTTTCATTTTTAAACTTTGGCAATCAATAGAGAGGAAAAGACGCATCACACTTTTTACCAATGCATGTAGGCATTGAATTAAAGGAAAAAACTAACCAATCCTAATACCAAAAGAGGTCTGCACATCTGCAGCTTATCTACACAATTAAAGAGCTATACGGGTCCCAAGCAGCTCATGATCCCTTTACTTATAAGATGGGATACTTCTATCAAATATTTTCCAGCTCTTTCTAACACTCAGTGGCCTGGGCATGGCCAGGATTATTCTTAGAAGTGGTGAGCACTAGTCAAAGCTCCATTGGAAGTTTTGAACACAACTTAACCTTTCCCTCAAATTTCCTTGTTCACCTGTTGATAACAATGACTCAATCGATACAATCACAAACTAGTGGTAACTCAATGATATAACCAATAAAAGAGGGATGGACTTCGATGAAGAGATAGAATTTACCGTAAACCTCAAGGGAAGAATATTAAAGTTGATCAATTAGACAAGGCAAAGTTAACGTTGTCTTAGAGTTCATTCCTTCAGGTCCCCTATGATGTGACCTATGACAAACACCTTTTAATTGGGTATTATATTTCTGGCTTTTTAACAATCCTACATTTCAGGTCCAATTTCAAGCTTAAATGTTACAAATGCACAAGTAGAATAGGGTTCTGTGTCCTATTCCTTCCCAAGGGGATACAAACTGATTCAAAGGACGTAAGAAGTCTAAATAATACCAGTTCTTTTTCTACAATAAAACGTGTATTTGAAACAACTGGAACCTAAATGCCATTAAATCCATATGGTCAACTTATATAGTTTTGTATAAAGGAATTACGACTAAAAAAGGAGCCAGCTCCCAATTAGATTATCTTGGCAAAAGCACAGGCCATGAATAAATACCAATTAGGAGCAATAGGTACCACTTAATAAGACAATTTTCAAATTCATCCTAGTTTTTCTTGACTTCTTGACACCACCTTCATAGTTAACCTTTTTAATCTATAAACTTATAGATAGAAATATGTTTGAAAATGTTGTAAAAAAGAGAGACATCACAATTACTTACCCATTAAGTTAAACAAGCGAAATGGTGATAACTCAAACTTGATCTTCGGAAGTGAAACAAAAGCCCATGAAACAGCTCCAACAAAAGGTTCAGTTGGTATCAATCGCAATTTAACCCAAAGTTCTCCATCAATATCAAAATCTCGGACACCAACTGGCACAACAATTGGAATAATGCCAAATTTTAATGACAACATCAACAACATGCGAGCACCACCAGTATAACGAAGTCCTATCTGATACCTACATCAAAGTAAATGGAAGTTGGTCAAATGCAATCTCAAATTTGTAAATAGAACCTCCAAAAGATCCTCAAGGCATAGCACATTAAGCATCAATTTGTTATCATACTTATATTGAACCTCCAAAAGTTAAAAAACTAATTTACATTTCAAGAACACTTTAAACTTGATAATTAGAACTTCCATATAAATAAACATAGGAATCAGCAACCATAGACAGTTCAATTGCAATAAAAGAAAAAGGCATAACAACAATGGGAACAACAACAGAAATTCTGATAGTTCTAAAGTGCCAAAAAACTCACTGCAAATCGTTGACTCGCCGTGAAGTCCTACGCTCAACATTCCTAACAGACAAAGGTTCATCCCCTAAAGAAAACTGCTTAATTTCCACTCTCTGCACATAATCAGGCTTCTTAAGATTATCAATAACAGGTTGTAACAACCCAATGATCCAATTCTCAATCCCTCCTCTATAAACTTTCCACAACTTCCCCAACACCATATTAACCCACTCGACTGACTCTTTCCTCTGCAAATCCTTTTCCAAGAACAATGAAAAACTGGTTGGAACTTGTGGCCAAACCCCTCCTCCCACTCTAACTGCGTCCCCATCTAGACCCCCCAATTTGCTCCTCTTTTTCCGTGAAGTCCAGATTTTATCAAAAGCAACCCCAACAAAAAAGAAAAAAGCAAACAACCCAACAATGTTACGGTTAATGGGAGGGGAAGGGATTGGGTGGATAACTCCAAGCTGGGTCCTCAACTTGTCAACAATGGGGTCTTGTTGCAAATTAGTGAAATTAGAGCCCATTTGGATGGAAGATTCTTGACTTTCCCCATCCACAAACTCATTTGAAAAACCTTTGGCTACAAGGTTTCTAGCCACCCTTAAATTAAGCTTGTTGGGATTTAGAGTGGGAATTGCGCAAGCAAGAAGACAGAATTTCCGGTTTGGGATAAAGAATGTGATGAGTCGGGTCTTGTCCCTGTTCCTAGGTGGGAAGGAGAGTTTGGTTCTACAAGGGCAGAGAGGAGGAACAAGAGGGAAGCTGAAACTGGAAGGAGAAGACTGTAAAAAGATCATTTATTATACGTAATGGGAGGAAAATTTTCAGTGCCCCAGTTAAGAAGTGGGGATAACAGAAACCATAGTTGTTGATGGTGATAACAAACATAAATAAACTGGATAACTAAATGAAGAAAGTAGGACAAAAAAATCAAGATGATGGTTTGGTTTTTTATTGTTTTTGGTTTTGGTTTTGGCTTGACCTTCAAAGGTTGTGAGAAAGGGAAAATGGTTTTTGAAATAAGGAATGGGTTGACTGGGTGGGATTGCGAAGTTGTGATGGACAGCAATAGAGAGGAAGCTGGGAAATTTGATGCGTGTGGCCCTGGCATATGGTCACGTTTTGTTTGCGTGTTTAAATTTTTTGCTTTTAAAGCTAGGCTGAGGTCGGAGCAGCCTTTCTTTTTCTTTCCATTTTCTTTTTTTTTTTTAATATATCTTTTTTCACCCACAAAACGGCAATTTTTGTCTGTTAAAATTTTTTTTGGTAAATAAGTTATTTAATTATTTCAAGATAAAATATGTCATATTTAATAATTTAAAATAGATGATCAATTGAATTTAAATTCAAAATAAAATATCTATATTTAATAATTTAAAATGAGTGATCATTGAATTCAAATTTAAAATTTTTATATTAAAAAACATAATATTTATCAAAGCAACTTATTATTGATAAATAATAATTTTTTATTTTGTGATATTAAATTTGATTTTAAATTTGATAATTTCAAGTTTTAATATAATTATAATTTAACAAATAAAAATAACCCATTTGGAGTATAATGAATTTTTTTATAAGATTATATAATCAAATAATTTTCAATTTTTATTTATTAAATTCAAAATAAAAAATTAATAATAAACCAATTAACAAAATTAACACATAAGATCAAATCATGACCAAAAATTTTAAAATTGGATAAAAACTTGAATATGATATATAAATATTCAAATTATTTGTAAAAAACTTGAATATATAATCTATATATTCAAACTTGAATATTTGTAAACTTATTTTTTATCACATTCATATAATTTATTAATAATGGAACCGTCCATCTTTCTATCAAAATAACATTACTCAATGTGTCTTGGTTAAAGAGGGATTTTGAGAATTTGGGTTTAAAAAAGTATTTTTTTGAATTTAAAAGTGTGTATATGCAATACTAAAAATTTTATCAAGTAAATATATTAAAAGAATAATAATATCTTTAATTTGTATGTCTAAAAAAGAGTATGATTATATTATTAAATAAAATAATCAATTTATTAAAATATTAATAATAATAAAATTATAAAATAATGATTTACATAATATAATTTGATTCATTTCCTCTCTCTCTCTCTCTCTCTCTCTATATATATATATATATATAATATATATAATAAATTTGTGTCGGAGTTGAAAATTAATTAACTATAAAATCTGCTTTAAATTCTATAAACCTTAACTTGCTATATGGGGAATAATTTGGATTTTTTTTTATTTCCTTCCATTTCTTCATTCATATGCATGGTTATATTTTTATTCTATGTCACGTCAATTAATTATAACTTAATATATATATATATATATATAATTTTCGACTAAAAAGACATAAGATTAAAATTCGACCCTAATCTTTTCTCCTCTCTCTTATTGTAGAACTCTACTTTTTTTTTAAATAAAAAAAATTTAATATATATATATATATATAAAGAAGATTATCTTTTAATTTTACCTCACTATTTCAATTGATATAATTTTATCATCATATTTAAATTTTAAAGTAATTATAATTTTATCATCAATTATTTATTTATTTATTTATCATGATATTTTACATTAATATAATGTCGTAATCTAAAATTTTCTTTATATTTTACTTTTTCTTATTTCTTAATGATGCTTTTAATGCATATGATAATTCTTGTGTTCAATTTGTCTTAGTCTTTTTGGTATTTTTTTAAAAAATTCTTAAATTATAAAATAATTTTTAATATATATTTTTAAAAGTTTCTAATATGAATTTTTATTAAATATAACTCTAAAATTAAAAATATAATGACAAATTTATTTTAAAATTAAAAATATAATAATAAAATTACACTAATTAAGAGATTAATTATAAATTTAAACAACAAATAAGTAAAGTTGGTAAATTAATATCTTAGTAAAAATAGAATTTACATTAATTAATAAATCATAAATGATTTTGATTTAGGCCCTCCAATCTCCGTTGCCGTGGGTATTGGGCCATATCTCATTCACTCAATGCCAGTTAGCCACCGTCAGATGTATATCACATGTCGTTAGCGCGTGATGTGGCGGTAAACTGAACGACACGTAGGATCATCCATCCATTCATACCCTGTCATTTCTCAAATGGATTACCGGGTATTGCCGGTATATTCCACACCAAAAATAAAAAAATAATAATAATAAATAAAATTAAAATCACCCCTTCGCTGTTCTTCACGCCTCTCCTTTCGCCGCCGTGTTTGCTTTGTTCTTCCTAGTAATTAATTTCTGAAAATAATAAAAATAAAAAAACCCATAAATCATCAAAGTTTGTACTATTTTTATTTGAATTATGATTTTGATTCCTTCAATCAAAATATAAATTCCGGTTTTTAACATTAAATTAGAAAAAAAAAGGAGAAAAGAGGAGAGAGAGAGAGAGAGAGAGAGAGAGAGAGAGAGAGGGAGAGATGGGGAGTTACAGCGTGGATGAGGCGGTGATAGCGTACAAGCTGAAGGACGCATACAATTGGTGGCGTGACATTAACGATTCACCGCTCTGGCAGGATCGCATTTTTCACATTCTGGCCGCTCTTTACGGCATCGTCGCCGCTGTTGCTGTCGTATGCCTCTCCTCCCTTTATATTTTTCCTCTTTATTATTTATTTCAAGTAATTAGGGTTTAGCCCTCCGTTTGATTGCTTGTCTAGGAAAACTGATGATTACAGCTTTTCAATTTAAAAATGTTTTCCTTAGTTGATTTCTCCACCTTTTAAATGTGAAAAAGAAAGTTTCAATCAAAGAAAAGACAATTAAGATTATGTTTTAATACTTTTACCCTATGAAGATTCTCCTAATGATGTTGTCATGAATGGGCCTAATTGACTCCAAATTTGTTCACAAATTCATTTATTTATTGATATTTTTAGGTTCAATTGATTCGGATACAATTGAGAGTTCCCGAGTATGGTTGGACCACGCAAAAGGTCTTCCATTTTCTAAATTTCCTGGTGAATGGGGGTTTGTATCTGAAAATTTGTATTTAACACTAAGTGTGATTTATTTTTTTTATTTTGGTTTATGTATTTACTTCGCTTTCATTTATGACAGTTCGCGCACTAGTTTTTGTTTTCAGAAGGAATGTGCAGAACTTACATCCGGAGGTTTGTGATAAACCATTGCACATTTCTTTTTAGCTTTTACTCAGAGTTGAATTATTCATGATTTGTTGCTCGATGTTGCATTTTTGTTAGATTGTTCAACATATCTTGCTTGACATGCCAAGTCTAGCTTTCTTCACGACATATGCACTCTTGGTTTTGTTTTGGGCTGAGATCTACTACCAGGTTTGGTTATTTGAGCTTTACTGGTTTGTCTTCTTTCCCTGATCTTTCTTATTTTGTCGTGAGACTTTATCTCAACTCTGTCTATCCTTAAACAGGCACGTGCTGTATCAACTGATGGACTGAGGCCAAGTTTCTTCACGATTAATGCGGTGGTTTATACTATTCAGGTGAAATTTATGTTCTATTATTTCAGCATAAGTGCCCACAAAAATGAGAATTGGAAGTTGGATTCTTTCTATTTGGAAGCAGGTCATGTTTCGTAAAAACAGTACTGTTGTATGGTTTCACATAATTTATTTATTTGGTTAATTTTCTACAAATTCTATAAATGTTTAGCGGGGAGAATGGTGGCGAATTTCATCAGTGGATTGGTTACCTTTGGTGAATTTGTAAATATTGTAAATGAGATAATGTCACTAAGCTTATTTTTCATAAATGATCTTCCTTTTTCTTGGAGAGAGGATCTAAATATTGTGCCCCGATGGGCAAGATTGCGTTAGACTAATTTTCTGTTTTCATCTTTTAATTGTATGAGAATCAAGGGTCCAATCTGTGGTGTCATTAGTTGAAAACGAAGGAGCCTTTTCACATTTGTGAGATGAATATTGGACTTTGGCATGATTAATTATAGAAGAAAGATGCATGCAAACATCAAGGAAAAGGTAAATTTAGAGAAGACAGCATTGATAAGAAGCGATGGGCTCTTGTTTTAGACTCCAATTGGGCTGTGTTGATTGGAAGTACACTTGTTTTCATGTGCAGCCTGGGTTTCTCTTTTCCTCTTTCTTTTTTTTCTTTCTTTTTTTAATGAGACAGTATGTTAATATGAAAAAGCTGAGGAGGAAAAAATGTTCTATGTATTTTCTTTTCATGTGCTTTTGACCACAATTCATCTTTTTGCTGAGTAGACCTTAATAAAAATTTTTTAGCGGTGAGATTTGCTCATAGAAATGGGTGCAGAATTTGGAAAGCGTATTATGTTGGTAATGTCTTATGTTATAAAGCTTCCTTAAAGGCTAGTGTAGTATTTGCGAGATATGCTCATCTACGAGCTTAGATATTAGGAAAGTTGGAAATAAGTCTATTTTGTCTATTTGACACTAGTCCTTTGTATAATAGCTCTGTTTTATTTTAGCTAATATGTTCCACCATATTTGGTGTCTTTAGATTTTTTTTCTCATATTCTTAGTTTTAGAACCTATTGGACTTTATGACTCAAAGGAATAATAGGAATATATTGACCATCTATGCTGTTATGTTGACAGCTTGGCTGAGGGAGTCTCTCCTTGTAAATTTTTTTAAATGAACCGGATTCTCGTCCAAAAATAAGTAACTTCACTCTCTGTGTTCTTTTACGCTGCACAACTGTCACCTACTTTTTAACCTTATTATAATTCAAAACTAGAGACATCTTAGTCATCATCAATATCATAGAAGTTAGATTTTATCAAAGGACAAATTATCATAGGTGATACATTTCCCTTTGGTAAGGTTGCTTTTGCAAAATTTATGCAGATTATTGATTTATATTTCTTCAGTTCGAATTCTTCTAGGACTTCGCTTGTTGTTGGTATAACCAAGTTTGCTATTGCTTTTGGGGTTGTTAAAAGCTTATTATTGGGGTTCTTGTCCCTAAAAGGGGATTTTATCAATGAATATTAACATATTTGCCTGTCATTTCCTTTTTCTCTCTCTCCGCCTCGTTTCTGATGTAAAAAATTTCCGTAACTTATGAGAATGTCAATTATATAAGCATCCATAATCCTTGTAGCAAATAAAACTTAAAAGTTTCCGTTCATCCACGTCAAGTTTTTCCTATCTTGTGGCTTTAGTAACCCTGAAGATAGTGTACTTTGCAGCTGGATAAATGAAGCGAAAGTCTCTGCGGGTGGCTTGTGTTTTTCATTAAAAATGGCCTTAGGAGTTCACTTTGCTGCATAATCAACACTTGTAAAGCACATTTTCCTTGAAACTGAGATTGAAAAAGATAAAAGTAATTTTTAGATGTGTGAGAGATTCTCTGAGACTTGATGGAGGATTGTTCACTCAAAAAATTGTCTGGTTTAGATTGCTTTGGTGTATATCTCTAGTTTAATTTCTAGAATTAAAGCTATGAGCTTGCTATAGAATACCCCAAGTCAGCTCATATTCTCCTTTTTTCTTTTTCGGATAAGATTATTGTTCTGTACTTGTTGTATATAAAATTTCACAGTTATTGTGCCAATTGTTAGTTGAATTGTACTCCAGTTTAGCAACAAAGCATATGTGCCTTTATTCAGTCTTATGTTATATAAACATCTGATAAGTTAAACCTGCTGTCTTCCAACAGAACTTTCTTGGTGTTCACTATTATAAGTGTTAAACTGTTACTCTATGATATTCTTTTCTTAGCTATTGCCTCCATTAAGCCAAATATTCTATTTTTTAATGCAGATTTGACATTGACTACATTTGTTGTCCCAGCTGAGCAGATATAAGAAACTGCTTGTGCTTTGTGCATCAGTTTGTCCTCCTTTGCTTTTTAGCTATACTCTTTTCAACCTTAAATCATGATTTACGACGCTAACTGAAAGATGCTTAAGTGGTGAAGTCTGATAGTTAACATTGCTTAGGTGTTCCATTCATTGCAAGCTTTTTTGTTCTTTAGTGATTATTTGCTCCAACCTTTAATAGTATTTTTTAATCTTTATTTCACATAACTTTAACTGGTCAGAAATTATTAATTATATTATATTTAATTGATTATATCATTATATGTAACTACTTCAGTTATCACATCAAAGCTATTTTTGATGACACTCTGACCTTTTGCATATTTCGTGTTTATGTTTTTGCAATAGTTTCCTTTTCCTTAATACTTTTCACTATTTCTTCTGCTTGAATATTGCTCATAAACTACCATGATACTGGCCTCTAGAAACTATGAGATGGCTGGATCAAAGTTGGACCACAAAATTAAGTTAATGGGTTAGAAGACAATCTTTCTTGTGCTAGAACAATGACAAGGATGTTAATGGAACTTGTAGATCTTAAGTAGTAAATTTGAACCCTAAGTGTAGATTTTTCTCATCCTAGTAACTTCCGTCATTCTATCACCCTTGTTAGTAATGTAGCATACTTGATATACTTTGGAAGTATGACTATAACGAGCTGTTAATAAAGTTCTTATTTTCTTTTCTGATGTGGGGCTGGGGGAAATTGATTTCAGATTGCAATGTGGCTGGTATTATGGTGGAAGTATATCCCAGTTTTGGTCATCCTATCTAAGATGTTCTTTGCAGGTAAGTCTTTGCTGTATCTTCAGCAGATTTTTTATAGTTTACCATTGAGTAACTTTGGATGCTCTATAGATTTATCATGGATAAATCATTTTGTAATTTCGAATGCTTTATAGATATTAATCGCATTGTAATTTGTGTTGGCAATGAATGAAATTACTTGATCCTGACTTGCATGTATGGGCAGGTGTATCATTGTTTGCAGCCCTTGGGTTTTTACTGTATGGGGGAAGGTAATTATATTGCCATTTATTGTATTGTTGCTAATGTTTTAGTGGCATGAGAACAGGCTTAGTGTGATAATCTGGTTTTATGTTTAGGGATCATGCTAAAACCTGTATATCATTGTCTTTTCTATGTTATTTGGAATTGTGCCTTCTGTTTGTAACTCTTCATCTTCTTTGTTAAAAAGCCTTTCTTACTTTTCAACCTATATATCATTGTCTTTTCTTTGTACAATCTTTGCAGGCTTTTCTTAATGTTGCAGCGGTTCCCTGTAGAGTCCAAAGGGCGGCGTAAGAAGCTGCAAGAAGTACATATTTACTTTGAAAGTAGTTGTGCTGTTTGAGTCCAACAATTTCACCTTTTATACAATTTTTTATTTTTTTTCTTGGCTTGGACAGGTTGGTTATGTGACCACCATATGCTTCTCATGTTTCCTAGTTCGATGCATTATGGTAGATCACTTATTTCCTTGCTGGCTTTACTATCTTACATATTTCAAATTGACAATGCTACAAGCTGTTTTTTAGACCTTTGTGAAGCTTTTAGATATATATAACGTTATAGCACTTTTGTTACAAAATGAAAGTATTTTATTTGAACCCTTTAGCTGCTAGTTGCTTTAGATTATCGATCTAATTTATCAATCAATGGTGATAAAAATTACATGCATCTTACTGAATTTCAGATCTTGGACTTTGCTTTATGATGTTATTAGTCCAAAGTTTTCTAATTCGAGCTCTATTGTTGTTTTTTGTTCTAGATGTGCTTTAATGCATTTGACAAAGCTGCTGACCTTGATGTTTTGAACCATCCAGTTTTAAACTTCATATATTACCTGGTAAGTTTGATAAATAGTTGTATCATGTTGCTTATTTGCTAGTGATTGAGAGATTCATATTGAAATACAGTGTGGAGGTTGCTTAACTCATCTTATTGCCATATGAAAACTGAAAGATTGTCGCATTTCTGTGCCTCATTTGTTTTGCTGCTCACTTGTTTGCCATAAGATTGCTGTGTGAAGAATTTTTTAGGTGCAGTAATGACTATATGGCTCTGAGTAAAATGTTTTATGATCATCTAATAACTTTCTTTTTTCCAATGTAACTTTTATGACTTTTTTTTTTAATACGATCAATACATAGGACTCGTACTATTTTTACTTCTGATTACAATTTGGTGCAATTTTACTCTTTAAGTATAATTTGTTATACCATCTACTTTACTGTATGTCTGTCTAATTGCTTTTTTCTTGTTACTCTAATATAGATAATCACATGCTAAGTTGGTAACTATCGAGCAGTTTCAAGTTTACTAGATAACCAAACAAAACAATGAAAGTAGGATGCCAAACTTGGTTATCTCCCAAACTTTATTTTATATAGTAGTAATAACCAATAAACTTATACTTATTATTCACAAGCATGAGATGAGACTCAAAATTCTGGGCTGGTTCTCATTGATTTGGATAGCCATGATGGTAAGAATGGCAATAATGGGGAACTTGATATGCTAGACTAAGGGTGCAACGGTCCATTTCCACTAAGTTGTACGGGAAGGGCAATTTTTCTCCAGTATCTTCTTGAATTTTCTTTACTATATCACTCTTGCTTTCAGTCTTCCGATTTTTTTTCTATCTTTTTCTTTTGCTTTTAGTTGCTTATGTTTATATAGTCATTGAGGTGAGTGGGCTAGAGGCCATTCTAGGTATCTCTCTATTGAATATATATATAGGAGTAGCACTCTTTAAATAGAGGAGAAATGGAATGAAAAACTGACTGTATTTTTATTAGGTAATTTCCCATGTCCAACACTATATTCTAAGTCTGAGCTGCCAAGCGTTCATCTATTTTGCTACCAAAACTATGAGGAATTACTGAAAGTTTAAGGAGGAAATGGTTGCAGTTTTTACCAGGCGCCTTACAGAATGTGATCTGTATTTGTCATAGAAAATCAATGGTATTGACAATTCTAGGCCTTAACTGATAACATATCTTAACAATAGTGGAGTATGGATTGGAAATCTTACTTTGTTCAATATGTTTACTTCACATTTAGGAAAAATCTTCCTTTTTTTTTCCCATTTTTCTTGGTGCTCTTTGTTCCCTAACTCGCTCAGTTGTCATCAGTTGAGTGTGTTTGATGTGCTGATATGTGGAGTTTACTTGGTATTACAGGGAGTCTTTTAATGTTGTTTCTTATTGATGTTTACAAAGATGGCATTCGAATATATTCAGTGACATTTTTCTTTTCTTGGGCAGTTGGTGGAGATATTACCTTCATCTTTGGTCCTTTTCATTTTGAGGAAGTTGCCACCAAAACGAGGTACTACCCAGTATCATCCTATACGCTGAACGATTGAGGATGACCCATGAGAAAAAAGGACTTAGTGCTTGTAATGATTTTGGACATGGCTTATGTACCCTGCAAAGAGAGCAGAAAAGAAATGGGAATGCAGAAACTGATAGTTCTCGTGTTTGTTCTCACCAGCTGATCTGATGGATTCTAAACCTGTCAATGTGTTTGTAGATTTGAGGAGAAATTGTGGAATACGTCGACTATTTTGGTACCATACAACATGTAATCAAAACCCAAAACAAAAAACGATGATGGTTGAATTTTCTTTAATTTTATGGAATGCTATTCTCTAACTGTTAAACTCCAAAATCAATACCCTTTTGGAACAGCCTGCATCTTCTAACATATATCTTGAGAATGTATTAATTGAGAAACTTCAAATATTTGATGAATCAACTGCCATAACATAAAAATTTCAGGAAGAGATGAAACATACAGAAATATTTCCGAGACATACCTGGCAAGACTTTAAACTCCGTTTGGTATCATGATAGTAGATTCTTTCTACCCCGTTACCAAACGGGGCTTCTCTCTCCAGGAGTAGCTGAAGATAGCTGTGTTTAATACTTGATAGCTGAATCAAAGTATGTAGAGAGATATAGAAGATTGGACCATTTTCATTGCACAAGTGAGAATGAGCAGGATTAACATTGAACAGCAATATACATATAAAGCCTATATTAGAAGGTTGACTCGTTGATACAAGAAAAACCTAACATTCTAAGTGTCGGCCAGCCTCTACTCGTTTTGAATGGTAGTTTTCTTTTTCTTTTTTTTTTTTCTTTTTTTTTGAGAAAAGTACTTGTTTTACATTATTGCATGGTCTGATGGTCTTGTATTTTGCTTTGAAGTAGTGATCACCGGTTTGGAAATGAGCTTTATTCCACATGCAACCCTAAATTTGCCAAAATTTGGTAAGGTTTTTGTACTTATTGAGACAAAAGAAAGAGATTCCAATTAAACTTTCCTGACTTACAGGAAATGTCACTGAGCTAAATTATATTTTGGAATATAGAAAAATATGATTACTTTCAATATACCATTTGTACTTCAGGTGTCTACAGAAATGCAGCCAACTCTTATTTTTATTTAAGTTTGAAGATCCATGATGATTGATGAGTAAGGGCGGATATAATAAAAGTTTAATTGTTATCATTGAAATAGTTGGAAGAAAAATCGGATGATTTATTAATAAAATATTAAAATTTTAATTTCAGTGATTAAAATTAAATTTTTAATAATTTCAAATAAAAAAAAGTTGACAAGTAATGTTTTTCTTTTTTTACACTTCTAAAACATTAGCTTGAGTACTCTTTCAAATCAAAATCCATGTGTTTAAATCCGCCACTCTATTTATCAATACATTATACATTTATACTTTGAAAGACGATGTAACTTATAACACCTAACCAAAACCTGGTAAAACTAACGTTGTACTAGTAAGAAAATTTGGCCTCCCTGCTGCCAATGGTTTCTTTTCGTTATAAAAATTTAATCTAAATAATTTATGTATTTTATTTGTCTTTTTTTGGACCACAGGTATTTTGGGTCATTGCTGACAAATATGCACAGCTGGCGTACACTCCAAAAGTTGCAATCGGTAACGTTGGCAAACACATCCTTACAACAGAAACGTGCTAAAAGTTCTGATTGTTCAATATTTACCTAAAAAAAACATGAAAAACATTGAAATGGGTTAGATTGGTTACCCTTTGATTTGTATCAATCTGTACTTTGGTTTTTACAACCGTTTGGACACAGGCCTAGTCTTCTTGTTTGATAGAACTTGCCAAGTCATTGCACAGGGAATATTCTCACGTTGAAATCTATAGCTATAGCTTAAACAGAACCAAAAATATCTCTTAAAAAATTAGATTTCAATGACACAAAACGTAAGAGATCTTTGAGAACAGTGTCCAATGAATGTAGTTGGGAAGTTGGGCTCTTGGTAGGTGGCGGGTGGGATTTTAGACGACCCCTTCGTTCCAGTTAGGCACATAACCCTTCATTTTTCCCATTTTGCTTTTTTTTTTCCTTATATTCCACAAACGCCGGCAATAGTACTCAAAATTTCAGCGTAATAATCCAAATAATATTATATATTTGACATTTTGTCTTTTGTTTTAATCTAAAATAGATATAAAGATCGATAATTTGATAAGAGTTTTGTAATGTCTCTTGATGGGATGTTTTAGTTTATACGCTTATTTTGCTTCCCCGTGTTGCCATTGTTGACTATGACCCTCTCTTTTGAAGTTTAGCTGTAACAGTCTACTGCTTATTTTTTGCATACACACAGTGGAAAAGACGAGTCCTTGGTTTTTGGTGGTCGTGGTCTGAATTTTAAGGTTTGTTTGTTCGTTTGCTTTTGGTTTATAGTTTGGTTTCGGTTCAGTGGTCTTTTTGATGAAAGATAAATTGTCGGTTTTTTCAGATTAATGGATAAACAGAAGCTGGGTTCTTTTTCGTTTGTAGCAAAGTTTTGGTTTTTTCGATAAAAAATGTTCCTTTGGTCTTTGTGCTGAATCAGTTCATTTTTGCTGATTTGGGTTTCTTGTTCATAGGATTTCATTAGTGGGTTTTTGGTTTAATTTCCATATCTTACTGCAATCCTGAGAATTTGGGATTTTACTCTTTGTTCATTGGAGTTTTTATAATTCAAATACCAAACACAAGTGAATATAGTTAAAATTGTTGGAGATTTTTGGGTTGAAATCTTTCCCCTTTGTTATTCTTGGTTGGTGAGGGTCAAGAAGATCAAGGAAAATGAAAGGAAAAGCTGGGACTCCAGGGAATTTCTTCGTGTTGAATACTGGAGCTAAAATTCCTTCCATTGGGCTTGGAACATGGCAGAGTGGAGGAGATCTCTGTGTTGATGCTGTGAAAACAGCGTTGTCGGTTGGTTACCGCCATATAGATTGTGCACATCTTTATGGCAATGAGATTGAAGTTGGGGAAGCATTGGCTGAAGCCTTCAAAGGTTCTCTGAAAAGAGAGGATGTTTTTTTGACCTCCAAGCTTTATTGCACCATGAATTCATTGAATAAGATTGAGAATTATGTTAGGGTGTCTCATAAGAATCTTGGAGTCTCCTACTTGGATCTTTATTTGTTGCATTGGCCTGAGAGCTCAGGTTTTGGAGATGCAACTGATCCTCCTTTGAAGTCTGGGAGTGAGCATAGGCAATTTTTGAATCGGCTGAAGAAGGCATGGAAGGCCATGGAAGCCCTAGTCGAATTGGGTTTGGTTAGAGCTATTGGTGTCAGCAATTTCAGTGTTCATCAAATCAAAGAACTGCTTAAATTTGCAAAAATTGTACCTGCAGTTAACCAGGTTTGATAGAAATCCCATTTTTTCCCCTTAAATTTGAATTTATACTAATTTCAGTGATTCTTGCATAAAAAAGAATTTTCCTTTGAATTGATTTATTGAGAACATTACTGTGAGGTAAATTCATAACTAGTTGGAGAGCCAGCCGCAAGTTTCTTCTTTTTAATTTTCTTGCAAAGGTACATTCTAATGGAGTTTTATGATTACCCTGTATATTCTTTGCAGATTTCATTCTTGCGATTGTTTTGCTGTTATTGAAATAGAGCGTTGGAATATTTGGCTCAAGTCTTATTCTTCTTGTTGTTATTCCCTTTTTATTTTCTTTTATTTAAGAGATTAGTTTACTGAAAAGTTGATTCCCTTTGTTTTTTCTGAACTCCGAATATGGCGAAGTTAATCAACAAGGTGTAGAATTAATTTGTCATTTTTAATAGGTGGAGTTGCATCCTTTTTGGAGGCAAGATGAACTGGTGAAGTTCTGCCAATTGAAAGGTATCCATGTATCTGCTCACACACCTCTGGGAGTACCTACTTCAAGTCCTGGAGTATCTGATAGTGGATCAGGTGGGGAAGATGAACCTGGAACTCCTCGCATTTCATTTAGGAGGTCCAGATCAGTACATGGACCAATGCTTAAATTGTCAGTTGTCGGAGAGATAGCAAATAGGCACAAAAAGACACCTGAGCAGGTATTTCTTTTTACAACCATATCATGTTTTTTTTCACTATGAATCAGACTAGCTATCTATTTCAATATTTCTTCTGACCTAAAGTAGGCTAACGAATGACTTCAAATATGTTTGATTTTGACCTTCTCATCTCATCAATGTAAAAATCAACACTAATGATCCTTGGTTTAAGTAAAATGGGAACTTAAGGAATAAAAAAGAGGGAAAAAAAAGATTAGAACTCATAGAAAAACCCCTTCAATCACTCCAAAATTGATGCAAGCTAAGTAGCTAACATAATCTTTTATTATCCACTTTTTTGTCTGTCCTATGGAACCTATATAAACTGCTTTTATATATTATTTCAGAACATCTGGACTTTTTATGGTTGGTAATATTGCCAGTACAGATGTAAATGAGATCTATGCATTGATAAATAGAACTAGACTATCTGATTCTATGTTTCGGTGACTCCTAGTGTGAGACTAAGTGGAAGATACAATCACAAATACAAATTCTGTATGTTTAGATTATAATCAATGCCTGAAAGTATATGACTGTTTAAGTGAAGCTTAAAAGTTTCTTTGATAGGAGTAACATGATATGTGGATAAAAAAAACCTTTAATACTGCCACATGCACATGATTTGGTACTGATAAATACAATCGAGCATTTAGAAGTGTCTAACCAGGGGTATACTTTAACTAGAGAGCTCTTTGCACAGCAGGTATAACAGTTCATGTTTGTTATGTATTAAATTAAATGAATACTTTTAGGCTTCCTTTGGTTGGTGCTTTTGCTTTTTGCTATTTGTCCCTTGTTTTCATGTTTTGTTTTTTGCTTTTCATTTTCTATTGAAAAAAAAAAAGCAAATAGCAAATAGCAAAAGCACCGAACAAACGGAGCCTTATAAAAAATGTTAATCTTGATTTTTTAGTAATTGACCAAAGTTTGAGTAGTAGGAGTTCATCTTGTTTATGGTAAAAAAACAAGCTTGATAAAGAGCTTGTTTATGTTTGTCTGAATTTTTAGGATGTATGAGTTTAAAGGACAATGATGACTAAATATTGATCACTGATGTATTGGTGGCAAGCCACCACTCTTCTAGTCCATTACTTTGTTGACGGTCACTAAAAGTTGTGTTTGTTGGTGGGTTTTTTTTTTTTTTTGGTTATTTCCCTTAGCAAAATATTTTTTTCACCATTTTTATTACCATTGTAGCATCATGAAATATTGCCATGGTAATGTATTTTGGATAATGCATGTTCTCAATAACTAATGTTGCAGAAGTGCTTAATCTTAGAAAGGATTAGGAAAGTGATGCAAACAAATGTCTAAAGAGTGGGAAATATTGATATCTTCTTGGGAGAAAACAAAGTTCCATCTTGTAGGATTCTCTTATATGCATCAATGTGTTGGATTTTGCAAAATAGTTTTCAATCTAGTTACTGATATACTAGTCAAGAAAATTAGGCAAGGAACATAGAAAAAAAGAATAAAACTCATGGGTATTCTCTGCTTTGAGAACCTTGATGGCATTCCGCATCAAGCATCAAAGTAAAGGGGGGTGGGGACAGATGCTGATAAAAAGCCTTCCTACCCCACTCGTCATTGTATGTTTTACGGTTAAAATGTTTGAATTTCTGGGTCACTATTGTGTGGCTAACCACTTAAAAGTTGGCTTATGAATAATTCCCAACTACCAACCTTGAATTAAAAGCTTGAGCCCCCCTGAAGAGCTTCATGAGCTTTTCCAAACTGAGTTCAAACAGCCAATGTCGAGCTCAAAATGAACTTGCAGAGAGCTGAAAGAGCTGAAACTTGGTAATTTTAGCCAACCCAATTCTGAACAAAACTTGACTTGGCTCATTTAGTTTACACTTTACACTGCTATGTTTAGCTGAAAAACTAAAGGCAAGCATTTGAGCTACCATACAATGGGAATAAGCTTAATGAGCTACCTTCAAGTTTCTTGAACTCAATCAATTTGATCACTTTCTATTCAAAGCATGTGTTGATATTGAATTTATTATTTTCAAGCTGTGATACCATTAATGAGAAGCCCATGCAGAATGCAGAAAGTGATCACTGTAATATGCCTAGACGCATCAATTACACTATAGCAAACTTGGTCTATGCTCCTTGTATTGTTCAAACTTCAAAGAGTTAATTGCCTTCAGAGGCAGAGTTTGCTTATCTTACATATTACTTTCTGTAACCATGAAAAGCGATAAGCTTTGTTATTAAACCCATGTTTATCCTTGTTGGTAAACCTGAATAACTAGTCAGGAAGTGTATCTCTAGGAAAAGTACTAATATAAAGGTAAATCTCTTTCAGTTTAAACTTCCGCCCATAGTCATACCAGAGAATTTCCTATTGTCAACTACTCCCAACCCCATATACCCCAATTTCCATCACTTCCCCTTTCCTCCAAACACTATATGAAAGAGTAAATTCACGGGATAAGGCGTGGCTCTTCAATCAGGCCAATAATTTGAATGCCATTTTAAGATTATATATTAACCTTACTTCTAGTGAACTTCTGAGCTATAGTGAGCTTTTGGTCTGTTTAAACCTTATTCCCACTAAAGTCTGGGATGGCAAATGTAGTGAATTTATATATATTCCTTCATCTCAGAGGAACATGTAGCACCTTAGCTGGTGTGATTATGTGCAATGAAGATATTTCGCTACTAAGCAAGTATCAGTAAGTTGATTCAAGTAGGAAAAAAAAATGAAGGGATGTGGAATAACTGAAGATAATGAGTTGAAATAAGAAGAAAAGAATTTCCATTTTAGATCTTTCGGATGCTATAACATTAAGTCAAGTAGAATGGAGAGATAGATTCAGAGAGCTGACACCAACTAATTGGAAATTAAGGTTATCTGAGCATTAATGATTCATTAAGAACGCATATTTTGAGTAGCAATTCTTCCCAACACCAAACACTCAACAATGAAAAATCCAACAGAAAGAGTAAGAAAAAGATTAATCCTATTGTACTGTAGTGTATATGAACCTCAAATGTCTTTCTTTGGGGGAAGAGAGATGGGATGGGAGTAGATTGACAACCAATTGCTAGCAATTTAATCTACTAACGCCTATTCGACACCCAAATTCTAGTTTGTCATGTTATTAATAACTGCTTCTGCTGCAACACTTAAGAGGACCACCTTTTTCTTCTGTTATACGAATAACCTACACCTTTATCGTATGGCATATGCCATATGTTATACTCAAGCTGCTTGAGCCTGATTTGCAAGAACATTGATGAACTTTATGTTGCACTAACCTCCATCTTGACAAAATAAAACGATATAATTTAACAAGGGAAGTCTAGGACTAATTAAGTTATCATGCAAGGAGAAGAACGATGTTATGCTTTTTGAGTATATATTTGTATTATTATGATTGGCCTGTAATAAATGCATTCGCAAATATGAAAAGATCTACAAATTTTGGTCAATCTGTTAACTGTTTTCTTGATAGAAAATATCAAGTGAACTACTCATCTGAAAGTGGTTGTCGCTTAAGGTTTTATTTAACATCGGGACATGATGGTTGGGACTGAATAATGCGCCTGATCTGGACCTCTTGGCCTAGGATATTTTATGTATTTAGAGCTTCATATGTGATAGTGCATGCTTTTAGCTAGCCAATGCATGGTTTTTTTAATCAAAACACCTTGCAACTACAAGAATTAGAGTTTCTGGGTTAATTTCAGAGTGTTGTTTTTATGGGGCATTTAGGATCACAATCCTTTAAGATAGAGGCACGTCTATCTGTGGAAATATTAAAATTGTCACTTTTAGCCTTGGGGAAACAAGATGGAACTGCCACTTAATATAACAATGGGTAAGCCCTTGAGAATATTTTGGATCTGCTTCTCCAAGGACTTTTGAGTTCAGTTTACTTAGTGCCCTTAAAAAAAATGATATGCTTCCTGTCCTAAAGTGCTACCTTTAACAACTCTAGCACTTCACATGGTTTTAAATCATTTCTGTCTGCTTTGCTTGTTGTTAGGTAATTCTACGGTGGGGGTTTCAAAGAGGAACCAGTGTTCTACCATGTAGCCTAAAGCCTGACAGGATAAAGCAAAATATAGACATATTTAATTGGTCTCTGTCGGATGATGAGTGGAAGCGCTTGAATCAGATTGAACCACAGGTATGTTTATTTGTAGATGGTCCTCTGAACAATCTCTCAGATAGACGCCTTATGTTCGGTAGTGGTCCCCTTCAAGCTGTACGCGAAATGGAAGATGATGCAGAATCCAACTTCTAATACTTGTGAGCATATTGCTTTAAGATAATGTTCCATTTAAATTCAACCATGTTATTCCGCAGTTATAATATTGTTGATGCCTCCCCATTGTTTTCAATGCTTTTAAGTTCGTGGATTATGAATAGAATGTCAAAGAAAGACATTATTATTGATAGTAGTGGCAGGGTTTCTTTATAAGAACAAAAGGTGTTCCATATATTTCTGCAAGCGTGTTTTGTATGTAAACATCATGAAATGTCAATTATCAATGAAAATTTTCCAAAAAGGAAATGTTAACTTTCTTTTGAGTTGTTGTGCCAAACTTGGTTTTGGTTTTGGTTTGCACGTAGACTGTAGTTTGTGGGTGGCCATGGTTGAATTGCAATCGACTTATCAAGATAATTTAATTTATTTGTGATATGAGGTGGGACCATATCCTCCTTAGCACTATAATCAAGCATTTCGTAAGTGGGATAACCGAATACAAAACGTTTTTGCTTTGTTGGAGAAAGAATTGTCTTCTTCAGATTAGCAGTTCCTGCCAAAACCATTGAATAGTTTGCACCAGTAGGCTTTTAAGAGGCATCAGCATACACGACAGAACTTGCAATTTGAGATAGTAAAAGCAATTTTAATGGTCAATAAAGGATTTGATGAAGTTAAAAGTGATAGATTTTTAATTTGCATATCCTCGGTGGCTTTTCCATTAACTTTCAGACCTATGGTTTCAGTGCCTTAACAGCTACATTCATTGCGTGCATTGTCTGTTGAATGCTTGTGATTCAACTCGTTGATGTGAAGCAACTGCTCTATGTGCCTTTCTGTTTCTGATGAAACCATAGGGATCAATACATTAAGTTAAGCATTTTGTTTTCTATGAATCTTAGACTGAAAATATTAATGGTGGACCTAAATATTTGGTCGTTGCTGCAATGATAATAATGGGGTTCACTTGATTTCCAAGCAATTGGTTTGCATCAAGTTTGTCAGCTATGAGCCTATGAACTATAATCATTCAAACCAAACAGGTAAAAGGATATAAAAGTTTGGTGCATGCTTGAAGATCAATTATTGTCTCAAGAATCATTTTAATACATAAAAGTTTAAAATGAAAGAAAACTTTTTTTATTTCATGATCAAGATAGTTTACAAATTCCAAAAAAAAAAAAAAAACAAATGATTCAAAAAAAAAAATACTGATAACGAGAACCGAATCTAAAAATCACAAATAAAATATTCAAATCTTATTAACTCAAATAATTTTTATTTACAAAAGAACTTTTGTCAGTCTTGGTTTGAATCTAAAATGTTTGAATTGGAATTCACAAGCAGTATGTACACGAGGAAGTATTGGCAACAAAGGAACACTGTATTTTGTGAATCATGATCCATATAATCGAAAATGGCAATCCATTTTCTAAGCTACAAGAGCAAATGAGTAGTTAACCAGCACAACTAGGATCCAATGACTCTGCAAAATCATGTCAACAAAGTGGTTAAGGTAATCCTTGGAGCACCATTTTACCAACTGTCAATCTTATTTAAAGCTTTTCTTGTCATTACAATCAAAGCTGACTTTTTTGAGTTTATGATTATATTTGCTTAATTTTTCTGCCATGGGACAGGAAATAGCTCCTTTGACTTTTTTTATCTTGAACACAAAATAACAGGAATTTTTTATCTAGTAAGAGATTTTGACAGGAGGTATACATACTTATGAAAAAAAAAAAAAAAAAAAAAAAGAGTTCAATTAGAGTCCTTGAGAGGAAATAATTCATCATTCAGTGAAGAAAGATAAGGAATTATGATGGTTTTGCCACCCAAGTAAGAAATGAAACTGGTGTTTGATATTGCTGTCAGATCCAGAGTTTGAGTGCTGCCCATTTATGGAATTGAAAGCACATTTTTTCTTTTTTTGGGTAAACCACCATCACTATCACCATCATTGTTCTTGATTAATAAATAAATTTCTATCTCAACTCAGAATTCAGAATGACCAAAGAAAATAATGCTTCTTTTTGCTGTCCAATTCCAAATTCAGGGACCACTATCCAGAAATAGTGCCAAGTTCCAACTCTCAAAGCTAAAAAATCTTTGAAGACCAGGAAAAAAGAAAAAGGAAAATGAAACTTCACTCTTCTTCTTAGGCACCCAAAGAAGAAAAAAAAATTAAAATAAAAAAGATAAAAACAATAAATTGTAGTAGGTCATATCTTGCATGCAAAACATGCCATTTTTTCCATTGTCATGACAGAAGAAAATGAAAATCTAAATCCAAAAGTCATATGTCTAGATTAATCCACATTTACTTTCTCAAATTCTATATTGTAGGTTTCTTTTTTGGGTCTTAATTTTGACTTTGCTTGCATTAAACTATGAATTGTCAAAAGAATCAGATACAAGAATGAAACCAAACAAGTTGAAGAGTAGTCCCCAGAAGAAAAATCAACCATGTGATGGCACAAGCATGCACCTGCCTAAGTTGACCCGCCACCTTTGCAAATTTAGTAGTATAATTTCAGATAAAATGAAATAGCTTAGTCAAAACCTGCAAATGACATAAATCAGGAACTCGTTGGCCATAGTTTTCTATAAAATTGACCAAAAATTGTCTGCACAAATGTACGATGGACCAAGAAATTTCTTCTGTTCCACCCTATTGACCAAGAATTTGCCGTTTATAAATGTCAAATGGTTTGATCTTTTTTACAGTTTTTTTTATTTATTTGATAGTATTGCATTGTATGCAGCCAACACCATTGGAACCACAAATTCTTTCTTAATCCAACTGCCAAGAGGGTTATAAAAGTTTTTCTTACAAATATAACATACCCAAACCAAGGGAAGTAGGAAACCATAGGAACAAGCAGACAACATATTTAAACAGAACATTCTAGCCTCAATGCACATCATATTCCAGCAAAATTCTTGTCAAAAACTATTTTCAAAAAGAAGACACAACATTCTGTTATTCAGTAGCACTCGCCATAACACAACATATGGAGTTCTCAAAATAGAAATTCATGTCATTCACGGAATTAGGTCTAGCATTATCTAAACCGATTCCAAATGCAGAACATTAAGAACTTGCAAACAATATTCTTGACCAGCTTAATCCAATATTTGTACAGCACAGTTAAAATTATTATTTTTCCAGTTCCCATTGTGGAGTCGGAACACCCCAAATCTAAAATCCAGTGCGGATGTGGCAAGAACTTGGACACATGACATGATTGGAAATTGGAGCAACATGAAACCCTTTGCATATTGGGATTAACACACTGCAAGTTGATAACTGCTGCAGCGAAGCTAATAATGCATTTGAGCCAGCACCTGTTAGCTTTTCTCCAGAGCTTTCCACTCTAGGCATCATGCCAAAGTTTGAAATGTATAGACAATCCTCATTGCAACTAACCACCGAAGCCAGTCCAAGAGAAAAGCTTGTCCAAATTAAATCATGTTAAGTTCCCAAAAGGTATGGAACCATAAGAAATCACATGATTTACACACACTCACACCAAAAAAAAAAAAAACACACACACACAAGCATCGCGGTCATTGAAAAATGATCAGAAGAAAATCTCCTCATTTCGCATCAAATATGAACCACCATTACATACAAGAAAAAATAAAGTTTTTATTTTTTACATGTTTGAAAACAAGCATTTTATCATCGCCCAAAGTAAGAAACTAACTTAGAATGTGAAAACTTAACATACTTTTTGACAAAAATGTTTGTTTCTTCTGTTAGATCCCTCCCTGTCCTCCATGTTGGAGGGCAGCGAAATCTGGTAGACCACATATGTGGAGTAATATTTACAAAAGGATGGCATACTATGAAAAGCGACCAATTTCTACTGCATCCGTTGGAGCTTCTGAAACAATGGATCTAGGAGAAATATTTCTAGCTGTACAATTGGAGTTTCCCATAGTTGCATTACCGAGCTAGACGCTGATTTCAACTTGGTCAAGCCAAGAAACTAGCTGCTGAGTTGTAGGCCTAACTTTAGGGCTTTCACTTAAACAAAGGCATGCAATATCAAGAACCCGCAACATTTCCTCATCATGCTGCTTTTCATAGATAAATGAATCAAAAACCTCGCTCTCCTTGTTTTCCATCTTCATGCGAATCACCCAAGAGATCAAATCCCGGGATCCTTTTGGCTTGCACATATCCATGGGCCTTTTCGCTGTCAGAAGCTCCAAAAGCACAACTCCAAAACTGTACACATCGCCTTTATAGGTTGCAACAGAAGCTTGCCCATACTCAGGAGGAATGTAACCTAATGTACCTACCAGATCAGTGGTTACATGGGTGTCATAGGGCAGTATGAGCCTTGCAAGACCAAAATCTGCTAAGTGGGCTTCAAAATTCTCATCTAAAAGAATGTTACTTGACTTTATATCTCTGTGAAGAATATGAGGCTCACATGACTGGTGCAAATAAGCTAGACCCCTAGCTGCCCCTTGTGCAATTTGCAGCCTCTTTTCCCAACCTACCAAAGATGGTCCATCAACCTTCTCATGCAACCAATAGTCCAAACTACCATTTTCCATGTAAGAATATATTAAGAGCCTGTCAGTTTTATGCATGCAATACCCTTGTAGATGGACAAGATTTGGATGCTGGGCTCTTGAAAGTGCTTCAACTTCAGCACGGAATTCTCTTTCCATCTGACCACAATCACCAGAAAGCCGTTTAATGGCAACCTTACGACCATCAGGGAGGGTGCCTCTGTAAACCAGACCAAAACCCCCACAACCAATGATATTGGCTTGGTCAAAATTGTTGGTTGATTTCAAAAGATCATCAATGCAGAGCTCTTTGTAGGTTTCCCTATTTTGGAAGAGGACCACTAGCCTTGAACTGAATCCTTCCAGATCTTTATCAATGGTGTCAGGCTCCTCTTTCTCGGGATCAACCTCACCGCGTTTATTCGCACGCAACACAATCACAAGCATAAGGCCAAGCAGAAAAGCTGTCCCAAATACGATTCCAACAACCATTCCAATAATGATATCTCTGTTCCTTCTTGATCTTTTTGGGGATTCATGATGATCTTCACCGGTAGTATCTTGACAACGGAACCAGTGATCACCACAAAGATTGTTTCCTTCAAAGCTTGAATTCGGAAATGTCTGAAATTGACCTCCAGAAGGGATCCTCCCATAAAGCTGATTGTAGGCAACATTAAATACGGACAGAAAACTGAGACTCTGCAGTGAAGGTGGTATGGTTCCTGATAAGTCATTATGCGATAGATCCAGAATCTCCAAGCTGGTCATCCCAGACAAATTTGCCGGAATTGGTCCAGAGAGATTATTGAATTTCAAATCAAACACATGGAGCTTTTTCAGATTCCCAAACTCTGGCCAAATTGGTCCACTAAGAAGGTTGTGACCAAGTTCAAGTGTTGGTGGAAAACTCCAAATTTGATTATACTGCAATCCCCTCGCACTTTCATTTCTTTTCATAAAGAAAGGAAAATCTGGTGCAGGCTCTTCCAGCGAGATATTTCCATGAATGAGGCTTGGTAATTCAGTTAAACTTTTTGGGATCTCTCCAGTAAACGAATTGTTTGATAAGTCCAAGTAAAAGAGATCCCTATAGCTTCCAAACCACGGTGGAATTGTTCCAGCCAAATGATTCCATGATAAATCCAACAACTGCAAAGCATTAATATTTCTCAACCATTGGGGAATAGAACCTTTAAGTCTACAGGTTGCGATAACCAGAACCTTCAACTTCTCAAAATGCAGATTAGAATCATCTGGTAATGTTTCATCAGGGAAATTCAAGGTAAGCACCAAAGCAGTTAGATTCCTACAGTGCTGCAGAATTTGAAGAGCAGAGGAAAGATTATGGAGGCTTGTATTCGAGAGGGAAAGATAAGAGAGGCTATGAAATTCTTTGAAGCTCTCAGGGATTTGACCGCTAAAATTATTCCTAGCAAGGTTGATATTTTTCAACTGTCTGCATAAGGGAAGATAATCAGGCACAGGCCCAGTAAACTTATTGGTAGCTAAATCCAGAGAGTTCAAAGTAACCATAGCTGAGCAATTAAGATCAATAAAACCCACCAATGAATTATTCCTCAAATTTAGCAAATTAATGTATGGAGAATTGGACAATGAACTGGGAATTCTACCAGTGAATTTATTTGAATGAGCTACAAGATTCTGAAATTTCTGTAGCTGACTAAAGACATCAGGGATCTCTCCAGAAAAATTATTTGAAGAAATATCTAAACGAACAAGGTTAGAGAGATTAGCAATACCAGGACTAAGCTTCCCACCAAAGTTGTTAAACTGAAGCTCCAAAAGTTTCAAATTTTGAAGCTGAAAGATGTCTTCAGTTATCCCACCAGTGAGATCATTCATGCCAAGACAAAGTTGCTCCAAGAAAGAACATGTTCCAAGCCCTGGTAAAATATTACCAGAGAAATAGTTCACTGCCAAACGAAGGAACTGAATTCCAGTAGAATTAACACATATATGGGAAGGAATAGAACCGTTCAAGGAATTGGAAGAAATTTCAAGAATTTTAATTGAAGGAAGATTGATGCTTTCAGGGATTGGTCCAGAGAAATCATTACAGCTCAAGTCAAGTTGCTCCAAATTTGGCATATGAAACAAAGATAGTGGCAGTGAGTCTTTAAGGAAGTTGTGGGAAAGATTGAGAGTTTTAAGCTGATCTAAACCAGCTATAGAATCAGATAATTTGCCTGATAATCTTTTCTTGGAGAGTTCCAACTTGATTACTCTACCAGAAGATGGAGGATCACAGGCTATGCCTTCCCAGTCACAACAATCAGTTGATGAATTTGTGGTCCAACCTTCAAGTTTTGTTGTCAAATTGCTCATGAAATCCTGAAGTGCACTCCAGTCCTTTGGATTGCATGTCAGGTTTTGTGAGCTGAGTAACTGAGCTTGCAACAAGAACCCAATAGTAACAACCAGAACCCAACGATCCAGGGCACCCATATTAACAAAAGCAACAAACTAAGAAAACCCAAGATGGAGGGAAACACAAAGATTCAGACTTTATATGTTGATGATGAAAAACAAGCAAAACCCTATACAATAAACAAGATTTTTAGTGTGGGTTTTAATTGTTTGAACCATTTTGAGCTTTGGGTAGACAGATCAAAGCTTAAAAAAAAAAGTGGGTTGTTATTTATAAGAAGTGGAGGGGAAGGGAAAGAAAGAGAAAGAGAGAATACAAAATGGTGGCTTCTACTTCAACACGGAAATGGAGGTGGTGTCAAATGAATGAACGGGGGAGGCTTTGCCTTTGCCCTTTGCTTTGCTTTTCTCGTATATATCTCTTCCAATTGTTTTGTTTTTGGCTAGAGAGTGGTTTAGCTTCCTCTATTTCTAGGGGTTTTTTCTTTTAAAGCGTAAGAGAGATTCTTTTGCGCCAATAAAGCCGTTGGCAGATGGAAAGCACCATGGAGTCTAATAAAACGGTTTACTGGTAGACTGTTGGTTTGACCGGCAATGGCCAGTCTGGTCACACTTGCCAGTTGGATATTTAACATAAAAAATCTTCTACTTTATTTCTGACCATTTGTTTTTTTTTTTTTTCCAATTAAGAGTAGCTCTGACTTTATGAAATTGATGAATTATAAGCTATATTCTAAACTTTAAAGTGAGAAATATTTCCAAAAAACTAAAAAATATCATTGAATTTTCTAAAAAAAAGAATAACTTAATTGTATAAAATTGAAAAAAAAAAACTAACCTTTTATACATATGATTATTTTTTACACAAAAAAAAACTGAATGTGAAGTCAAACTTTAAATCTTAATTTTTTTAAAAATAAATGTTAAATTCAACTTAAATTGTTATATCTCTTCATGATTATTGTTTTTTTATAAAATTTTTAAGTATAGGGTTAATGTTATGAATAATTTATAAATTATAATAAAATATTTAATATGATATTTATATTTTAAAAATATTTAATGTGATATTTAAATTATAAATCTATTAATTAGTGTAATATTTAAAAAGTTATTTGTTTGTTATATGTTATTGTTTTGAATTAATCATGTTAAAAATAAATATGATATTAATTAATAAATTTATAATTTAAATATAATATTAAAATTTTTAAATTTAATATCAAATTAAATATTTTATTATAATTTAAAAATCATTCATAACATTAATTTTTAAATATATGATATAATTCTAATTTTGGTTTCAAAGATTCTACTATGTAGTAAAATAGATAGATAAATTAGAAGTAAAAATATATGGGAGGTAAGAAATTAAAAATAAAAAATAGCAGCCAGTTAGAAGTAATAAAAAATTGCTAATTGAGGTGGAGATGACCGGATACAGCCGGTGCGGGAAGGAAGGAAATGTAAGCAGAGAAAAGGACTTGGGAGGGAAGTCAAAAGTCGGTTAGGGCGACACGTGCAAACAGTCTTCCAAACAACGCCAGGCCGCCTTTATGATTTTGCAGTTGAGCCCCCCCATTTTCCTTATTTACATCACTAATATTTTAATATTGAACTTCAAAGTAGTTTTGGTGTTCAATACAAGCTTATAATTAAAAAAATTAGGTAGTTTTTGTTTTAAAAAAACATAATATTTTTGATTTGATAATTGAAATATAAAAATAAAAAATATTTTTAATTGTGAAAATAAGATATCTACCTTTTTTTTTGTGTTTTGCTAGTTACTGCTTACGAATACTTTTTAATGATATTAATTAATAAATATATATTATATTTATAATTAGATATCTTTAATAATAATATTATTGAATATTTTATTTATTTATTTATTTTTGTGTTTTTAGAAGATAATTTTTATTTTTGTTTATCAAAAATATTTTTTATAAAATAAAAACTGGAAAATAAAACTATTTTTTTGGAACATGAAAATAAAAAATAAAAATAAAAAACCTTTTTCCCAAACATAACCTTAGCTTTTCAATTTAAAATTTTAATTTTTCCATCCAAATCAAAAAGCTCTAAATAAGTGTTTTTAAGTAAGAAGTGCGTTTGTAATAAAAAAATTATTTTATTATCTTTATATTTTATCTATATTATTATGTTTTTTATATATTTTAAAATTTTAATTAATCATAATACTTTTTCTTAATAATATCAAACATTAAAATTTTTAATCATATTTTTTAAACGTATTTTTTAAACTTAAACTTTTTTAACTTTAACAATAATACTAAATTAACCTTAAATTAACATAGTTAGAGTTCAATTAGTTATTATTATTTTTTAACTAATTTTGTTACTTACACTATATTTTTTTAAAAAAATAAAAATATTTTAAAAAATAAAAAATATAATTCATCCAAATAAATATTTTTATAAAGTATGTCATTTAATTATGAACATTTTTAATAAAAATTAAATATCTTATACTATCAAAGTTTTAATTACAAAAAAAAAATCACAATCTTAATTTCATGTGATAAAAAATAAAAAACTTATATCAAATTTTTAATAAAGTTTGAGATATTATTTGAATGTTATCGCCTAGAAAAAAACACAAATAAAATATATGATATATTAGAAAAAAAAGAAATAAAACTTTTCCTTTTTTTACAAAAATTTTAAATTTTAAGTAAATATAATAAAATCACATCATAAAATACATGTTCAATGCTATAATTAGCTTTTTCACCTTATTTCGATGTCATATCTACTGCAGCTTTTAATTTTAGTGATCACTTATATAAATCTAACATATATAATCATACATGTAAAATTTTAATTAGTCAAATTTTTAAATTAAATTAATTAATTTGTATCATCATTTAAAAAATGGTATTTAATAATTTTAAATTTTAAAATTTTTATTCTTAAATTATAAATTTTTAAAAAAATTAATTAACCTCGCATATATAATTTCAGGATAGTTTTATTTATATTAGAATAGAAAGAAATATATAAATATAAACATTTGACATATTGTTTATATTAACCCTTTTCAAATGCCTACAATTATATTGCATGGCTTCATTTTCATTTTATTAATAAAAATAATTAGATATAATATTAATTATCTTAGTAAATTAATTAAATACTCAAATGTTTAATATCTTAATCTAATACCTTACAAATTATTAAAATTAACTTTGAAATAATATATTTAATATAGGAAAATTATAATAAATAGTTTTTTTGGGTTCTTATTAGCAAATTTTGAAGTAAAATCAGTAAATCATGACACTTTTTTTTTCAATTTATTTTCCTCAAATTTCAATGCTTAATAATAACAACGTATACTTTATGATGTTAAAGATTAAAACGCGCATTTGAAATTAAATGTAATAGTAAAATATATAGCTTAATGACCAAAAATGTTTGGTGATGACGTTTTGTTAAGGAAATAGTCAAATATCTTTCGATCCCAAAATAAATAAAAAAAATGTGTAGTCAAATATTGCCTAATTAAACTTTAATAATTAATTAACAACGAATATTCCAATAATAAAAAAAACATGCCGACCACTTATCGTGAATATGAAGGCCAAGTGTTTAGGTTCTTGTTAGTACAATTTTTTTATTTTTAGTTTTTTTTATCATTTATTAAAATAAAAAATAAAAAATTACATTATATAAATTGATCTCTTTTCAAAACAAACAAATTAAAAAAAAAAAATCATTGTATTTTAAAGTGCAACTTGTTTGCAGCTGAGCTGTTTTAGACAAATGGAGCTTTGAGTTGTATCCGCTAGGATTTATAAATTTGAGTACTAATTGACTTCTTCATCCTATATCTGTTCCTTTTCCGTGTACTTTAGTTTAATTTTTCATTAATCCTTTAATATCTACGTTATTTTTTATATTTTAATTAATTATTATATTATTTTTGCATTTAAAATTATCAAAAATTAAATTTTAATTATTAAAATAAAAAATTCAATATTTATCAACAAATCATATGACCAATAATTATCTCTTATTTCTTGTTTGCACCTTGTGCTTTAAAAAAATGGAAAATAAAGTTGCCAATCCAACAGTTGACCTTTCAGGAAGTCGAATTTTGACTTTAAGGGAGAAAAAATTCATTTGAAAAATGGCTGCCATAGTTGCGTGATAACGTCTGGAGGAAATATTTATGCTTTCAATTTTGAATTTTGATGCCAATTGCATTACAATTTCTGACTTTTAATTGTAAATTTGAGTAATTTGTTCTTCTCTTATCCTCTATATATATATATATATATATATATATATATATATATATATATATATATTCTCATAATATACTTTTCGTTACGTTGTCTTTTCAAATTAAATTTATGACGCATACAAGATACTATCTTTTTGACTTTTTTGAGAATCACTTGTCGTATAAGTTTTATTTTATAAAAAAGTCATAATTTAAGGACTAAAATTGTAAATCTTAGAAATTTTTTTATAAAATTATAAATTATTATAATAATCAAATATTATGTTTATATATAAAAAAAATAGTAAATAATCAAACAAATCGATTAATAAATTAAAAATAATTAGATAAATTTAATATAAAATTAAATGAAAATAACACAAAATAAGACTTAAAATTAATATTTAAAAATTTAAAAAAAAATTTGTCATTAAGTCATTACTTCATTAGCATAATTGTTAAGATTTAAATTTTAATAAAAATCAAAATTTAAAAGAAATTGCATAAACAATTTTAATCATATTTATATTAAAATTAAAAAAAAAAAAAAGCTTTTAGTTCAAATTTATTCATGCAAATTGCAAGTCAGAGCAGCAGCAGCTTTTTTTTTTTTAATTATAACATCCCTACCGTCCTACTAATATAAATCCATATAGCAACGGGCATTTGCTGAATCAGTGATGACTCTGCCAATTTTATTGAATTCCCACACATTATCTTAAAAAAAAAAAAAAAAAATCAAACTATTTGAAATAGATATGTTGAAGTTTTATGGAGGAGAATATGAATCTAAGAATTTCTTATATAACCAACAGTTTTTGTTGAAAAAATTGACGACCTTTTGTTTTTCTGAATGAAGACAATTCGAACACAAAAAATTTGGAGCAATGCCCTGATGAAACTTCCGGGAAGCAAGCTGATGGTCACATCTTGTGAGCCAACATTTGCTTTGCTTTTTACAAACAGAACAAGAAAGATTTTGGGCGTTATTTCAGTGCCAGAGAGCCACTCCCTTTGTATATAGTGTACTCAGTGAGGTCTATGTCGTCCAAAACCAAAACAAACCAGGAAAGAACTGGGAAAAGGAGGCTGATTTCGACAGATGACTGAAGCTAGGAGGGAAAAAAGTTCATTGGCCAAGTTCAAAGAACTGTATAAGATCATCAAATTGTTCCCTTGGTGGGTTAGTAGAATCTTTTCCAGCTGCAGTACGTGCAAGGCTGGTTCTTCAAAAGCTGCGCAATTTTAAGATCTTTTCTGACATTGGGTCCTTATTTTTAT